ATGTAAAGCTATGACATTTTATAACAAGTCCTATATCATCTCAAGGTACATCATATCCTGGAGACCAACATTTTCTAAACAAAGTAAATGGTGTTTTAAAACTGGTAAAGGCAGCTTATATATAACTTAAAATAAACCCAATCTTCAGAGGCTTTTAATAATGTATGCCCTTGATAGTTTTAATTGTCGGCAAGCAAGACCATTTTAACTGATAGTAAAAAAAACTGTTATGAACTCAAATAAATAACCCTTCAAGTTTCATAATTAAATATGGAATTCATTCATCACAGTATGTCAACCATATCGCTATTCTAATACATGTACAAGGAACTAGCTATATTGGCTGTCAAGCAGTGCCATAGTTTTACTGAATGTGGACCAGTTGGTTGGTAGGTTAAACATTTCCATTTGACACATCCTATTTCTAGGAGTTGTCTTACAGAAAAAACATCGGTGTTCTAGCAACATATGGGCTGTCAAACAGTCACTGTTATACAGGGTGGTGGTTATATTGACCAGTCACTGTTATACAGGGTGGTGGTTATATTGACCAGTCACTGTTATACAGGGTGGTGGTTATATTGACTGTGGACCAGTCACTGTTATACAGGGTGGTGGTTATATTGACTGTGGACCAGTCACTGTTATACAGGGTGGTGGTTATATCGACCAGTCACTGTTATACAGGGTGGTGGTTATATTGACTGTGGACCAGTCACTGTTATACAGGGTGGTGGTTATATTGACTGTGGACCAGTCACTGTTATACAGGGTGATGGTTATCTTGACCAGTCACTGTTGTACAGGGTGGTGGTTATATTGACTGTGGACCAGTCACTGTTATACAGGGTGGTGGTTATATTGACTGTGGACCAGTCACTGTTATACAGGGTGGTGGTTATATTGACTGTGGACCAGTCACTGTTATACAGGGTGGTGGTTATATTGACCAGTCACTGTTATACAGGGTGGTGGTTATATTGACCAGTCACTGTTATACAGGGTGGTGGTTATATTGACCAGTCACTGTTATACAGGGTGGTGGTTATATTGACTGTGGACCAGTCACTGTTATACAGGGTGGTGGTTATATTGACTGTGGACCAGTCACTGTTATACAGGGTGGTGGTTATATTGACTGTGCACCAGTCACTGTTATACAGGGTGGTGGTTATATTGACTGTGGACCAGTCACTGTTATACAGGGTGGTGGTTATATTGACTGTGGACCAGTCACTGTTATACAGGGTGGTGGTTATATTGACTGTGGACCAGTCACTGTTATACAGGGTGGTGGTTATATTGACCAGTCACTGTTATACAGGGTGGTGGTTATATTGACCAGTCACTGTTATACAGGGTGGTGGTTATATTGACTGTGAACCAGTCACTGTTATACAGGGTGGTGGTTATATTGACCAGTCACTGTTATACAGGGTGGTGGTTATATTGACTGTGGACCAGTCACTGTTATACAGGGTGGTGGTTATATTGACCAGTCACTGTTATACAGGGTGGTGGTTATATTGACTGTGGACCAGTCACTGTTATACAGGGTGGTGGTTATATTGACCAGTCACTGTTATACAGGGTGGTGGTTATATTGACCAGTCACTGTTATACAGGGTGGTGGTTATATTGACTGTGGACCAGTCACTGTTATACAGGGTGGTGGTTATATTGACCAGTCACTGTTATACAGGGTGGTGGTTATATTGACCAGTCACTGTTATACAGGGTGGTGGTTATATTGACCAGTCACTGTTATACAGGGTGGTGGTTATATTGACCAGTCACTGTTATACAGGGTGGTGGTTATATTGACTGTGGACCAGTCACTGTTATACAGGGTGGTGGTTATATTGACTGTGGACCAGTCACTGTTATACAGGGTGGTGGTTATATTGACCAGTCACTGTTATACAGGGTGGTGGTTATATTGACTGTGGACCAGTCACTGTTATACAGGGTGGTGGTTATATTGACTGTGGACCAGTCACTGTTATACAGGGTGGTGGTTATATTGACTGTGCACCAGTCACTGTTATACAGGGTGGTGGTTATATTGACCAGTCACTGTTATACAGGGTGGTGGTTATATTGACCAGTCACTGTTATACAGGGTGGTGGTTATATTGACCAGTCACTGTTATACAGGGTGGTGGTTATATTGACTGTGGACCAGTCACTGTTATACAGGGTGGTGGTTATATTGACTGTGGACCAGTCACTGTTATACAGGGTGGTGGTTATATTGACTGTGCACCAGTCACTGTTATACAGGGTGGTGGTTATATTGACTGTGGACCAGTCACTGTTATACAGGGTGGTGGTTATATTGACTGTGGACCAGTCACTGTTATACAGGGTGGTGGTTATATTGACTGTGGACCAGTCACTGTTATACAGGGTGGTGGTTATATTGACCAGTCACTGTTATACAGGGTGGTGGTTATATTGACCAGTCACTGTTATACAGGGTGGTGGTTATATTGACTGTGAACCAGTCACTGTTATACAGGGTGGTGGTTATATTGACCAGTCACTGTTATACAGGGTGGTGGTTATATTGACTGTGGACCAGTCACTGTTATACAGGGTGGTGGTTATATTGACCAGTCACTGTTATACAGGGTGGTGGTTATATTGACTGTGGACCAGTCACTGTTATACAGGGTGGTGGTTATATTGACCAGTCACTGTTATACAGGGTGGTGGTTATATTGACCAGTCACTGTTATACAGGGTGGTGGTTATAATGACTGTGGACCAGTCACTGTTATACAGGGTGGTGGTTATATTGACCAGTCACTGTTATACAGGGTGGTGGTTATATTGACCAGTCACTGTTATACAGGGTGGTGGTTATATTGACCAGTCACTGTTATACAGGGTGGTGGTTATATTGACCAGTCACTGTTATACAGGGTGGTGGTTATATTGACTGTGGACCAGTCACTGTTATACAGGGTGGTGGTTATATTGACTGTGGACCAGTCACTGTTATACAGGGTGGTGGTTATATTGACCAGTCACTGTTATACAGGGTGGTGGTTATATTGACTGTGGACCAGTCACTGTTATACAGGGTGGTGGTTATATTGACTGTGGACCAGTCACTGTTATACAGGGTGATGGTTATCTTGACCAGTCACTGTTGTACAGGGTGATGGTTATAATGACTGTGGACCAGTTACTGCTATATAGGGTTGGTTATATTAACTCTCAACCTGTTTACAAAGGGCACTCATTACATTCTGTAATGTACAAAGACCATGCTATCTTCTGTATCGGTGTGATCTTTCGTAAATCCATTGTCACAGTATCACATTTCAAGCATGTTTAACCAACTCTAAAAACAAAAGAATACCAGCCCATGTCGCGATTGCTAAGACAAAGTTTTACATGGTATAAAGTATGTTTCATACATTCTAGACTTAATATCTAAATACACACACATGATAACACATAATCTATACATGATATGTTAAGTCATAATATCGGAAACCATTCTACCCTAAAAACTTAAAGTACAGAGGCAGTGAACCATGGATTGGGGTCTGTCACTGACTGGAAATAATCAAACTCAATCGTTACTGGACACACATAATCCTGTTACCTATCGTAACACCTGTCAAGTTCAAAAATTAAACAACACTAATGATATGTACTGCTCAAAGATTACAAGTTATATCAATTAACTCTAAAAATTTATAAGTTATATTTTGAAATTCACATTTTTCATTTGAAAAAATTTTAATGAAAAGGTAATTGGGCTATTAATTGCATCAGACACTCACTACTAAATATATATGATATCTAATTTCATTTGTCAAAGTACATTCATATACATTTTCTCCTTGGGAAAAGAGGAAATGATTTACAGCAACCATTAATGGTTTTAAATATCTGGAAAGCATAAAAGAAACAACAGTTAGGCAATAAAACTTTTACTGTATCAATTATTAATCAAAATCATTCATAATCTCAGAACTAAGACCGTTTGTGAAATATGATCAGACAAAACAGCACATGACAGTCTGATGTTATGGGAGATAAAGGAAAGGACAATGCGGTTTCTGTTTTTTACATGTGACTATATATTGACTTTAAATGAGATTTAATATCATTTCATATTGAAACAAATGAGTATTTATTGCAACTCCCAGGTACATCCAATTTAAAAAGTCATTGAAATCTTTAAAAATGGTTTTGTGAAGAATTTTGACTCACAGATCCTTTTTCAGACACAGAAAACCTGATCATGTTTTATTTATGATATTCAAGTTTGAAAACAAAGTAATATGAATACATTTTTGATGAATTAATTCCTCTGCTGTTGGCACACAGGTCCTGGGAGACACTAAGGTACCTTTCTAAAAATATTACTGCTTTCACAATTTCCTATACTAATTGCCTTATCTAATAAACACAATTTCCAGGCTACGTCTGCTATTAAAACATCTTTATCTTAAATCATTCCCAGATACAATTGACAATATGACATCGACAATTAATACCAATTTTACGATATTATGAAGATAAAAAATGGTTGATTATAGAAATATTAATCTGCTAACAAAGTGAACCTATACAATGTTCAGGGAATAAATAAGTTACAAATGGTAGAAAGAATCATTTTACAACTGTTCCATATGGATAGTCCCATGATACAATTTTCCCATACAAGGTGTCACATACAGAAATAATGACACAATAAATTTCCACCTGTGTTGGTAAGGCAGAACAGTCTTATAAACCTATTGAAGCGGCTCACTCTACAATAGAAGGCAAGTTGTCGTGGGTTGGAACACCTTAGTTTTGAACACTCATATACACCTATGGGATATACTCATTCAACGTAGGCATTTAAACATTCACCAGACCCATGCACTGCTCCGGTAAGGGGGCTTATGGGTAAAATCCATGTTGTCATGACCACAAGCCGTGTGTTGATAGGGCCTACTAAAGTATAGTAAGTGTATATATAGCCAGTTCATTATTTCTCCCGTAGGATCAAGTCTAAGGTAAGTTTTCGTGATTTAATTATTTTTCGACACATTTTCTCATCTAAATGTTGAGTGTATGCCTGTTGACAATGTCATTTTATATTTATAAGTAAAGTTTTATTCACAGAACACTTAAACAGACACAAAGTTTGGGCTAGTCTGTGTTTCCCTTTAAATCCATAGTCAGGTGAGTCTATGGTTACCTCTATACTTTACCATAGGGCAGCAATCAATAGTATGTCATTACAACTGGGTATAGATTTCTAATTAGAAGCCTGATTAACCTGATACTGTATCTGCAGACAGATCAACACTTTGCATCCTCCTCTGTGAGAACTTTACTTTATTGACAGAATTTGTCCTATGGCCCTAGAGAGGTGATACCTCTACACAGTATTTATCAGTCCTATCAATATTTACACACTTTTCCTTGTCAAATACCCTGATACGTACACAACTATCTTTAGTAGGCAAATTTGTCCAGTGGAAATTGTATTGACTTAACAGAGTATCTAGGAATGACCAGTACTTAAACCACCATTTTAGATTTACATGTATTAAGGTGTAATCTGAAAGTTCTTGTCCATGTTTGGTTATGGAGTTTAAGAATTAGATAGAAAGTAATCATAAATCTATTAGGATACAGTCCAACTCAAGTCCTTTACAAACATACTAGGTATCCATTTATCCCAGAAGACCAATCTAACAGTCTGGATGATTACAGCATTTAAGTTCTGATTTTAGAAAGACATTACAAATCATTAGAATAACATGGGACCTTCAGGATTTATAGCAGCAACTAATTTCAAAATGACAAATATCAACTGTACACCAATTAAGCTCCAAAAATATTGAACTGACCACCAAAGATTATACAGCCATATTTATCCGCTACGTTCAATAGTTCAAGCCACTGTTCAATCTAGAGGTTGAATATCTCCCTGCCTTTAAGAAATCCAGGTAAATTCTTCAGACACACCTTGTGTAACCTTGATTCACAAGATGATTTTCCCTAGTGCATTAATGAGTTGAAATCCTGACTGTCCATCTACATAAACAGTTAAGCTTACCCCCTTCCCTCCTCCCACAGTTGAGAGTAAAACATTTAAAACACCTTTGGTGACTGGTATCATTAAATAGAGGTACTTTCTTTGCTAAAATCCATACCTATGATATGATCAGTCCTACCTGAAAACTTGCCTAAGTGTCTGGTTGCCTTAGCAGCAGAAATTACCAGTATCAACAGTCAAGTTGTGGAAGCTTAATTTCATTTTTCTGGATTCATTAATATTTCAATAATAACTTTAAGAATAATTGATATTTAAATAACTACATTTGCTCACTACATGTAGGTATTAAGGCTTATATGATACATTAAGTATTCCTATATATGCTCTTAAAGTGCTAGCACTTTGACATGCACTCAGCATTATCAAACAATACACAATTTCACTTGTCCAAAGTCAACAGAGCGTGTCTCAGTTAATCTCATTTACATTGCTTTAAAATGACTTGAATTCCTGGAGGCCAGCTTTTAAGTATTCAATATACTACATTACTAGAATAATGATTACAGTAATTCTACCATAAAACTTGCTATTCAGTTAAACAGATAAAAATGTATTAAAATTTATTTGTTACTAGCCACTTAATGTCAATGGATTTTGTCCACAAAGTGATGTCAAGAGTAGAGATGACAAGTCAGAATAACCAGTGTCCCATGATATTTAATACAGTAAGATATGTAAATGTACTACAACACACAGAAGAGATTCTACTTATCTATAAGATGACTTTCACTAGACGTTTGTCCCTACCGTAACTGCAATACTCACTGACAACAAAAGGTACAATATGAAGGTATACATTATTTGGGAAGGTGCTGTGGGTGGGGGCTTATTTGTGGTAATTACAGTATTTTATAAGTAGAATTACTTTCACAACATATGTAGACAGATACACATTGATGCAAGCATGATAAAGAATATTTCAAGGAATATTATTCTGGCCAATGTCATTTTGCCATTATTTGTATACAGAATTTCTCAGACTACCAGTTGACTAACAGTGATAAAGACTTTATGTAACAAGAGATTAATCTCTAAGCAGTAACACACTGACTGGTATATACTCTTATAATACATTGACAAGATTCTCACTAGGTAGCATACAGACCCATGTAAAATCTCACAGTAATAAAACGTCTTTCACAGCAACTCTTATACACACAAATATACTCACAGTGACAAACAGACCAATCAGAACAACAAAGACCATCATATAAACACACAGATCCATGTAAAATCTTGCAATAACAAATTAACTTTCACATCAACATACTGACCAACAAAGACACTTACATTAACACACAAACTCCAGAAAGGAACACATAAAACACTGCCGGCTTCACAAGTAACATGTGAAGCTCTCAAAGTAATGCAGGCTCATGTAGACAAACACAAACGATGACACAAGTTTATATTCACATTCACAATACTTGTACTTTAAGACATGTGTAGACTCTTATACCAAGGCTTAGTCTCATAGAGTCTAATAGTGGCACATACTTAACACATGTAGACTCTCCTATGTAGAACCAGCCCAGAAAAACAGTGAACTCCTTTTGAGACGAAAACCTTAAAAGTGTGTGTTTATCCTGCACTTCACATATGTAAATAAGCAGTCTATAAATCATGTAACCTGACGATAATCATTTCAAACATAGTCACACACTGAATATATACTCATATGTTGATCCAAGAAGTAAAACTTTCATTAAAGGTGCCACACCTTTAGCTTTAATAGTTAAAAGTCCTACTTAACAATGGAATGCATTAAGCATTGGGTCGAAGGGTCATCTAAGGCAAACAAAATATTCAGTGTGATTTGGTCATGACTAATTCACCCAGATCGGTGCAAATTGTTGTATATTATTCTAACCACAGATGAGTTGGCATTTATTTGTTTGTTCATGTATGCACTTCCCATATCAATTTATTACATGTATAAACATAATGCAAGTGACAGGACATATAACAAACATATGGTGCTAACATAATATGATCCTTTAGACCTACACCAATTTATTCAGCTTCGCATGTTAATAAAATGATATAGAGATCAATTTTCATCAGAACCACATTTAATTAGTGGGATAAGTTTTAATGAAACAATAAGTGTAGATTTCCACACTTCAGCTAGACAGCAGTAATATGCAGTATCAGATATCATTCACCTAGTATCTAACATGTGCTCTAATTGATCCATTCTGAATCAAATTTTGTCACCATATCATGATGTGACAAAAAAAAAATGGGGGGGAAAATAACAAACTGCTTGTATTGTAGAAATACTGTTGACAGTTGAGTTACAAAAACAGGTATTTGATTTTATGAGGTAGCTTTAAAAGTCTACAAAAAAACAGATCCACACTATGACAAGATGTATAAACACAAATATTTACACAATGATAAAATCTTTTGAAACTTATTTAAACTGACATGAGATAGATCAATATCTTCTTTAAATAGTAACACACTAATGTAAGGTAAGGTGGACAAGTAGACCTGCTACCATAATGGGAGGGTTGGTCGGTAACAAAGACTTCGACCTAAACCTTCCCTACTGGTGACATTGACACAGGTATTTAGAGAAGTCAATACACACAAAAACCACATTATGACATACCTGTACATTTTATGTACACTACAAAAGGCATCATCAATTTGTGACCATGGAAATGTATAGAAATCAAAACAACTAATACTTATGCAAATACCAGTACAGTATTTTACATGTTTCAATTTCAATTTTGAAAGTATACTTTGTCTGTCTTTCCCTAGTTATGCTTGCTTAATTCTTAAATTATCAAATATGTGTTGGATTATTTTGGAGTATACATGATAATAAAATTATTAAACTCTGTTATATACTAAATGTACAACAAGAAACAGGATATATCAGAATTGAACAACACTGAAAAAACTGACCTGCTTTGTATGATCTGTTGCTAACCCATGGGCTAAATGTGCTGTAAATGTACTTTTTCCAACTCCACCTTTTCCAGATAAAACAACAACCTTGTGTTTTACACAAGACAATTTTTCTTTAATTTCTGCAACAGCTGCAAGCAAGAAATTGACAACATATTACAAGTTATATGTGAGAGAGAAAAGTTCTCACATCCACAAATTATCCTTTAATTTGTTGGTTTTTTCTAAAAATCTGAAGTCTTATAAAAATTCTAGTACTGGCAGTGTCAATTTTGTAAACATCTTTGGGAGAAAATTTGAAACGACTAAACAAATAAATTCCCTTTTTCATTAATATAATACAAATTATGATCGACAATATTACGATAACATAATCATGAAATGTAATAGTTAGATATTTTACATGAAGACAGACATGAATAACCATCCAATATGCATTTACTTTCTTTGAAACAATATTGACATCTAAAATATTGCAAAACATAAATGTTTATCTCCCTTGACAAGCACACTGCTTCTAAATTGATACATAGGGTATATATCAGATATGTATATATATCAGATATGTATATATATCAGATATGTATATATATCAGATATGATACACATACCGCAAATTAGAGTGTAAATTGTATGTTTTTTTTAATTTCTCTTTGTTTCCATCTGATTTGATACTGATTTAAATTTCATGTTTCTAAGATATTAATGCAAAATAAGAAATACACTATAACAAAATTAAATTGTGTACAAATAAACAAAGGATATGATATATCATTATAATAATAGAGGTTTTGTTACATTTACAATACTAGTCTACACTATACATGTATTTCATTAAATTACATGTACGACAAATCAGTACCTGGATCAGGTCCTTTTGGTAAGACAGAACAGACATTTTGGTTAGGACACCCCTGACATGCAGCTGCTTTCCCAGCAGCCTCACTTGCTGTCCCTGGACAGTCTGAAATGAAATGTTGTTCATTGCAAATTTACAAATGGTAAACACATCCATTAGTTTAGGCTACTCATTTATATTTACTTAGAAAAGATTATCATCATCATAGATTTTTTTGAGAAACACAGAAATGAATCTGCTAAGATGAAAAAGTGGCATAAAATGCAAACTGATGAATGAAATTTGGTTTGTACAAGGGATAATCATGTAAATGTATAGAAATATAACAAAGAACTATACACACATATTCAATCATGTGAGTTGGTTGTGTTTACATGTTACATTAATGTATCAGTTTTATCAGTCTTTTAAATTTTATTGTGGTTAAAAACATTTTCAGAACAAAATCAGAAAAGTCCAATAATTGTGATGTCCCACCTATGCATAAATACATGATTTGCGACAATGAATAACGGCACATTTACTTTTCGGTATGCAATACATTTAAACAGCAAAATATTACCAAAGTTCTAAACTATTATGTATCAAATGAGAGACGTCACAACAATCCAATGGGTGTCATGTTACATAAATCTACCTGATCACTGTCTGAGAATGAAGTTATGGTTGGGTTAATAACATTTCTTAAGCTGGCAAGATACAATGTGTAGCGTACTATGTCGTATGCGACTGAAGTCCCTATTTCCTATGCCCCATGTCCAGATTTTCCTTCTTTTATGATATTACATCCATAATGTTTCTCTGATAATGAGAAAATGCTCAGTACTTTGTCCTCACGACAGCAAGGTGTTAATTCATTCAGTGTAATGTGTTGGATAAATTCCAGGTTAGAAGGGTGGTATCTAGGGTAAACATTTCAGGTGCTCTTTCAGTCTGTGTCCATTAAACAGCCTGCTCGAGTAAGCGGTAATGAATAACAAATATCAAAATGTATCGATCCTGGGCACAAAACATACTATATCTATATCGCGCTAAATATCATGTGCACAGTTGATAGCTTTAACTAGGACAACACTTAATAGGATGGAATGTCACGCCCTATATCGACAGATTTTTACTTACGTTCAGGGGCATCGTCCGGAATGTCAGCCATCTTTAAATCAAATTACCTCCCCTTACACGCCACCTGACGGTGAGTTGAAACAATCTAAAAGTGCATTTCGGGAAAGTTACTTCCGCCCAGGCTTTTCTTGGTTACATATAGAGTTAATATAGGCGCCAACATTCAAAGTGTTGATAACATTTCTAGAACTAATTTCTTTTCCGAGGAAAGATATGGATTGTAACTTGCTTACTGCTAAATTATCAGTGGGAGATGGCAAGAAACTCTACAGGTGCCAAGGTAAGGGCATAGGTAAACACTGTTAGCATTGACTATCAATGTTTTTTCTTCCAAATTTTTTTTTATTTTTTGACATATTTATTGATATAAAATCTTTCTCTTTTTTATAAACATAAAATATATCCCGTTACGCATATTATTGTTACTGTCTCATAATATTATATAAAAAAAATATTGATGGTTAAAATATCTTATTCCTTAATGAGTGTATCCAACAAATGGGAATTAGACCCAACATGACATTTTGAATAATATTGCCATTCCAAAATGAAACACGTTGAAGGGAAGGCTTAACGTCAGGTCCTGTAAGGAAATATGTAAAACCATTAATTGAAAATACTGAAATACAAAATCTTTTTGAATCTGGCATTAAATACTGTTGAAAAGAGGTTAAGTCTGCTGTACCATACTGAGTGGCACAGCAGACTTAAGTGAAGTACCTAAGACTACAATTACCAGCGTCACGTGCATCGCACTTTTTTATATAAAGGCCTTCTTATGATTGTATTTATGATATATGGATAATCATATGCTTTATAAAATGCTTTTTACATGTATGATGTATTCACCTCTTATGACAGATAATAATAATAGTATAATTTATATTTATGCTGAAATTGAGTTGTAACACGTTGTATCTATTCTTTTGTTTGTATGTATTACCATACTAGACTTTGATATCTATTATAAAATATAGTTTTACTGTCGGAAGACAATGGCTTGGGCGTATACGTATTTGTCGTTTCAGTCTTTGCAATATGTTAATTATCATATATTAATTTTCTCCCTAAAACATTATTATATGCTCACATTTGTTAACTTTCAACAATGACTTTAAATGGAATTCCTTTTCTGTTTAACGATCAGAAACATGGTTATGTACACTGGTTTAATTTATTTTTCCAAAATGCTCTACCAATGAATTCTGATATCTTATCTTTTCAATTATGATACAGCGCTGCATATTCATCACAAATCTATTTCACTTCCTTATCATTTCATCACCTGATAACTTCAAAATAAAGAAAACTTCTCTACTAGACATCAAACACAACATCACATGCTTGAAATACACAGGTTAGTAATCACCGCCTTTGTTATCGATCATTTCGCCTCTCATCACCAAATGTTTTTGTTTAATCGAGGATGATGAATTAAATAATTTGTTGCATGGTAGAAAGATTTTAATAGTTGGTGGTTACGGAGAGGTTATGTTTTCAACTCAGATCCTACCTAGATTTTTTAACAATAGCGTATGAAATATAATATTAGTTATAGCAGATTTAGCAGACCCTGGTTCGCCAGAGAGGTTTCTGAGTAGATACATATTTTGGGTTTTGCTGAGTTATAGATGGCATTTGCTCAGTTTGAAGAAGAAAAAAAAACACCGACAAAACTCTCCCAATTTCAGCATAGACCCGTTTCCAAAATAGCTGGCAAATCTCTTGAGAGCAAATGTAAAGAAGTGACTTTACCATTAGCCAATTTCACGATTTTCAGCATTAACCGATACAGCCTCAAATCTTTCGAAAGCATCTCCTTAACAGGATGCACTAACACTATGTAGTCGTATACATAATAATCTGTTGCTACATGAAATGTTGACTATTGCTGTTAAAAGTGGATATGTTAATTGAGAGATACAAGAAAAACTTCCCACTAGATGTGGACTAGAGAACGGGTTTTCCGTAAACAACACCACTGATTATGAAGCAAACAAAAATCTAAGACTGACTTAAATAAACACTTATAATTAGGTATCGTATAGCCTTAAAGCCTCACCGAGAATATTAAACGCCAAATTATTGAAAAACAGAACCCAAAGTTCCTATCATATACGAGAAAAAGATAAAACGTATCTTCAAGCAAGACCGTATAATACAGAGGGATAAGAAACTGCCTACATTTCTTTGTAAAGCTATTGCTAAGAAGTTCGAGTTAACTACCCTTGTGTTTACAAACCGTTTTTTTAAAAAGACATTAGTAGTCTTGTCCATTATCTTAGTCACGAGACTGTGCTGTGGTCAGTTAGCAGAAATATATCAAATGCGTTTTATAACTATTGAAAAGTTTTATAAAAGAGGGACAAGAATTAACAATTTTTGAAGTACTTCAGAAAACTGGTCACAGTAAGTGTAGCTATAATTCAGTATGCCATGGATTAAAGCTCATTGAAATTCAAATACATTTATCGGCTTTGCTAAATACAATTGTTGTATGGAACAATTGAACAGGCTGCGAAATGACCCTCGACGTGTGTTCAGACGAATGAATATAATCGATCGATACTGCACTGATCCACTTTCTCTTTGGTCGTTGCTTAGTGTCTCCAGGCAGCCGTAGGATTGTAAACAGACTGCCTTAGTCTGTGTAAGTGTGGCATTTAAATGAAAACTACAAAGGGTATTATATAAGGTAGTTTATTCGTTTAAGGATCTACATCTTGTTTGTTACGGATCTCTGGACCAATCTAGGTATGTCGAGTTTATATCGATGCCTTTGTTCATGCTATTGTCTAATCATCTATGAATGTGAAACATAACACAGTAATTGTATCGACAACTGTATTTCGCGACAAAGCCCATTGACACAATCTACACTTGTTACACTCGTCAGTCCTATTATAATGTTAATATGTGTGCTTAAGGTGTAGATTCAGAATAACTGTCTACTTGAACAATGAATTATAAAACTATATGTGACTCAGATTGTAATTTAAAGCAATTATTTCGCTGTTCCTTCATTCTTTTCTTTAATTCAAATTACTTATTGAATGTCTGCAGCAGTATAAGAACATCTTAATTTGAGTAGATGATGAATATTAGTGGTGAGAATCCATCCCAACACAATGCCAAATGGTTGGACGATAATATGTGCCTCTGTAATGGGTGTTGAAATAGATACAATACAATAATTTATTTAACCAGCATGACATACTATTATGATTTTTTTTTCACATGTGAATGCATTCCGTAAGCATGGCAGAATCAAAGCCTTGAGTGATTGTTCTGACAGATATAATCACTAACAAGGCGTTTTAGTGTGATACTGGTATTTCTTTTTATGATACGTTGAATGTTTTCTCTTTGTTTGAATGATTGGTTCAAATGGCAAGGATTCCAGATAAGATGATATTGGATATTGATTGTGAAGTTGAGTCAAGAAACATTGTTCAAATTTGTTTATTGATTGTGAAGTTGAGTCAAGAAACATTGTTCAAATTTGTTTTTAAATTTAACATAAAAAATGATTCTCTCAATAATGGTCTCGTTGAAGGTTAAACATCAAACCGTTGTTGGCCTAACGAATTAGCGGTTACATAGATTTAAGCTTATTTTCTATCCATTCCAGAACACTCAAAGATGGAGTACCTGGGCCATACCCAGACAGCCACTTACATGACTGGTCCTCGGCAGGGGGGAAGCAATCTGCAAACATTCCTGCCAAGCATTAGTACAATGCAGTCCTCCTACAAAGCCCATGATACATTCCCAGCCCCATCACCTCTTAGGAGATCTCTAACCACCCTACCATGGAGGCCTAGCACATACTATCAAACAGCCCGAGTCAACACAAGCTCAGCATTAACAAAAAGCATGCCAGAGCCAATGTCGGCTAAGAATCAACTGTCGGAATTGGACAATGTTAAGGTTCCACCAGTGTTTGCTGCAGCTAGGAATGCCTTGTATACTCGTTACACTCCTAATGATTGGTATAGTTCAAACCACAGTAACTACATGGCTTCTGATCGAGTTAGGAGTAGTGCCGAGCGTCTTAGGCTTGATACAGTTCGCCTATGTAGAGAAACGGACGACAAAACCAAGAGGACCCAGAGTGATGTTGGCAAGAGGCTAGGTGAGAGAATAGGGGATATACAGTTCTGGAAGACGGAGCTGAACCATGAGACCGACAACATGATCACCGAGATCAACGCCCTCCAGGAAGCCAAGCGAGTGTTGGAGAAGGCTTTGCAAGAAACAGAAAACCCTCTTCACATTGCTCAAGAGTGTCTGTATCACAGAGAAAAGAGACAGGCAATCGACTTGGTACATGACGTCCCCGAGAAGGAACTGATTAAGGTAGGCATATCAATTTACCACAAATAGTTGATGGAATCCTATCTGACTGAACAATCATACTATTTGTCAGACTGGAGGACGGTAGGTATACTTTCCTCGTTGATATATATAACTGATATTGTTTGATCATTTATGAGTGTGAAAAGATAAACTGTGCATGGTGATGATGTAGTCAAGGTCGCAGCACATGTCTCGATACACCCTACAGTGGATTAAATACTGCTATTGATCATGTTACACACAATTATGTTGCTTTTGATAGATTAGCATGTCCTTTTAAAATGCCAGTTCGACTTAGTATAAATATGCTGATATGCAATTAAGATATGATTATGTGCAATTCAGTGTTCAAACGTGGACAGACTAACCTTGTTTTTTGTTTGTTATAAGTGATTGGGAAATGTGATACTCAGAGTTAACTCCTTTATAATTGCACTTACCTTGGATAACCAGTATTATCCTCGGTCTGAGATTTTAATATATTTCTAAGCTGGATGGAAACACTATCTCAGTTACACTAAACTAAGAAAAGTTCGATGTGGAGTATTGTTGACTAAAATACATGGCTGCAATACAGCTAAGGTGAAAGCGTTCAGATTTCACGCATCTTCAATAATGTTTTAAGACTTAACATCAGGCTTAACAGCACAATGCTGTGACAAACTAGGCATGTAGCTGTAAAGTCGAATTTGTTACGTGAGGGCAAACGTCTTTAGCATTTGGTAGATATTAAGCTTCAGAGTTTATCTATATGCAAAATATTCCTTGGATCAATGTCTCTAAAATTGTAATTACAGCCTTTATTTTTAACAATGCAATTATCGTGTTTATGAGAATTTATTACACGATAGGAAATTGGGTAAAATAAAAGTATGATGTTCAGTCTGAAAGCAAATGGGTTTGAATTAGATATTGGTACCTATCTAGAAAAATGACAATGTAAATGGGGATGTGTTGTCTTTTAAAGATTTATTGACAATGATTAGACAACAGGGGTCTTGATGTGCTAATGTCAAGGTGGAAAGGTCTAAAGGTAAACAATTCCACGCCTCTTGGAAAAAGCTACAGAAGATTTGACTTAATCAAGTATTCAGGAACGTGACTGAGTATATGGAAAGGCAAAGGGTGAATACTGGACTTGCTGAATATATTATGAATTAAAAGAGAAGATTGAGACTTTGTTGGTTAATAATTATTCATTTGATACCACTGCAATTTTCGTTTTTTGTATAAAATAGGAGGTGGATCTGATCAAACGCTGCCAGGAAAAGATGAGGAATACCATTGAACGCGCCAACGTTCAACTCGGGTAATATGATATGTGGAGAAGGATTAAATATATAAACAATTAAATCAACATTTTATTTTTAAAGACAGAAAAGAGCTTGCATATATCCCAAAACTTTCTTCGTGAAGTAAATAGATCATAATAGATGTAATTATATGTTAGTATTGTGTTATTTCAAACATCGGAACAGTTTATAATCTTTCTTTTTATATATTTAGTCTTAACAGAGCTGCTCAACACGAGCTAGAGAAAGATGAAGGGGACAAATTTATTGCCCTTAACTTAGATGAAAATTGTCACGGATTACGTAACAACTCCAGAGGTCTTGCCTACCATAATGGAGTGAACCATATTGATAACACGTAAGTTTTCATGTTTGTAATATTAATCAATGAACAACTAAATTTGTTCTTTTATTTTTGATAGTCTGGACAGAGCAGCTCAACATGAGTTAGAGAAAGATTCAGCTGACAAATTTGTAGCGAATAGTTTGGACGAAAATTGTCATGGATTGCGCAATTCTTCTCGTGGTATTGCTTACCACAACGGCGTACAGAGAATTGACAACACGTGAGTTAGGGACGCCCTTTTGTCCAATCATTGGCGACATTACGTTTTGGTGTGGTGTGATTCCTCTTTTATCTGCTTTATACTGTTTGCATCACTCTGTTTTCAACCCGCATTGCAGCTTTCTGTTAGGGAAGTTTAAGCACCAATCGGTCTATAAGCACAAGTTCCTCGTGAGCAAATCTAGCGTTGTTGTCTTGGCATGATTTGTCACCGCTGTGACAAGGTCAGTGAAATAATATGCTGCATTTGTTCAGCAAGGTATCATTCTTTCATATAGCCTTGTGTGATTTTAAGCTTCTGCACATTATCTGGTTTGCTTGTTCCTTTCAATGAGTTTCTAACTTGCGTTTTAGAATATAAAATCACTCTACCATTATATTCCCTTTCCATTTGGTAACTTCATATCAAGCTATCAAATACCCATTACAAGCATTTTGCTAAAAATTCTCGACGAATTTTCAGTTGTATGCGCTACATGTAGTGTATAATCTATTACAACCATTGCGCAAAAGAAGTATTTAAAATAGTAGTATTAAGTGTAATTTTGACGCATGCAGTGTTGAATTTTGCTCAATGTTGCACTGTTATTCTTATAAACGCGACTTTTGAAATCAACTACATTGTAGTACCATAAATATTCAAATAAAGACAGAATTTCACGTTTGGATCTATTTATTGTTATGTTTTGATATGGTTGTTGTAAATGGTGTTCCTTCTCGCTTATTCAGAGTATCTGTGCCTGAAACATGGGCTAAATTTAGCAACGACAACATCCAGCGTTCTCAGAGTGAACGAGCTGCCTCCAAGCAGATGAGGAACGAGATCGAAAGTGTGCTCAACTCTTGTGCCAACGACATGTGGCAAGAATGGAACTCTGTCAACGTTGCCTTGACCCAGCGTATTGGAGAGTCTACTGATGCCAGGAACAAGCTCCAGACTCACCTGTCCAAGGTAATATCAACAAACGTGGACAATGATGGTATTGTACTTAATTCTTCTATTCTTTATTATGAGATAATTCAGTCTTAGAGAAAAAATATTTGGTAAAGTTTTGAATATGTGTCATTTGCAGGTCCTCCAAGAGATCTTCGACATGGAGAAGAACATCGAGTTGCTGAAGAAGGCTATCCAGGACAAAGAGGCTCCCATGCAGGTGGCTCACACTCGTCTGGACACCAGAATACGTAGACCTAATGTGGAGTTATGCAGAGATCCAGTACAACACAGGTAAGTTTGTTTTCTTAGTGAAAACAGCGTCTTATAAAAAGGATATAGCTGTAACGAAGCAATAACGGAAACGGCTTTACTGGAAAAAGAGGTGTGAATTGTAAAAAACAAATGTATATGCATAAAGGAAATGAAGGTGCATATACTAACAGACATAAATGTTGTAGAAAGAAAATGTATGTATTCCTTACAGTTGGAGTTCAATAAGCTTCATTGCTTTTATTGCATTGATTTGCCTTTGAAATTCATTAAATTTATAATTCCTCTACAATTTCGGGTTGATATAAACTTCTGTCTCCTTTACAAAACAGGCTAGTTGAAGAGGTTGACGAGATCGGAGTGACTGTGGAACACTTGCAGAACAAACTGCGCATGGCCGAGTGCGCCCTCCAGAATTTGCTGCGCACCAAGGCTAGTCTTGAACAAGACTTGTCCATCAAGAACAACAGCTTGTTCATCGACCGCGAAAAGTGTCTGGGCATGCGCAAAACATTCCCCATGTCACCACGTGTTGTTTCAGTCTAAATTGCCATAAGCTTTAGCGAACCAAGTGAATGGTGGACTTGTTATTTCAATTATATTATTTATCATCGGATGGTTTATGCAAGAATCCTTTTAAGCAAAACGAGTAAATAAATTCGTTAGTACTGTTAATGGTTAACATTTTACTGTTATCATAGGACTTTGTTACTATTCCGAGTGAAGACTATACTAACTTCGTCTTTCAGTACGAAATCAATGTTAACGTCTCTGATACAGATGTGTATACTATACACATAACAGCGTCATTGTCAAGAAACTCTTGTCGGTTCGATTTAACTTGGATCAGTATTGCACATATTACTATTTATATTCCTGTATATAATTACCGTTGGGTGATGATTCTGTCCACATATTCGTGTGTTTTGATCAGTATTATATAAAGGTGTGGTTACATACAGCTGTGATAACATTATAGGAGACGCCGTGTACATTTTCTAATCATATTACATTTTCGTATTGGTATTTCAAAGAAACTTCGATTAAACTTAACAATGTGAAACTAAAATAACATAATATATCAACTGTTTTTACCGGCATGAACTTTATATCTTCAGTTTTTTGGGATAGTGCGTTTCGCAATATAAAGTTCCAGTTGTATATTTTAAATTTTTCTATGGTATATATACATATGTAATTGGTATATTTTAGATACACATGGAACACACATCATATTCTGATGTTTTAAGTCCAATCTTTTATCAGTGATTGTAAGTACTGGAAATATATATCATGTTCCTGGGATATTTTGATACATATAAGCTATTTTTACATTTTTTTTGCATCACATGCATTAGCAACTATTGCACAATGTAAATATATTTAATAACTCTTCTATTGGATTTTAAACGACATCCTGTCGCAGACGATGATTTTCCCCAGCATTTAATGCTGTATTTTTTGGCACTATAAGTATTTCTGTTAAGTATGTATACATTTATATCTATTGCATATCTGTGATACTCTTTTAGGTTATTTAATATATTCGTTGGTAGGTCTTTGCATCTTTTGCCTGTCAGTATTTGCACCGTGTGTCACCATTACTTCTTTGTCATCGCGTCATCATTGTGCTTTGTGATGTCATATTACAATTGATCCGTCCTACATACTTTACACTGCGAATGTTAACGAAATGAGACCTACATTATATATAATTATTGTTTGCTCAGTCGCGAATTTTGTATGGTTGAACACTTTTAAAAAATAAACTGGATGCAGTGAAGTGTTTGTGTTTGTGTTTTATATACGGATATATACAAACCCCATTGGCTGAAGGGCGATAGTTCTTTTTATGTGGGTATTTTTTTTTTAACTTTTGAGTTACTTGTTACAACGTTTAATGAGAAATTTTGTCAGAATTCAATCAATATATTGTTAGTGTGGAGCTACATGCAAAAGTACATGTATAGCTTAGCACAGCAATGTAGCATAATTATCAGCTGACAATGATTCCAATACAAATAAGGTTATATTAGAGCATTACTGGGATTTCGGAAAGAAAACAAGTACAATGAAAGATGTGTCCGAAAAATCACAACTCTAGCTTAAGACAAGAGACTTCCTTCGTTTTGTATTGTTGAATTTGTATTAAAAATATTATTGCATCTTCATAAAATATACATCCTAAACTGGTGTTGACCGACAATAGTATGACATGACAACTTCAATCTTGGAGACTTTACTTTGTACTAATTTTCTTGACAAAATGTTAACAATAAAACAATAACGACAAATTAACAAACTTAATTCAAACTTCAAATAGACGAACTGATGTTAAACTGTAAAGAAGAAAGATTCAAATAAGAGTTTAAAAGTTATAAGTGAATAAGATCGAGGACTCTAGAAGGGTAAGCGTCTTCTGCTTCTTGGTCAATCTAAGCAAAGCAAATGATGACGTTTCCAAATGAATACCAGGGTTTTATACAAACTACCAGACATGCCTCCGAGCATTGAATACGTATTCATATCGCACAAGGAGATGGCGACCATACAATTTCTCCAAAATTGCTGTTAAAATTGAAACAATAGTGACCAAAGATAAAATTTGCGATAGAAGTTGTCTCCATCTCCATTAACCACTAAGGTGTGTAGCAACAATCAGCATATTGATCATTTGTTGTCCTCACCAGAAACTCTACATTGCTCAATTTTGGGAATTTGATCAGTCGTGGTTGTACTGTCTATTGACAACATACGTCGTTAACAATGGAAATCGGGTGGAGGGATTCAAAAATATTGAAGAATCCGTATCTTTTTATTTTATTTTGTATCGTTATTGGGTGTTCAAACATCGATGGATTAGCACCCTGACCAATGATACATGACAATCCTCTCCCCATCTCACAACTGAATTTGTCGACTGGCCGATGGTATTTTGCTTTTCACTTGACCAGGACCACTGTATAGCTGTTACATAGAGGAATAGCAGAATGGTGTTCTACACTAAGTGAACGAGGACAAAATATCTATCTCAATAGATCGGTCTTTGATTCAACAATTTCAAACTTAAGAGCAATGCAAAAGCGACTAAAAAGTTCACATATTTCAGAATTTATTTAATTCCTTTCAAAATGAATTGTACATGAGACACAAGTGAATAGCACCTTTCAAAACAAATAATATTCCTAATGAAGCTGTCTCGCCCGTCCGTGACTCTTTGGTGAAGCTAAAGCCTACCGTACGGTAATCTAATGCTTTAACACAACCTGCGAACGGCAACATAACACGTATCATCTCCCAAAACTGATAGTATTAGATAAAGATATATGTCACTAATTGACATTTTGCATCCTTCTAATACTTGTGTCAAAATATTGAAGTCAATAAAACCCAAATAAGAAATCGGCGGTAACAAATGTTAATATTTAAATGATGAGGTGAACCAACATCATAAACCAGGCAATGACTTAAATATTTGAATATCACACGACAGTCCTCTTCTCGACGCCTCATTCTTATTACGTGTATCCACAGTGAGAAAGGGAGACTGGTAATCAAATATTCCCGCGGTTCGTTATAGAATTGAGAGTAACTTGCCTCGTGCATTCATCGGCCGTCTGTTGACGTGACCATGTACGTAAGCTCGTGCAGAAAAGGCCTCCGTGTCGCACAAGACAAAAAAATCTAAATAAAATACAAACATATCATCTTCCAACAGACCATTAGCATACCAATGGCAACTAAATGTTACTGAACTAACTACCCTATAGCCATACATAGGGCACTGTGTTATTATCTAGACGCCCAACAGGACTATATCTTATAACTAAGATTTTTTTTAACACGCAACAAATTACTATATTCGGTTTTTCAATTATTCCTTTCCCTAACCTGTTTTTGCTTTCTAGCTTCATTATCGAGCTGGGGAATCGTTTTTTTCCTTAGGCATTCATATTTTGGGAGTACGACAGTGGTCCGATTGTCACCCAGAAAAGATCGAGTTTGCTGGTACACACATTTGGTCTCAAGTCTTTGGAGACAGGTTTACAGATAAAAGTCCTGTTTTTCCTGATCGTGCAAGTAGATTGCAATGATAGAACACTCACTGGTCGATGCATTTATTTCAGCAAACATTATCACTCATTTGTCCGAGTTGCACATGCGCGCATTTTGTCTCATTGTACGTGAACACCCTCCCATCAACGTCCGTGCTGAATTTCCGATTTTTGTGTGTGCATGTTTTTTCCGTTTTTTTTTTTTCTTTTTCGTAGCAGCCGAAGGGAGTGGGACACCACAAATGCAAGTATAACAGGTTGGTCAAGCCATTTTTTTTATTGTGCAATGGAATGCATTAATAATTAAAACAAAAAATAAAAAAGAGCAAGCTAAAGAACGTGCTTCTTGGTTGCTGAATGAAAAACCGATGAAAATAAATTGAAGAAAATTTTGATTCCTTCCGACCTGATAACGATGGAATCATAACATAAAAACTTTAATTTTAAGCCTTTAGTTGCCCAGTATTTTCCCAATAGATGAAATAAAAATCAAATACATTTAACCATGTCACATTTTATTTTCCCCAAGTACTAAATATCAGTGTGAACTACATGTATCATTGTTTGTAGTGTATTTGCATACCTTTACCTAGTCTGGTCCACTTGTATTCTAAATAATCAAACAAATTTTCCATTTTGAAATTGACCTCAAACTGTTTTTCTGTGTAAGTCTTGCTTTGTTTTTGATTTTTTTTTCTTAATTTGTAAACATGTCAATATCAGCAAAGATTGTGTTTACAATCATTATTTACGCATCATACTCACTGTATTGGATAAAGTTTTTTAAAGCAATATATTGTGTAGTATGCTTTTTGTAAGTAAAGAGCAGAAGGAAAGTTCTAAATTAATGATCATAATTCTGTCATTCTAAACAAGCTTCAGGCAATCACTTCAGAATTCTACGACAAGTAACCTACTGTTGGATAATGGGAGGAGACAAGTGTTATTTGATATTAGATAACAGTTTTTCATTTCCAAAACCATCTGCAAAAATTTTCCACATCTCTTTTTAAATATGAGAATCACCCCACTCAGTATGTACAAGGTTTTAATGCAGACTGCTAGGCCTCTCAACCAAGCTATTCTCCAATCTTGTCTATGTAACAGTGATCATTATTTATGTCAATGCCTCCGCTAGGATTCGAACTCAAGACCTCTGGCATACTAGTCTGATGCTTAATCAATTGAGATAAAGAGAAGTTCTCTCTAGCTTAGCAGTATATTGTGGCTAGTATTCTACCAGGGTTACATACTCTCCTCCCTAGGAAATAACTTGTCTAAAGTTCATACATGGGTGCCAATGTAACAGAGGTCATTACTTATTACAATGCCTCCACTAGGATTCGAACCCGAAACCTCTTAATATTGAACAAGAGATCCCAAATCTCATTTGAATATTGAATTTGTTTAAAAAGGTGTTGCAAATGTTCATGAACTGGTCTTCATTGAATGTACTCAATGATGGCTCAAGATATTTTTATTAAGCACCTATTAGCAAATATCATTTGAAAAAATCCCAAAGTATCATTAGATAGCAGTCAGTTACAGGTGGATAATGGACAATATGCTTGTGCTGTATTACTGTCGACATACAAGATGGCTGATAGATGGTGGGCTAATTAAAAAGCTTTTGATAATTTTACGGAAACCTTAAGGCCATCTTCTAAAAACTGGTACAAGAATTTTGATAACTGAAAAATGTTTCGAGAGAAATAGGATGAAGAATACAGATTGGTTAATACATATAATACCAAACAATTATTGTAAAATTTTCTGTATTGGAGGTCTCATGACAGAAATGATTGATTCCATCTTCCTTCCAAAAGGCCTATAACCAATTTGGTGCAAGCGATCCGCAGGTGACATATCAAGATGGAGCCACGGAGTACTATCTACACATATGGGTAGTACCAACATTCTGGCCACAATCCGACTTACAGTTATTTTCAGTATTGGAGGTCTCATGACAGAAATGATTGATACCATGATATTTCCAAAATATACTCAAGAATTTCGGCATCAAAATCAGAGTGTTGGTTGTAACAGAACTAGAAGTGGGTGAGATGTAAGAAAGTTTTCATTATTAATAGTAAAGTTTTTGTATGCTTATGATACACATATCATCTTGACAGTTGCTTCTTAACAATTTTAAACATTTAAGTCACTTTACTTTTTTTAATGTATTCAGTAGACATAGAAATATCGGTTCAATAAGTTTTGTTAGTAAAGGGAAATAACTCTACAATTTCGGTCTGTTTAATTTGTGTAAAACTGTTGACTAATCCTGCAAATGCATGTAGACTCAAGTTATCACAGTATATGGAAGCTGCCTGAATACATCTTCTATATGACATTAAAATGATGTACAATGCAATTCATCAGTAAAAAATCAAACATTCTTGTTTTATTTTGAAATCTTAACACTGAAAAATAAATACAACAACAATGTAGAGGTCAAAGTACAATAGAATCAATAGTAACTTATACAAAATAATACCCACAACAATGCAGTAGACATTTTATATTGTCTATACATCAAATGTATCATAATCTCACAAGCAAACTTCATATAATGGATTTCCTCAGTATTGGTGAACAACATGAAAAAGTCATCACTGGAATGTCTTTATAGCTATTCAAAATATTACAATTCAATATTACTACCAGCAACATCATATAACATTGTCCAATATGATCAATAGTAAATGTCAGCACGCATTTCATTTCAAACTACAGCCATCATACATAAATCATAAAGATTATGAAAATGGTAAAATATCATTCAGGTTTAAATCATTATACAGTATGAAGTCAGCAGTAGGTCAACATTAAAATATGATACCCCATAAAATCTCATATTTGCTGTATGTTTGTGGTATAATGATAATTTTACACAATATCAATAATCCCTACATTTCTTATGAAGATTCACATTTGTTTTGCAGTACTGCAATACTGTAGGTACACTTACATCGTCTCCTATTCAATTGTACTGGTTCACCTACATGAACTCCTATTCAATAGAAATGTAGGAACACCTACACCTACTCCTATCTAATAGCACTTTAGTACATGCACTATGTTTCTACCATCTTAACTTTCATGAAATCATGATAATACTGTAAAAGGTGACCAACTTATCATGAAACACAACCAATTAGAAGTATTTTGTTTTCTATAGAGGACGTCCATCCAAGCTTGCTTTATCAAATTACTAGTTTTTATTACAGTAAAAATTCCTTTTAAAAAGTAATACAAATGATGTGTGTAATGCAAATAAATAAAGTTACCATATTCACAGTAAAAAACACCCCTCCAGTGTGAAATATTGTAATCGTGTTATTACCAAATTCACAGTAAAAAACACCCATCCAGTGTGAAATGTTGTAATCGTGTTATTACCATATTCACAGTAAAAAACACTCCTCCAGTGTGAAATATTGTAATAGCGTTATCACCAAATTCACAGTAAAAAACACCCCTCCAGCGTGAAATGTTGTAAATAGTGTTATTACCAAATTCACATTAAAAAACACCCCTCCAGTGTGAAATATCGTAAATAGTGTAATTACCAAATTCACAGTAAAAAAAAAACACTCCTATTCATATCAACAGTAAATACAATCCAATGATCCCTAGAAAATGCTGCTCCATGAACTTAATATCTTCAAACATCATCAACAGGAATTTCAAAATATATACCTAACTACTTTTTAAATAGGTATCAAAACAAAACAAGTAACTCAATGCAAGGATATAAGCTCTAAGCTTGCTTTCACATCCCATAAGTATCATAATTATGTGTTAAATTGTTGAATATTTAATAAAAACATTGTTTAAATATAAGTTGGAATGTATACCCGGTAAATTGTTATAAAAATAGTATGGACACCTCAACAAGGGCAGAATATACCATAAAAATCCAAATGGACAAATAGGTATAAATCTCGAGTATCTATAGGTCATTGCTGTACATCTGTAAAAACCTAAAATCCAATCTGATGAAAACTAAAATGGAAGTCATCAGAACATTTTAACAATCATACAACCATTGTTGAGTAAGTGTCCAAATCAACAGCAAATGTCCGAAGTTGTCATGGAGAAGGATCTATGTAACCTACTATCAGAGAAGAATGATTGCTGGATAGTTTACAACACTGTTATTTGTTTTTGAATGATAATCAGGGAAATGAGTGTTTAAAATAAAACATATACAAGATTAGCTGTATAATGTCCCTTATTTATGACTCAGCTCTTTAATCTTCATTGTTTTACTTTCAACAGTGTGCCCTATGACAGAACTTTTAAAATGAGCTAGACACAAACACCATGCAGTTTTGCATCACCGAGATGAAGTCCATGAGATTGATATGATTCTACATTTATCTCTGTGATCCACAACAATCAATGCCAAAGCACAAGTTACAATGAAATTATTGCACAAAATTCAAAACTGCAGTTTATTATTGATGTCTTATTAGGCAGTTTTCTTGAATATTGATAGAATATGTCCAGCAGTGACCTTAGAGCCGTCCCCAACAATAAAACTGTTGTGGTCTCCCTCTACCTGGTGGATGTTGATTGTACCATCGCAAATCTGAAACAGCCAATGTTCAGGTCAAGTTATCATGAAAACAATACCAGTAACATATACAAACACTTCTATGTAGAGACACCTATCTGAAACAAACACAATGAGGAATTACCAACTAAATTAATCATTATTCTAATTATTGTAAAATAGCATCACTAAAATACTACCTCTGAGAGTCCATAGTCCTGCTCCAGAGGTCCCATGTCCCCAGCCCCTGCCTTCACCAGTGTCACATTCCCATGCAATTTCTTTGTGGGTTTGTACTGGTCAGATATCATCAGTCTCCGGTAAAAGGCCTCAGCTGCTATGTCTAGGTCAGCTGAACTCTTGAACAAGTCTAACTTTGATAATTTTTCCACAACAATTTTTAGACGTCCACTGAAGTCTGTTTGTTTCTCTATTTCTTGGGAAAGCTGAAATTTTTAGAATGAAATCAATATCAAACATGACAAAGTTGGCGAAATTTTGAAAAAAATTGTATACTGTTTACATTTCATCCAATCACAATCTGCAGATAATTCTAACAAGAGGATATGACATGCTTTTCACAGTAGTGACTGGAGTTGTAGCTGAATACTATTCATGAAGAGGAAATTCTTACCAGTCCAGACAAAGGTGACCTGTATTTTCCCCTTCTACACTAACACCTGGGTAGAATGGTCTCCTAAGGGAATTATCAATTTCTTACCCTGAACATGTGCAGGTCATTTATACTTTTACAACTATGAGGTTTAATTGCTTAACTCTAGGGTTGAGACAAGGGTATTCCCCATCAACACTGACAACAAATGACAGAGTCAACACTGACCACCAAGGACAAAGTCAACACTGACAACCTGTGACAGAGTCAACACTGACAACCAAGGACAGAGTCAACACTGACCACCAATGACAGACTCAACACTGACAACCAAGGACAGAGTCAACACTGACCACCAATGACAGACTCAACAGTGACCACCAATGACAGAGTCAACACTGACAACCAAGGACAGAGTCAACACTGACCACCAATGACAGACTCAACAGTGACCACCAATGACAGAGTCAACACTGACAACCAAGGACAGAGTCAACACTGACCACCAATGACAGTCAACAGTGACAACCTGTGACAGAGTCAACACTGACAACCAAGGACAGAGTCAACACTGACCACCAATGACAGACTCAACAGTGACCACCAATGACAGAGTCAACACTGACAACCAAGGACAGAGTCAACACTGACCACCAATGACAGTCAACAGTGACAACCAAGGACAGAGTCAACACTGACAACCTGTGACAGAGTCAACACTGACCATCATTATTCCACAAAATGATTCTATGTCAAAATTTATAAGATTCTTTCCATCTTTCACTTAGATGAGAACATTTTCTATCTAATGGTAATCACCTAGATTACATGACAAATTGCACCTAAAATCCAAAATGTTCTCTTGGGGAAAGTCATGAAGGTTTTTCTCAATCATATATTCTGGAGAGAGCCGATATTATGTTATGGGTTAGATGTTATATTGCTCCATTGTAGAGTGTATAGAATGGAGAAGAAAACCGTTTACAGGTACAATGATACAGGTATAATGCATCTATCAGGAAGGACTTTGTGTACAAATTCTGAAGTAAAGCATATATCTTAATACAGGTTTGTTCCTCTGTCATAAAATCTACATCAACCTAAACCCTTTATGTAATGATGAGATCTGTCCTTACCTGGCTTACACCTTCAGTGGTAAACTGTTGAACAAATGCACAGAGAACAGCAACCTCAGCCTGCTCCTGGCTCTGGATTGCCATCTTGTCTCGATAGGTTCCAATATGGGATGACACAAACTTGTGGGACCCATCCAACAAACAGAGAGACTCAACTATATCGTCTCCAAGTTTCTCCAACTGCAGTGTTATCTCTATGGCAACGCTGGTCCCAAAGGAATAGCCACACAGGTTATAAGGAGGTTTGGGCTGGACAGACTGCATCACCTGTAATTATGCAATTATTAAAAAATGTTCCAAGTAAGATATTCTCATCAAGGGTTTACAATGACACAAACACTCACATAAATAATGGGCATGTAAAATTTGGGTATGATATTTGTTGGAAAAATTTGCATAATTTTCATATATGTAAAAGTTGTAAAATTTATATTATAGTTTACCTGTATGTAGAAGTTTTATAGTTAAGATGATAGTTTACCTGTATGTAGAAGTTTTATAGTTAAGATGATAGTTTACCTGTATGTAGAAGTTTTATAGTTAAGATGATAGTTTACCTGTATGTAGAAGTTTTACAATTTAGATGATATTTTACCTGTATGTAGAAGTTTTATAGTTAAGATGATAGTTTACCTGTATGTAGAAGTTTTATAGTTAAGATGATAGTTTACCTGTATGTAGAAGTTTTATAGTTAAGATGATATTTTACCTGTATGTAGAAGTTTTACAATTTAGATGATATTTTACCTGTATGTAGAAGTTTTATAGTTTAGATGATATTTTACCTGTATGTAGAAGTTTTATAGTTAAGATGATAGTTTACCTGTATGTAGAAGATTTATAGTTAAGATGATAGTTTACCTGTATGTAGAAGTTTTATAGTTACGATGATAGTTTACCTGTATGTAGAAGTTTTACAATTTAGATGATTGTTTACCTGTATGTAGAAGTTTTACAATTTTGATGATTGTTTACCTGTATGTAGAAGTTTTATAGTTAAGATGATAGTTTACCTGTATGTAGAAGTTTTACAATTGAGATGATTGTTTACCTGTATGTAGAAGTTTTATAGTTAAGATGATAGTTTACCTGTATGTAGAAGTTTTATAGTTAAGATGATAGTTTACCTGTATGTAGAAGTTTTATAGTTAAGATGATTGTTTACCTGTATGTAGAAGTTTTACAATGTAGATGATTGTTTACCTGTATGTAGAAGTTTTACAATTTAGATGATTGTTTACCTGTATGTAGAAGTTTTATAGTTAAGATGATATTTTACCTGTATGTAGAAGTTTTACAATTTAGATGATTGTTTACCTGTATGTAGAAGTTTTATAGTTAAGATGATATTTTACCTGTATGTAGAAGTTTTACAATTTAGATGATTGTTTACCTGTATGTAGAAGTTTTACAATTTAGATGATTGTTTACCTGTATGTAGAAGTTTTATAGTTAAGATGATATTTTACCTGTATGTAGAAGTTTTACAATTTAGATGATTGTTTACCTGTATGTAGAAGTTTTACAATTTAGATGATTGTTTACCTGTATGTAGAAGTTTTATAGTTAAGATGATAGTTTACCTGTATGTAGAAGTTTTACAATTTAGATGATTGTTTACCTGTATGTAGAAGTTTTACAATTTAGATGATTGTTTACCTGTATGTAGAAGTTTTATAGTTAAGATGATATTTTACCTGTATGTAGAAGTTTTACAATTTAGATGATTGTTTACCTGTATGTAGAAGTTTTACAATTTAGATGATTGTTTACCTGTATGTAGAAGTTTTATAGTTAAGATGATATTTTACCTGTATGTAGAAGTTTTACAATTTAGATGATTGTTTACCTGTATGTAGAAGTTTTGCAATTTAGATGATTGTTTACCTGTATGTAGAAGTTTTATAGTTAAGATGATAGTTTACCTGTATGTAGAAGTTTTATAGTTAAGATGATATTTTACCTGTATGTAGAAGCTAGCCATGTCAGGGATACTATGAAGAGGGACATCCTTGGAGCATTGAAGACCATAGACAGGACAGCTGAGTTGGGAGGCTAATTCCCTCATACATTTCACACTTCCTGTTCATGTACAGTAAAATGTAAAACAGTTCCATTTAAACATTATCCTCAATAGTTTCAATATTTCAATATGACATTTACATCTGAATATAAATCTAATTCCCAGCATGCAAATATTGCATAGCCAATATTTTCTGTAACACTGTTTATCAAAGCTGATTGACAAAGTCAAAATTTTTGTTATATGTCACAACCCAATGAAGAATATTCATAAAAAAGGCAATTCATGGCGATAAATTTCGTTACAGTACTTCTGTTTTTCTTCATTCTATAAATTATCTTCGTAATAAAGAACCACAATAATTTTTCCTTACCTTCTAAAGGATGAACTATAAATAGCGGAGATTGACTATCATCTCCTACATTCAACCTCACTATGGTCTCCTGTGGCATAATCTGGTCCAAGTCATATCTTTCCAGGATTTGTTCAGTGAAGGCCTGTTCTGCCTTTTTGTCCCCAGTGGACTGGCTTTCCAGGTTATCTGATATAACCTGAAGTTTAGATACACTGAGTTGTCTAATTTCACGCATGGGTAATGTTAGGTCAAAATCTCGTTCCAGTGTTTGCTTGACCTCAACTCCCATCAGAGAATCTAGACCAAGGTCACCAAGGCTGGCATTAGAATCCAGAGTACTGCGATCCTTTACTCCTGTAATGTTATGAAGCCAAATTTTGAGCTTGTTATTCAAAATTTTCAATAACTGCATCATTATAAAATTATCAGATACTTTTACAGAAGAGTTTAATCTATTACCATATCTATTCAAAGTAACCTTTACTTTTAATCAGTTTTGAATATAAACACAAACCTAGAATATTGCAAATTGCATCCACCAAGTTTTTCTTGGAACTTTCACCTTTCGACCTCTGGTTAACTTTTTCAGCAAGTACAAAGCTGGACATGACGGGATGAGGTTGGTTGAGGAAGTTGTCCAGTGTACAGAGACAGGAGGCTATGCGTTGTGGCAGGGTACCACCAATCACAGTGTCATTGGTTCCCATGGTATCCAACACCACCCCTACATCTCCAATGGCTCCCCATTGTACTGCTAAGGCTGCAATTCCAACAGACATTACATCTTAATTCTTATAGTAATTGACCTAGGTTTCATGTATTTTCTGTAAATATGGTTAACATTAAATGACAATGGAATAAGTTTAACAGACTTCTTACAAATAAACCTGAGTCTGAAATCATAACTAATTAGCTTTCATCTTACCATCATCATGGCTCAATAGTGTGAGCAGAAATATATCGTAATTACTTTCCAATAAAAAAATTACCGGGAAAGCCATCACGTGTCCTCTGCTCACAAATCCTCTCCATTACTGAGTTAGCAAATCCATAGTTAGTTTGCCCAGCATTGCCCCGCCCACAACTGACAGATGAGAACACAACAAACCAATCCAGGCTTTCCTTACAGTGGTCTCTAGTCACCTTATCTAAATGCAAGGTGCCCTTAACTTTTGGTTGGCAGACAACATCAAAATCTCTCTGGCTCAAGTTTTCTAAAAAGCCATCTTTGAGCACCTGCAAACACATTTCACAATTTAAGATGAAGACTGGTTGTAATACATTGTACAGATTGCTTTCTTTACCTCAAAGTTGTTTCATTAATGGCCAATGGAATGTTGGTGGTTTTTTTATGTATATATGTAATTTATACAAGGAAAAATCAGCTAATTATTTGACAATCATGTTCTCTGATAACTTTTCATAAAACATCTGAGCAATAACTTCACAAAGTGACTGGGTAGTACTTATTGTTCCTGAAATAAACCCAGGGGACCACCATACAAATTCTAACTTGGGGGAGGTTTTATTACAACACAATGACACTTAATTCTACATATTTACTGGACATGGGCTGGATAAATAAGGCAGGTAGACTACACATTTGACATGATAAGTATAATACCCCTTGAACATTTCCTACCGAAGTCTTTCCACATCTATTTCTAAGTTTAGTTAAATTTTTGTCATATAGATATTACCATGGCTAAATGGAAGACTCCACCAACTTCTCTGATATTACAAGATTCTTTAATGAGAGACTGTGCACTGTGTTCTGTAGTTACATCTTCATTCGACACAACAATCTGAATTCCCTTCTTTTTCCACACTTGAAGTTTCCTAGCCTGATATCCGGTCTTGACCCCTGATCTAGAGGTCAAGATCAGATGTCTGGCACCTCTGTCAATCAACCACTGAGCCAATTCTAATCCAAAACCACCAAGTCCACCAGTGATGATGTAGGATTTGTGAGCATGGCAAGCAAACCTTGGGACTGCTTCCACTGATACAGAACATTGTTGGTCAGTTTCCTCCTGAATCTAGAAAATAACAGATGATGCAATCAAACTCTTCATTAACATCAACATAGATATTCAAATACTAAGTTATGATGTGGTACAATGTTAAATTTCCTTATGGAATATTTTAACAAGGAAGTAAAATTTTATCATTTTAAAGATTGTAGTAGAAGTTTTGACTATATACCTGGATGAGTACTTTGCCAATGTGTTTACCCTTGGCCATGTACCTGAAGGCACCCTCAAGGTCATCTCTCTCAAACACAGAGGAGGGGAGGGGCTGTACTGCCCCAGAATTCACTCCCTGGATCAGAAGTTCTGACACTAGTCTCCATTCTGGATTACCTTCCTCAAATAGAGCATCCAGCAAGATGCCATGGAAACTGATATTCTTCAGAAACACCGCCATGCCTGGAAATAAGATGGAAACAAGAAAACAAACGGGTTATCTCACTATTCCCAAAGACAGAAAGACATGACAATGAATGATAACATGTGTTAACATATGCCAGAACCATGTAGAGAAACAATACATTAGCTGAGTGTACATTTTTTATTTATATGGAGAATTCTTTTACATGCATTCTTTGTAAAATTGCTTCCATCTAAACATCCCACAAACATTAAATGCATCAGTATTTCAATCTTTAAAAAGAATATTCTTACATTTTTTTTTTACAATAATTATGGGGAGATTTAGATTTTTGGCATGGGATTTCAAGTATGTAGGTAAAAGAGAAAAAATAAGGTTTGGGTGAAGACTTGTTTCAATCAGACTAGGAACCAATACATGTATTTTGTTACAGCTCAGCCCCGGAACATTTCTGGTATGTTTCTGTTTATATTCTTACCCAGTGGATTATTTTTTGATAAGTCAAATTTGCCGATTTCCAGGAAGCGACCATGCTGGGCTAAAAGGCGAACACTTGCTTGTAGCTTTTCCTCAGCAAGCGAGTTCAATACCACATCAACACCTATAATGATTGTAATCAGTGAGATAACTGATCGTCACAAAGTACAACACCTATAATGATTGTAATAGTGAGAAAATAGATTGTCACAAAGTACAACACCTATAATGATTGTAATAGTGAGAAAATAGATTGTCACAAAGTACAACACCTATAATGATTGTAATAGTGAGAAAATAGAGTGTCACAAAGTACAACACCTATAATGATTGTAATCAGTGAGATAACTGATCGTCACAATGTACAACACCTATAATGATTGTAATAGTGAGAAAATAGATTGTTACAAAGTACAACACCTATAATGATTGTAATCAATGAGATAATTGATTGTCACAAAGTACAACACCTATAATGATTGTAATCAATAAGATAATTGATTGTCACAAAGTACAACACCTATAATGATTGTAATCAGTGAGATAACTGATCGTCACAAAGTACAACACCTATAATGATTGTAATAGTGAGAAAATAGAGTGTCACAAAGTACAACACCTATAATGATTGTAATGATTGTAATCACCTATAATGATTGTAAATGATTGTTACAAAGTACAACACCTATAATGATTGATTGTCTGATCGTCACAAAGTACAACACCTATAATGATTGTAATCAATGAGATAACTGATCGTCACAATGTACAACACCTATAATGATTGTAATAGTGAGATAATTGATTGTTACAAAGTACAACACCTATAATGATTGTAATCAATGAGATAATTGATTGTCACAAAGTACAACACCTATAATGATTGTAATCAATAAGATAATTGATTGTCACAAAGTACAACACCTATAATGATTGTAATCAGTGAGATAACTGATCGTCACAAAGTACAACACCTATAATGATTGTAATAGTAATGATTGTAATAGTGAGATAATTGATTGTCACAAAGTACAACACCTATAATGATTGTAATCAGTGAGATAACTGATCGTCACAAAGTACAACACCTATAATGATTGTAATCAATGAGATAATTGATTGTCACAATGTACAACACCTATAATGATTGTAATCAATAAGATAATTGATTGTCACAATGTACAACACCTATAATGATTGTAATCAATAAGATAATTGATTGTCACAATGCACAACACCTATAATGATTGTAATAGTGAGAAAATAGATTGTCACAAAGTACAACACCTATAATGATTGTAATAGTGAGATAATTGATTGTCACAAAGTACAACACCTATAATGATTGTAATCAATAAGATAATTGATTGTCACAAAGTACAACACCTATAATGATTGTAATCAATAAGATAATTGATTGTCACAATGTACAACACCTATAATGATTGTAATCAATAAGATAATTGATTGTCACAATGCACAACACCTATAATGATTGTAACCTATAATGATTGTAATAGTGAGATAATTGATTGTCACAATGTACAACACCTATAATGATTGTAATAGTGAGATAATTGATTGTCACAAAGTACAACACCTATAATGATTGTAATCAGTGAGATAATTGATCGTCACAAAGTACAACACCTATAATGATTGTAATAGTGAGAAAATAGAGTGTCACAAAGTACAACACCTATAATGATTGTAATCAATAAGATAATTGATTGTCACAAAGTACAACACCTATAATGATTGTAATCAGTGAGATAACTGATCGTCACAATGTACTGGACCAAGAAAATATATATATGATCCTAACATCTAACAACACATCTTTCATAACTAGACCTTGTATAGAAGTTATATTTCACAGCAAAAACAAATGACTTATGAAAACAACAGTATGTCTGTTACCATGTTTTTTGGTATGCTTGGAGGAATATTCTTGTAACATAACATATTTACAACATATATTCTGCCACACCATCCACAATAATGATGTATGCTTATTACTTGCACACTATTTTGCAAAACTTCAAATCATGCATACCAGTTTCATCAAAATCTGATGCATTTTTAATATTTTAGTGATTTGACATCCAAAAATTAAAAAGTAGAGAAATTAAAGGTGATGGATATTCATAAAATCCTGCAGCCCAAATTGCCCTGTAACAACCTATGTAGGTTCAACAGAAAATCTTTTGTAATGACATTTCCAATTACACTTATTTTATCATTCTTTGATTTTGAGCGCAGGAAACAATTAAGAACATTCACCTTTCCCTTGAGTGAGTCTGAGTATGGCTTTCTCAAATGATGTGTCACGTGAATAACAGATATGACTGTCTTGTAACTTAGGAAACCTAGACTTGAGGTAGGCTCTTTTCTCTGCTGTACCCACAGTAGTGAACACCTGACAACCATAATGAAGTGCGATGCTGATGGCCGCCTGGCCAACACCTCCACTTCCTGAGTGAATGAGCACACGATCACCTGATCTGATCCGACCTCGCACTACTAAAGCATAGAAGGCTGTTGTGTAGACAACAGGTACAGTGGCTGCCTCTTGTAGTGACCAGTGGTCTGGGACTGACCAAACAAAATTTGTATTGACATCTACCATAGTGGCCAAACCCTGTAATATATAAGACATAATATAAAGATTACTCCAAAGCTTGTCTTATCCTAAAACATAAATGCTAATTTCATTAAATATTACATGAAAATTCATTTAGTTTAAGAGATACATTTGAAGTAGGCACTGGGTACTGAACACAATAGTTTCCATAATGAACAAATCTGAAATGATAATTACAGTTACAGCCTAAATATAGAAAGGTCCAAGAGGGGGCCGAATCTATGACGATGCAGCAAAAAGAATCTTACTTCAAGTAAAAATCATACCCAGGTTTATGTCATAAGTTAAAGGGACTAAATGGTTAGATTGCATTATTTTTCCCTATGAGTGTGATTTCTGGCAAGCATTGTAATACTGTACTTAAAATTGGACTATTCACAAAATTAGTTCATCACATGACCTTACAGAACCTCATTTTAACCCGCAGAAAATAGAATCCATGGTAATTGTGGACACTTGTCATGTGGAATCAGAATAAGAGATTCACTTGAAAAAGCATGAATTGTATGATCTCTGGGAACAACCATCACACTTTATTTATTTCATTTATCTTCGCATATTTCAAATCATGAATGCTTTTCCTTTCTTTCCCAGTACTCTCAGTTAAGTGAGACTTCGGACCTCCGTTGCTTCGATTGGGAATCTGCCAACTTTGTTATGATTTCTAAATTTTGCCACATGGCGAATGCGCAAAGACATTGTTTACACTTACGGAACAATAATTATAATGAATTAGTGTTAGGTCACTCATATTTATTTTTTATTTTTTTTATGTTTTTAATAAAATGGTTGCCAAACTCTTAGATATTGAAATTAACTGAAAGTCCACAAATATTGACAGATATTTAAATCTCGTAATGCTTTTTATCAGTTATGAAATGAAAATCTAACCAATCAATCCTTTTATAGTCTCATAAAAGTTTAACAAAACCTATTTTATGAATTTGTGAGAGAAGGTTGTGTCCAAATGAAGACCTCGGCTATAATAACTACAGGTAATCTTTCAACAAATGTGCAAAATTTGTCCCTTGAAAGAAACCCATCAGAAAAATTTAGTAGATCATAGAAAAAGTATATAGCCACATTTTCAAAATTTTCTATACAGCATAATACGTCAACATAAAATTTGAAATATTATATGGTCTGAGCATTGAATTCTGACCATACCTTGGCCGGTAGAAGTCCCATCACTCGCCCTCCTTTGTCCTTCCCAGAAAATTCCATGCCAAGTATACAGTCCTGTGTGGCAAGGTCTCCAGGTAGAGCATCTGGTGGTAGTTTTCCTGTAGCTAACATGACATCACGGAAGTTCAAAGCAGAATAGTGGACACTGCAACAGGATGTCCCAGACTGACTGCTATCTGGGGGTGATTCTACCCAGCTGAGACTGGACAGGTCACCTCGGGTCAGCACATTCACAAAGGCTCTTGTACACGGTTTACATCTAGTCTCTGTAACATATGTAAAGTACATGCTGACATTTATCCTACTCAAATCTCACTCTCGAGTATTACGTTTCCTTACTCCTAACCAAACTATACTCCGGGATTGATCTCAATCTGGCCACTGACTACTCTCATTCATATTTTAAGGATGAGAATGAAAACAGAGGAGTAAACAATTAGAAGATATTTTCAGTTTGATATGAACTTTGCTGACTCACCTTTAGATGGTATATGTCTATACGACCCCCACATTCCATCCTTCCAAACATTCATCACCAAGTCTTTCTTGACCATGCTCTGAAACTCTGAACCATTAAACAGCCAGGCAAGGTCTTCAGGTTTGGAATCCATGTTGAATATACCCCTGTCAAAGTAAATAAAATGTAAATAAGTCTGTTTTCTGCCATTCTATTTTGTATAGGTAAGGAAATTATCTCAAATCTAACTTAATGGCATCAAAAAGGTACTATGGAATGCAAACATCTATGGAAAAAACGATGACCATCAAATGATAGTATAATCTGAAATAGCAGTATTGTTAAATAAACCTGTAGACAACCATCTGATGGTTGTATGGTTGAATCAACATGTGGACTTCCACCTGGTGGCAATATGGTTAAATAAACAGGTAAACAATCAACAGGTGTTCGTATTGTTTCAATAAACCTGTAGAAATCCACCAGGTGGCAGTTTGGTTGTATAAACCTGTAGAAAACTACCAGATGGCATTTTGGTTGTATAAACCTGTAGAAATCCACCAGGTGGCAGTTTGGTTGTATACACTGTAGAAAACTACCAGATGGCATTTTGGTTGTATAAACCTGTAGAAAACTACCAGGTGGCATTTTGGTGGTAGAAACCTGTAGAAAACCACAAGGTAGCATTTTGGTTGTAGAAACCTGTAGAAAAGCACAAGGTGGCATTTTGGTTGTAGAAACCTGTAGAAAAGCACAAGGTGGCATTTTGGTTGTAGAAACCTGTAGAAAAGCACAAGGTGGCATTTTGGTTGTATAAACCTGTAGAAAAGCACAAAGTAGAAAAGCACAAGGTGGCATTTTGGTTGTATAAACCTGTAGAAAACCACCAGGTGACTGCATAATAATGGTTTTAAATAAGTCATTACTGAACTTGCCTGATTCTTTCCCCTCCAGGTTCCTGTCTCAGACAATTGACCAGACCCAATATTCCACTACATCTTGTATCATTCACTGTCAGCCACAAGTTATTTCCCTTTGGCTGTTCCTGATACTCTGACACCTTTGTTTTCAATTTCTCCACCCAATCACAACTTGTTCCTTCAAGATTTAGAATTTCTTGTGATTTTGTTTCTTCGAAGTTCACTGCACACTTTCTCAGCAAAAACAAAGTAGATTGAAAATTGTCCGTTCTTTTAAACACAACTTCAAAGCCTTCCTCCCGAAACAAAGTTTCCCATTGGTTCTCATCCAGGTAATACACACACTTACGTAGTGGGGATTTACTTAGAACTTCAGAATGGTGCTGGCCAAGATATTCCATTGCAAAGGCTGGCAAAAAATTCAGTGTTGTTTCTTGTATCATAAGGAATCCATTTTCTTTGAGGAGATTAGACATATTTTTTATTGTCTCTGGTATGTTTGTGTGTTTGTGGAGGAAGTTTCTGGCAATCACCAGATGAGTATTCTTAAGGCTTTCAGGAGCACAAGTTTCTGCATTCCATTCAACATGTGAAACCTGGTCCTTTCTGTTTAGTAGTTCATCACTTTTCTCGAGTGCCTTAGAGCACATTGTGTAGTCAACATGTATTACAGGTTGAGTAGAGAGAAGGGACAGGACATCCTCTGACATATGGTGTCTTCCTGTACCTGTCAGTTCCACCACCTTCAATACAGATGACAACACATTCTCCACCACAATGTCTAAACAGGGCTTCAGTGTTGAAGCTGCTGACAAATTCTCCACCATCACATCTTTTGTACAATAGCAACTGTCCCAGCTATTGTAAACATTCTCTAAATTCCTGGAATATTGGTTGTCAGTCGGAATGCTGAAGACTTCCTGTAGTCTTGTTAGATTTTCAGCACCTGATTTTGATAACCAGACAGGAAGCTGACTCAAAATGTCTCTATTGGAACCAGTCTGAGAACACAACCCCTGTATTGTTTCTCTGTCCAGGTAGTTGTCATTGGCAAGTATCTTGGAAAGTTCATTATATACATAAGCATTACAAACGCTGCTGTATTCCACTAATTCATCACTAAGAGGTCTGCTCCTGGTGTAGGGAACAAACTTGAACTCTTCTAAAATTGGAGGTGACTGACTCTGATGACGGCGTTGGGCTACCGTCGCATGAAGACCATCTATTTCTACACCTCCTGCTACACAGGAATTTGTGCATTCATCCATCCAAATGCTTGTCACTGTGTAAAAAAGTAAACTTAATTAGATCTACAAAACGTATTGCTATTTTGATCCTAATGTATCCTTCAATGTTGTTAACATCACTATAACAGATACATACAGACAATAATCAGCCCTTCTCTACTGAACCCTATATATAAACTGTATATTGTTACCTGCCTGAATTAACTAGAACCCTATATAATTATTGTATCAAATTATATCCATTAATTCTTATTAATTTGAAGCCTGATTTAATTGACACTTCAGTGACCACACAGCTTATACAAATAAAGATAGGTGGGGAAAGTGTCCATCCAGATCTGAAAGAATGAAAGATTAGAAGCTGTCACGCTGTTGATGGACTGTTTGTCTTATGTCACGTAAATTATTATGGTAAGTGTAGACTTATCTAGAAGACTGTAGATTGTTATGTAGATGATTAAGTATAGACTTATCAAAGTTGGCTGTCTTGTGTCTGACTTGACCGGTATAGGCTTACCCAGGTGTCCATCTTGTGTCTGACTTGACCGGTATAGGCTTACCCAGGTGTCCATCTTGTGTTCGACTGACAGGTATAGGCTTACCCAGGTGTCCATCTTGTGTTTGACTGACAGGTATAGGCTTACCCATGTGTCCATCTGGTGTTCGACTGACAGGTATAGGCTTATCCAGGTGTCCATCTGGTGTTCGACTGACAGGTATAACCTTACCGAGGTGTCAGATAGATGGTTAAGTGTAGACTTAAGAGAGTGTCTGTCTTGTGGCAGATAACTGGTTAGGTGTAGACTTACCTAGGTGTCTGTCTTCTGTCCGAAAACTGGTTAGGTGTAGACTTGTCCAGGTGTCTGTCTTGTGTCAGATAACTGGTTAGATGTAGACTTGTCCAGGTGTCTGTCTTGTGTCAGATAACTGATTAGATGTAGACTTGTCCAGGTGTCTGTCTTGTGTCAGATAACTGGTTATGTGTAGACTGACCCAAGTGTCTGTCTTGTGGCAGGATAACTGGTTAGATGTAGACTTGTCCAGGTGTCTGTCTTGTGTCAGATAACTGGTTAGGTGTAAACTTACCAAGGTGTCTATCTTGTGTCAGATAACCAGTTAGGTGTAAACTTACCAAGGTGTCTGTCTTGTGTCAGATATATGGTTAAGTGTAGATTTGTCCAGGTGATTGTCTTGTGTAACAGACAGTTTAGTGTTGCATTACCTAGGTGTTTTTTGTGACCATCTTCAGTCGTAAAGATGGTTAGGTGTAGACTTACCTTGGTGGCCATCTTGTGTCAGATAGATGGTGATAAGGTTTCAACTTACCTTGGTGGCCATCTTGTGTCTGATATACAGAGCTATTCTGTACAACAGGATCTATAGCCAGAGATCGGATACGTGTGGGAAGGCGTAGTGCACCACCAGGCATATGCAGCACAGACATCTGTAACATGGTGTCTAGGTAAGAAACCCAGTTACCTGTCCACAGCAGCTGCCCCTCAGTACCTGTAACAGGTAATATGTACTATTTACATTTGCATTCGCCTGGGGTGCCACACCACTAACTGTTGTAGTGCTGTTATTTGGATAACAAAGTTCCAACTTTAACTGGTTTATATAATTCTTCTTATCATTAATGTCATATTAGTGTCAACAAACGCCCTTGAATTCAATTTTCATTAACATTAATTAAAGGAAAAATAATGTAATATAAATTACATATACCAGAAATGTCTGTTTGTAAGATTCCTCTAAAATCAGGTCCATAGTCATATCCTCTCAGTCTAAGTTCCTTGTAGACATCTGAGGAGGTAAGGACAGGGCCTGCCATTTTAAGGTCACGTGATGCATTTTCTTTCACTTGATTGGTCTCCTCCAGCATAGTCACTCGGCCACTTACAGTTAATGTTCCATTTTCACTTATTTCAAATTCACCAGTTGTCTCCATAACGGTTACATCAAGTTTTACTTTACCTGAAAAGAATATAATATTGTGAGAGGAGGAAAATAATGCATGCTCTTACAACATGGTGATAGTTGTAATGTTGAGATAGAGGGGCTACAATTTTACTCTGATGGAGAGCTCAAAGCTGTTCGTCTCCGATATATACATTCCATACAGCTAAGTATAAATCTGAGTACATAAGGTAGATCTAACGCTGCATTTCCACAAGATATATGCATGACTAGGTATATATATTTTATACAGGCAGAGATCAATTGTAATCTGATTGGAAGCTATTGACACATTACAGTTTTATTTGTTATAATCCCTAAACTCAGTACTATACAGACCACAAACAGACCCAATAACTAACCATTATCTGGTAAGATGGTAGCCTGGTGAATATTGATGTCCTCAAATAGGACAGGCATATCTTCATACATCTGTCCCTTCTGTTTGGCAAGAGTCTTCCACGCTAGCACCAGGTATCCTGTGGCAGGGAATAGGACACGCCCCTCAATCATGTGACCAACCAGGTAATTATCAGGTGATTCAGGGGAAATGTCAATATCAAAGCTGGCTCCTGACCTGCCACCACCAGCACCTGAGGAAAAGTCCTCTACCTTAGGTACATACCAGCTGGATGAGTGATCCCACTGTATCATAGGAGAAATCATCGGAGTACCTCGTGACACTGGGAACGACACTGTTGGGTACAACTTCAGAGGGTTAAAGTTGAGACCCTGTAGGTAACACCTTCAGAAAGAGATCAGAAGACCAATCACTATTAAACAAATACAAAATTCATGAAAGGAAAAATAAGTTGAATTGTTGAAATATGAGAAAGTATGCTGAGGTATATTTGAATTTTGAAAGGAAGGCTATTCTATGTCTGGTATTTTAACCATTAGTCATGTTACATCTTTGTGTTCCTTAATGTCTTGTATTTACTAATTAATATTTTTTATTATTATCTGAAAGTTCAATTATTTGTATGTATGGGAACCTCAAACAAAAAGATATGGTTAACTTTCACAGTACACTTTTAGGGAAAAAGAAGAGAAATTCAAAGAGACCTGACTTCATATGGTACTATAGAAGAGACCTGTAAAAAGATGGGATTATCAACATATAACATACCTTCCTAACATAGAGTAGAAATGTTCAGCATTGTTTGGATGTCCTCTTTTCATCAATCCAAGAATGCTACACTTTGACCCAAGTGACCTCTTTAGGATAGCTTGTAACAGGCAATGTGGGGCGACCTCGATAACAACAGCATTATCAGGAACATGCCTCAAAGCCTCCTGAAACAGCACTGGACTCACCAGGTTGTTGACATGATACTCTGCTGATGAATATTTGGCCAATTCTGTCCCCCAACGGTCTTCAGGAATGGATGAACTAATCCATGTGCTTCCTCGCTCCTTCGGTACAATCACCTGACAAGCACAGTGTGACAGTCATAGACAGTTGATTTGGCTTCTCAAAACTAAATTTTTTTTAGGAAGCATTGAGCCACAAGAAGGACTTATCTACATATACTTAAAATGATAAATACATTCCGCCTTTAATTTTGAAATGATTACATCTGTCACAGAGGATGATTGTGAATGTTTTCCATTGAGATAGAAAGTAAATTTTTGTGTTGTAAATTTCATTCCTATTTATTATAAATGGTAGTTAGAAATATTCTTACCCTTGATAGAGCTGATTTCAGAGAGCTTGCAATGTCTGCCATGTAATAGGAATGGAAGGCAACACCAGCTGTCTTCACCTCCTTAGCAAATATCTGTTTGGCTTTAAGCTCCTCAACAAATTGCTGGACAGCTTCGGCGGGTCCAGACACTGTGACTGTATCTACAGCATTATGACAGGCGGGAACAACTCCAGGCGGACACTGTTTCAAACACTCCTCCCAGCTCAGACCTGGTGGATATGCAAAGCAGATTTAATCAATCCATGTCTTGCCACCTACAATTTACCCCTTTCCTATCCATCCACAACTACCTTTTTCTCTATGATGTGAAGTTACCTCTAGTCCACTTTAATTTGGTTTCCTTCTGTCACCAGAAATAGTACTAAAACTATCATCCAAAGAACAAGTCATATTCCTTTATATTCCACGACAGCCAATTGAAGCTACTTTTTTCTCTCTTTTTTTTGTGTGGAGTTTATCACAATGGGGAGAACTACATGCACTTTCAAATCCCCCCAAAACAATTTTACCAAGAAATAAAACGAAAAAGAAAGACAATAATTTTGATTTCTTGCAGAAGGACTTGAGTTTTCTGTACAAACTGTATTTTATACATACCAACAGCTGCCATGCTTCCTGGTGGCAGTTTTGCTTCTTTGATACATCGTCCTCGCCAATATGCAGCTAGCACTGTTTCTTCAGCTGTCAGAGAACCATCTGCATAGCCACACCCCAACTCTCCAACAGAGTGACCCAATATACCATCAGGCTTTATTCCAATTTTGAACAGGAGATCTACAAGGGCAACCTGAAAAGTACACAAATGTAAACACATTTTTCTGTTCACATCTTTGTATAACATGAGGAAATATTTGAGATGAAAGGACTGACTATGTAGAACTATACTTTCAACTCCTCACTCCGGTAACACTAGCCAAGAACTAATACCTAGCTGTTTATTTTAACCCCTGAGGCAAAAATTTCAAAGAATTTCATCCTAGAATGAATGACCAAATTACAGTTAAGGTCCTTTAAATATTTCAATCTATTTTACCTTCAAAATTGTTTTAAGGTCATTTATTTATACAAACTTGATTTTTGAAAAGATAAAAGTTCTCATATCTTACTGGTTGTGATGAATGAACTTCTATTCTATACATGTTCATCAACCTGAAGGAAATGTTTCACAGAAAACATAAGTTTTGATATATCTTGTATCATGATTCAGTGCTTTTGGTTATCAAGAAAAAAAGATACCTCTAAATATTTCAAAACATTTGATCTGTTTGAAGTTGAAAATGGGTCAAGGTAGTTTACTGTAACAAACTGATGGCTCTTCATCCCAGAAAGATACCAACTCACTTTCATGGCTCTAAACCCATGAAATATTTCCATTCATATACTGTCTTAATTTTCATTTACTTACCTGAATAGCTGCGATTGCCACAAAGGAATTCAGGGTATCTTCGAACACACTTTCCTCTCCTTTCATAAGGAGATCATATAGACAAAGGCCGTAAGGACGCAACACTGCATCAGACTTCATGATAGAGTTTTTGAACAACTCCATTTTCATCATTTGGCGACCCATTCCGTGCCATTGTGTACCCATACCATCAAACACAAACCAAACAGGACGTTCTGAAGTATCACATGACTGCAAAAATACAATAAAAGATCAGAGCATACTGCAGATTGTAAACATTATTGTGTAGCTTAAGATTTGACACAACTACAATTTGCAAACAGAAATGACTGCTTTTTGGACAAAACATTAAATTTTTGAACAGCACTTCATGAGAATTGACCATGGGGAGGAATAGTAAAATGTATAATTTTATTGAAAAAGGAGGTTCAAACCTGGATTTCTTCTAGAATATTGTCTGTGTTGACTACACAGTAGCCTCTGTATTTGTGTCGTCCATTCTTTGCTGTTTCATTAAGCAGTGTGTGAAACTCCATATTGTTACTGTGCTCCTTGGCTTTTTCCATTACTGACCGCACACCATCTTCTGTGCGAGCAGAATACACAAACACTCGTGGACATTCATTACTACTGCTTGTGTTGTTTTCAGATTTTGTATTAGATTCTAATATGGCATGGACATTAGTGCCTCCAAATCCAAAAGAGTTTACCCCAACAAAACCACCATTCCACTGCTTGTTGTTGGTGACAACTTGTAAACGTCCATCCTGCAAACCTGGGATGTCTGTGTTTGGTGAATTGTAATGGAGGTTGGCAGGGAGGATACCTTCTTCCATACTAGCTATCACTTTAGCAACAGAGGCAAGGCCTAATATGAAAACAAAAACACACAATAATCAGAAAGGATATAAAAAAATGCAATTTTATACTTAATACCAAGAAGAGTCAATTCTTTCAGTACAAATTGAATTACTTTGTAAGTACTGACAGAGAGCCAATTTCCCACCATCTAGCTCATATAGGGAGTAATCACCTTGTTCTTTATAGAATAAATTTCTTTAACCCTGACCTGTTCTTTTCTCTGATTTGTAGTTTGACCCTTGACCCTTGAGCACCTACACCTCTGATGTCGCATTATAAAGACAATGTTTGATGAAGTATAAAATGTCTTGTAGGTACTCATCCACTATCCATCAATAATGTTACAGTGATCAATGTCATGAGAAAGTGATGCTAGCAACAATGTGTAGGTCTACTGATCATATAATGTTGTCAAAGTTACCTGGAGCTTGGTCTGTGTGACTGTTTGATTGTCTTGTCCCTTACAGAACACTTCTCAAGACATTGACAGATTTACCTGAAGCTGGTTCTATACAGAGTCAATGAAGAGTGAGGTGTCTCATTCCTACATTTCAACATCACAAACAGATTTACCTGAAGCTGGTTCTGCATGCCCCATATTAGATTTTACTGAGCCAATGGGGAGTGGAGTGTTGCGTCCATTACAAAATACATCAGTGATAGTGTTGAGTTCCTGGGGGTCTCCTGCCTTGGTGCCTGTACCATGAGCCTCCACATAGGCTACAGTGGAGGGAGGTACACATGCTTCACTGTATACAGCCTGTATAAGGGATTTCTGAATTACTCCTGATGGGAAAGTAATACCTGAAAACAATGCAGATCAGTTTATTATATAACAAAGGACATCTATGTTAACATGACAGAAAAGTACATATCTGACTCATTACTATGTTTAAATAGATACTGGACCAGATCTATATGGCTTGGAGTAATATCATAAATGATTAGAAAAGCAGTCATCAATTAAATAGGAAAAAGTGAACTGACCTTGATCTTTACCACCGTCACAGTTGGTTTTAGAATGAATAAGTCGACTGTACATGCGCAGGGCTGACTTCTCCTTCTGTAGATAAACTACCACTATACCCTCACTTCTACAGTAACCATTGCCTACAAAATATAAAACCTTCATCAGACAACACATTACAATACAAATTTGTCATTGGCTCTGTGATTGCTTATGAATATAATTTACCTTCAGCATCAAAGGATTTGCAGGTTCCCTCAGGAGAAAGCATGCCTAACTTCTGAAATTGTAATGATGTTAATGGCTTCAACACAAGACTGGATCCTCCAACGATCGCAGCTTCACATTGGCCAGTTCTGATGGCTTGTAATGCTTGGTCCAGAGCCAGAAGACTGGATGAGCAGGCTGTATCAACTGTGTGGCTTGGGCCTGAAACATGAAACATAAAAAAAAACCTGCTGAAGCACATAGCAAGAAACAGGGTTGATCTAAAATCACTCAACTATCATATGATTTCCATGCTTTACTATTAGGATAATTTTGTGTTACATTGTGACCTTGACCACAAATTTGAACTTATACAGTTTAAACATGTATCACAATTAGAAATTATGATGGCCAGATAATGTTTGTGTATGTATAATTATTCAGAGGTCTTTTAATAATGTACTGCATGTACAATTTGTATACGTGTATAACAGTTCTAGCACAGTCCTTGACACTGAAATGTTAACAGATACAAACCTTTGAAATCAAAGAAGAATGACAGTCTGTTAGCAAACATGGACCTAGTACAACCTGTCATACTGTAGCCCTGTATTGTCTCCGGGTCTGATGACACAGCGTCATGGAATTCTGATACACTGGCACCTATAAATACCCCTGTCTTGGTTCCTCGTACACTGACGGGATCCACACCTATCAGGGGAAACAATTCATATTAACATTCCACTTACTTCACATTTCATATCCATCTCCTTAAAAACTGAATCCCTGTCTAAATCACATAAGACGGCAAATTTAAAGAATTATGTAATGCTTTCAATATTGTCATACAAATTTCACGTCAGATGGGTAACAAAACATGTACATAATATAGGGAATAAGACATTGTAACAAAGATTTAATACTGAATCAAGGGAAAGTTTGATTCAGATCCAAAGGAAACCACAAAACAAGAGGTATATAGGGTCTGTATCATTCACCTGGTTTAGTTTGCTGAAATTGCTTCAACTAAACTATATGAAAAGCATTCACCTTTCTATTTCCTCTATTTGGCCTGCCCCTCTGCCTCTGCCAGATGAGCTAAAAGTCATATGCACAACAGAGACCTAGACCAGTGTCCTTAAATCAAGAAGAGAACTTGTATTTTTGTACACGGTTTCAATTACTTTATTCTTTTTTTAAATCTCTGCATTTATGGTATTAACAAAAGCTCTCACCTGAATCACAAATGGCTTCATATGTGACCTCAAGTAACATCCTCAGCTGAGGATCCATTACATCTGCTTGTTTAGGACTGACACCAAAAAACAATGCATCAAACTTGCTCAAATCTACCAGTTTTCCATTTCTCTTGGGTAATCCATACAACCCTACAAATGATTATTAAAAAAATGAATAGAATTTAAAATTAGAAATGACTAACAACTTGTGGACAAAGCTGAAAATAAATTTGAATTTAGCTTACCAATAAAAATCCAAAGATAAACATCAACTGGGTTCATGTACATGTAGTTAATTATAGTTAATTGTATAAACCATCCTAAATGCCTAAACAGCAACATACTGTTTAAAATTTTGTAAAATGCTAGCATACCTTTGTCTCGAAATAAGACCCAAGGTAATATCTCAGGATTTGATAATATTTGTTATCACATCAGATAGGATGACATTTAAAAATAATGCCAGGCATAGGTTAACACAGGCTGATTCATCTGTACCAAACAAAATCTAGCCATCTCTATATCCTTATTATCATCAACCATAGGTTAACACAGGCTGATTCATCTGTACCAAACAAAATCTAGCCATCTCTACATCCTTATTATCATCAGCCATAGGTTAACACAGGCTGATTCATCTGTACCAAACAAAATCTAGCCATCTCTATATCCTTATTATCATCAGCCATAGGTTAACACAGGCTGATTCATCTGTACCAAACAAAATCTAGCCATCTCTACATCCTTATTATCATCAGCCATAGGTTAACACAGGCTGATTCATCTGTACCAAACAAAATCTAGCCATCTCTATATCCTTATTATCATCAGCCATAGATTAACACAGGCTGATTCATCTGTACCAAACAAAATATTTCTATAACTTTATCTTTACTATGGTCAGGCATAGATTCACACTAATTGATTTAACTGTACCAAATGAAATCTTTCCATCTCTATGTAAATGAATTGTTAGATTTATCTTTCCTTGTTTCTTTATTTCTCTTTTTCTTTTACCTGGTTTCCAACGTCTCTCATCTTCTGTTACCATGTCAATCCCATTCAAAAGATTTTGTTTAAATTCCTCCATGTTTCTGGATTCTGGTAAGCGACATGATATCCCACTTATGACCACAGATGTTGATGATTCAGTGTCACATCTATCTATGTTGTTGAGTGAATCTCCCATCACAAGGCCCTGGGATGTCCCACTGTCTATGGGCAGAGGGCTATCTAGTAGTCTGGCAGGCATTTTTATACCAATAGGTCCTCCAACATCAAATATATCCCTACCTTATGTGTCCTTTTAAAACAAAGGGAAAAAATATTATCACTGCTATTATTCCATTCAATTTGTGGGAATACATGAATAAGTTCTGTAAAACACTATCCTGGTTCCAGGAACATGTACACTGATCACTTTAGAGTAATTAACACAGATGTGCATAGGAATTTCAATTAATTACAACTTGTGGTTACTTCAAATGGAGGTGTCATATGCTCAAATAGTAACTCATATCCTATGTAACGTAAATAACCTAATATATATCAGTATCAAAACAGTTGTCTTATTTTCATAAATCACTTGTAAATTTTTATTTTCTTTTTTTTCTAATTATCAAACAAAGTACACAAACCAAAGGATTCGATAAAAATATACTATACAAACAGAGTGATAAGTGATAAGTCGAAGTAACGTCGAATATTCTACTCATAATACCAAGATAGCAGTGATATTAGACAGGTGAAAACTGGAATTCACACCAGATATAAGTGTACCCAGGGCTCTCACATCCCAGATAGGTAAAAACAGGAATTTACATGTGTACCAGAAAAGCTGTTAATCTTAGATAGGTAAAAACAGGAATTTACATCAGATATAGTGTACCAGAAAAGCTGTGAAGATAGGTAAAAACAGGAATTTACATGTGTACCAGAAAAAATCTTAGATAGGTAAAAACTGGAATTTACATCAGATATAGGTGTACCAGAAAAGCTGTTAATCTTAGATAGGTAAAAACAGGAATTTACATCAGATATAGGTGTACCAGAAAAGCTGTTAATCTTAGATAGGTAAAAACAGGAATTTACATCAGATATAGGTGTACCAGAAAAGCTGTTAATCTTAGATAGGTAAAAACAGGAATTTACATCAGATATAGGTGTACCAGAAAAGCTGTTAATCTTAGATAGGTAAAAACAGGAATTTACATCAGATATAAGTGTACCAGAAAAGCTGTTAATCTTAGATAGGTAAAAACAGGAATTTACACCAGATGTAAGTGTACCAGAAAAGCTGTGAATCTTAGATAGGTAAAAACAGGAATTTACATCAGATGTAAGTGTACCAGAAAAGCTGTGAATCTTAGATAGGTAAAAACTGGAATTTACATCAGATGTAAGTGTCCCAGAAAAGCTGTGAATCTTAGATAGGCAAAAACAGGAATTCACACCAGAGATAAATGAATTCAAGTTTCATGAAACAGGAAGTTTGTTGGGTAAAAATGTTTTTTAAAAAATGCATTATTATTAATGGTATTTATATTTATGATGTTATTCGGTTTGATTTTTTAAAAAAACAGGTAATAGTTGAAGTTTGTTTAAAGAAAAAGCGACATGTTTTGTTAAAGAAACTGTGACATGTTTTGACTGCAGCAGTGAACTCAAAACAATAAAATACTTACAATAATATAAGAAATGAAACTGGTAATTGATAATGCTAAATCATTTTGGTAACAATGACCTTGTAAACAACCTTCATAAAGTTTAATGTCTGGTGCTTGGATGATATTCCATATCACATTTGTTCCATCAGATTAATTTACCCTCAAGTTACAGTACCCTAACATACTCAACAACAGACTGGAAAGACAATTAGCATACTGTAGCAATTTATAACAATATATAATCAATCACAACTTTGGTCCTATTATATATTTCTGTTAAACAATTAAACTATATGATAAATGACTTCAGGACATGTTAACTATTATGCATATTTAATGGTTAATCATAGTAGCATAATGGGGCAGAGTTCATCATGTTCAGGCCTTAATCAAACTTATAAGAGAATGTGTCTATTATTACACAAATGGTGCTCTTGGCTGGAACTCTTGTGATGTAGAGTAAAAAGTGGAGGTGTATAGTCTTTGACTAAGGATGGCCCTGTAAAGGACCAGCCACTTCACAAAAAGCACCAAGTAAAGTGGGGATGCTGGAAATGCAGTGTTCATAAATAATGTTATATAGTGTCTTATAGATCAAACATTAGACATGTAATAGTTCTCACTCATTGTCAATTTTTAAAACTTAACTAATGTCAATTCCCTTCTTTAATGGATATTGCCATGTGACATTTAATCAAATAAATTGTACGATATTGTATCTTGATTTACAAATAATTAAAACAGCAAGTATAGAGGACCAGATAACATCCGTGGGAAGAATTCAAACTGTTTAGTAGTTGATATGATTCCACATACTAGGTATGCCATCCACAGTCAACTATTAAACAGTTTTAATTCTTCCTGCGGATGTTGTCTGGTTCTCTATACTTGCTGTTTATACACATCTTTGAACCTGACTCTTGTATTCCACTAAGAATCCATCCAAGGACGACTGCCAAAATATCTGTATCTACCAAATGGGAAGTTTAATCTCCTTTTCTTTGTATTGAAATAATTAAAAAGTTCTCAGTGTAAATTGCAAGATATAAACATCCCTTCAACAGTTTTTGCTTATTCAGCATAATTCCAAATGAGACATCAACTTTTTCCACAACCTTGATATCAAACTGTTACACATCACTAAAACCTAATCTACTTATAATTTACAAATAATACAAAAATTCAGAACAACATCAAGAGAAATCCTGACTTTCATACATTTGATAAGTTCCTGGTACCACTACACATTTAACCTGGACTTGTGAGTAAAATTCAGCATACTGTTATTTCTAGTTCATGATTTTTTTTTTTCATTTTTTACAATATTGTATACAAAATCTTCTTTTCAATTTGATTTAAATATTCAACCTTTCACTCAAAAAAACTTTCATTTGTTTTTAAAAATGAAATTCTGTATGTACAAATGTTTTCTAATACAAAAGTCTTTTGACCATGATATTTGATATCTCTATTTCAAAGTGTTTATGTTATAGTTCTTTACATTTTTAGTTTAATCCACAAGATATCAGTATAACATAGTACACCTACCCCAATTGCTGCAAACTTCAAATTTAGATTTTGTTTTCATCACATTTTCATGTCTGAACACCTTTTTCTGTAGTTTTGTCAAGTACACTTTTTTCCGTTTTACTTGACATACTATTGAAAAAATTGTATTAATTTTGTTTTTTTTTTCACCCTTTTTCAGTCAAAAGACATGTTAACTATGATATTTAATTTTACAACATTAATGGACCCTTGTATTTAGTGAAATGAATATGTTACGGTATGAATTAAGTACCTAAACACCAATTACTTGTAGATTAGGGTAAAAATGATACCTACTTTGTATCCATTATACATTAACTATATATAAGGTTAGAAGCTTTCGAACATCTCTGTGTCATGAAAAAAATTTCGTCCAAATCCTTCAAGAAAAACCTTATTGGTCTGCTAACGTAATTGTAACGCACTCGCCTTTCACTTGTATGCGTTCGTGGTTCGATTCCCCGCGCGGATGTGAAAAGGTATGTGGTCATTTACCCATGTACTCCGGTTTCGTTCAATACTAAGACCCTATATTCGCTTCCGTCGTTGCCAACAAAAGTTATTAAAATCAACTTGAAATAGCCCATTTCGCAATTATAGTAAAATAAGTAAAATTCATTTATTATACCCCATCAATTAAATGGAAAACTAACTACGTAATGAAAAAAAATCCCATTTACATCTAGAATAAGAATATTATATATAAACAAATAATTTCAGCGAAAATCAGGTATATCTGCTACCGAGTGCAATCAATCATTTCTTACCTTGTCAAATTTTTTAGCAGTCAACAACGTCTTCCCCTCTCGATGTGTACAGCTACATTGTAGAGTGGCTAATTTTCACGTAAACACCGGTGCACTCGGCTGACGTTTCACACATGTCGCACGGCTCTTTAAATGAGTGTGGTGTTATCGGATTCGGCCAATCAGAAACCCCGATGGAACCAACTCCAGGCAAAACGACATCAGCCGATTGATGTGTAGAAAATATAGGAGTGACAGTATTTTAGTATTGGTAAATACATGTAGATCTATGATCTGAATCTATAAATAATTCCGATTTTTTTTCTATGATAGACAAAGTGAAAACGTTACAATTCTGGTCTCAAGTTAAATATCTTATATCACCTTGCTTATCGTTTTTCATTGCGTTTTTTTTCTTTTTTTTTTTATAATTTCGCAGCGAATTAAATACATAGCCCAGTGATAACCTCCGCTCTGTTGTCACTGGGCGAAATAACGATGTCTCATTTCGTGTGAACCAGGAACTTAAGCCCAGTTTGAACTTCACAATTATTATGATTTGTGATTACAGAGGGGTTAGGGGAAAAGGTTGACTCTGGACAAAGTGATGACGGATGTTTGTTTCCATGTTATCGTCCAGTAAGGCTAATATATCGACCGGAGGAATATGATCAGTTTCTTTTCTCAAGATAACAGGTATATTTCACGAGTGTCGGCTGGCGCAGTGGTAACGCACCCGCCATGACATCAGGCGCGGTGTTCGATTCCCGTCTGAACCAAACAAGCGTGATTAGTATTATAAGCCGGGACGTATAATACATCTAAATGTAAGATAACTTGTTCCTTGTTTCCTGGGGCAACGTCGGTGTGGAAGTAAGCCCGACATAAAAAAAAATCAGAAACTGACAATGTTTTATGATGGAAGAACACGATAACCGTGTTTGATTTATTTTGCTTTCAAAATTTAACTTAATGGAGCAGTTTCCTCTGCAAACACCGCTACTGATCGCGGATGTTTCTTACACGTAAAAATTTCGAAATTCCCCCGAGGAAATTTAATTTTTCTCGTATACTACGTGTCTTGTAACAAGCTCCGCCTATCTCATATATCTCTGTGTGTTCAATATCAATTGAGCTCCGCTCATCTCTCACCTAATACATCAGTTGGTTTCAGATTAATGTATTTCACTCAGTCACGCGTATAGCGTGAAACAAGAGGTCATTTTACAAAGTAACAATTGAAACGTGGCTGGCGAATTAAATTTGGCTAATTACATAGTAATTCATGTATGCTTACAAAAATGACTTCTCTCTAAAATCTAATACGTGTAAGTTATACAGTCAAACGGCGGAAAAAATGCATGAAGAAAATAAAGTTGTAATATAGAGGTAAACAATATTGATAGATATCTTAATAGTATGCTTAACTTTCTAAAAATCTATAAACGTTTGAAATTAAAACGCTTATTGAAAATGGAAAAGTCATTTCATTTTAATGAAACCAGAGACATATATAACACCAGAGACATATATATACGTCTCTGATAACACATGTATATACGTCTCTGATGAAGCTTAATTATTTGTAAAGATAAGGTGGAATGTACATGTATTTAAGTTGTGGTATTTGTACATCCGAGTAGTAGTGATGTTGATGTGTCTCAGTAAAAATAAACTACAAAACACAGGACTAAAACTCAAGCTACGGGAAACTTGGGAATATGGTTGTTTTACCCATTTACTTGTGCAATTATATAATATCACGGACTTGTATATTTAAGTCCGTGATAATATGTAGAAAGAAATCTATTATAACATTACGGTATTATTCTCCAAATTTTCTGGGAAATGATTATATATATATATATATAAATAAATAATAAAAGTTGACGTTAAGCTTTTTAGCGACAGAGTGACATGTCCATTGGTTTGCATAACGGTTAAGGCATATTGGTCTTTCTACTGCACTTTGACTTACAAATAACCCTTTAGGTACCTCAGAGGAAAAATATATAGATGGCGCTCTAAAACTGCCTCATTTTACATCCGGGGTTTGGCTACGACGCCATTTTGAGCTTTGTGGTGAACTTACGACGACCACATTTTTAAGTATTATCAAGCAATACAAAATGTCGGCCCAGGATCAAATGCGGGCAATGCTAGACGAGCTTATGGGCACGTCAAGGAATGGTGAGTTTGGACTGATGCTGGGGAGGGCAAGTGAAATGAGGACTTTTTTTTAGCCACTTCGTCCCAATGACGATTTCGGAATATTGTCTCTAGTAGAACGTAATAAAGTGTTATTAAGGACATCCCATTGTTACGGTAGGCCTAATGCAAAAAATACTAATGTGATTGTCCGAATTTCTCGTTCTCCTGTAGTGAATACATATTCAACGTTATGAAGGACTATTTCATGTGTCTTCCCATTAACGCTCGAGACGCTTTATTGATCGATTTTGTTGACGAAATGGGATAGATTTATATCCGTTTTCTTTGGAACAAGAACTCTGGGCGCGTATTGATTTGTTTCTTTTTTGATGATCTGGAATGTAGTGTTTAATCTGTTATTTATTTTCCTTTCTAATATTTACCAATTCTCTATTCATTACCCATGAAATAATTTAAAGCAAATATACATCAAATCATAAGGCGTATTATTAAGAGTCATCACGTGTAGAGTCCTCTGTTTACTCTCTCTTAAGAATATAGGTACGTGTGCCGTAAATCTATATTCTTACCAGTATATCTAAACATGTCTTTTTGCAACAATATATATCGGGGGGAAAAGATGCCTTTCCTCTCTTCAATCTTTAAGCTCAATGTATGTTACACTCGAATGTGCTCCGAATGTTATATATTTTTAAAATTTGATTATCTTCATTTTCTCACATTTGGAAGGGTTTTTTTTTCAAAATTAGAATATTTCCTCTGAGATATTTTGTAACCAAACCATCTCTTTGCATAATCCATGTCAGTTTTTCTGAATGTTGCCTTTACATTTAGGTTCAAAGAAGAGAAGGTGGTATTGCCTTGTATTTGTCACAAAAAGTTCTTTTCAAGAGAGTATTAAACATTTAACAATTTTGTTGAAATGCTGATAGCAAACTAAAGGTTTATCATATATCCATACATCTAATTACAACAAACACTAAATTTACAATACCGTGTATGTAAAAGAAATAAACAGACTACCAGATGTGTTTCTGAAAATTGAAGTCTTTGAAATTTGGTGTATAATCATTGACAGACTTCACTGATATTTCCATTTAGGTGTGATTATGCATTGGTTATATTAAGATTCCCTTGTGATGTGAAAACCATGAAAAAGTGTATTTATTATCTCCTTCCCTGTTTTTGAAGGGAGCTATTTCATGAGCTGTTTCCCAGTCAAAAATGAAAGGGTGATGAAAGGCCAAGCCGTGAGTTGACAAATCTTAGATCTCTTGCAGATATTGATTTTGTTTTCTTGTTGTTTAAGAAATTTAGTTCTCTTTATAGTTAATAATATGATAATAATGAAACATTCTCAGTGTCTTCAAGAAGGTTTGAAAATTCAGATAAAAGGATGCATGCAGAAATTGTAATTAATGATTCCTGCTGTTGAAGTACATGTAAGTGTCTTTATAGATGTAACAAGAGGAACAGTAAGTTAACATTGGATATAAATCATATCAAGCTTTTTAATTACAATTTGCTTTGACGTAATTTCAAGATAAAAGGTAAATAATTTTGAACTGTTTGTGGGAAAGCGATTTGGTGGATATTTATTTTCAGATGCAGAAGTGAAGGTTCTACTTTCAAGTAGGGAAGGCATGAATTGCTTGAAATAACCGGCCAATAGTATGTCATGTCAAGGACCTCCCTCATTCGCAGTGTGTATGTTATGAGTTAATATAAGGAACTTAAAGGAATAGATATTTGATTTAGCACAGCTTGGACTTAAAGATGATAAGATATTGGTCCCATCTTATCAATCATGCCAACAGATACACATGACTTGTGAGTAGTAAAGTGTACTGTTGGTACATACATTCAATTGAAATTCGGATAAAAATGGCAATTGATACAAGTCCAAACCATTTTGTCAGCATAAATACATAAGTCATCCTTATGAATTCAATACACTAGCAGTTGAAATTGCAACACATGCCAAGAATAAAGATGAGGGGGAAAGAGAATAAAACCTTCCAACTTTTGTGCCATTTTCTTTCATCTTGATGTCCTAACTATGATATTGTTGTATATGATGGCAACATATACCTGTTTGCTCCTATAACTTGTGATTTAAAAAAAAATTATTCACTAAAAATGCTGTTATCAAATGACATTGCATTTGTTGTGCTAATATAAAGCATAAGTTGATTGGCTGGACAGATGGAAGGGCAGATGTAAAGTCAGTAAATCACCTCTGTGGAATTTTAAATGAAAATGATGAAATGAAGTTAGGAGCAACCAGCATTTGTTGTATGAAGAAAGAAGCTTTCATATTGTGATAATAAAAAGTGTTGAATGGAATTTAGCTCTATACATATATAATAAAACATAATCGAAGTTCTGGATTAAATAACTTTATGATGCAGTTATGATTATAAAAAAAAGTTGTGAATTTTATGCCAGCTTCTTTCTTACACTATAAGATCAACTGCCTCTGTGGGAATGGCAAGCAGTGGTGAAGGAGGAATCATACTATTGTCTATGTCCTAAGCTAACCAATTTATGAATGATAAATTTTTAGGGGACACAGCAAAGTACAAAGTGAAGTTTGATGATCCTCGGGTATGTAAGAGTTTCCTGCTAGCCTGCTGTCCTCATGATATTCTCTCCAGCACGGTAAGTTGCTCTCTTGTTACCTTTATCCCACTCAGTTCATTGCCATTTGGTACGTATGATAAACCGGTTAATTTTCAACCGATTTTGGGGAAATGTTAACTTTTAATTTGATTTGGTAGAAAATGCATATGATAAGAGTAAAACACATAAAAAATACTTAACTTCCTTTTGTGTAAATCTTATGAAATTTATTTTGAAATGTATTAAATATTTTTATTCAACACAATTTTGATTAAACTCATAACTTGAAGTTCTTGTTAGCCTCTTCTCTGGATCTTCAGACATTGTTTTATGGGTTTTGTCATTCAACTCCACTCCTATGAAGTGGGTATTTTTCAGTACAAAAAAGTCTGAAAATAATAATGATTGAAAGATCCCCTGCCCATCTGTCATTGACTTGTTCTTGTCTCCTTTGTCAGATCAAATGTGATAGTTACGATACCGATGTATCTTACTTTGTTGATCTTATAGTGCATTGAACATTGATAATGTAAGTGATGATCTTCTTATCTGATTTTACAGAGGATGGATCTTGGAGAGTGTCCAAAGATTCATGACCTGGCACTGAGAGCAGACTATGAATGGGCCACCAAAAAGAAGGACTACTACTATGACATTGATGTAAGAGGTCAAGTGGGGGGTGCAGTTAATAAGCTGAAAACAGGTTTATATCTTAATGTTAAGTAGAAAATGGAAAGGGTCTTGATATAATCAGTAACAAAAAGTTATGTACAGATGTTTACCTGCAGTGAACTGAAGAAAACATTGTCATCTTAGATGTAACTTTTACCACTATGGAGTTCAAAGACAAGGTAGAGCTGAAGTCAGGGAAAAAAATATTAAGAAATGAAAGACTTTCATTTGGTGGTCACATTAACAATTGAATATAATTGTTGGGATAACATTGTCAAATTACTAGCTGGGTCTAATTACTAGCTGGGTCTAAAATTGTACTTTCAATTTTTATTGTTGGTCTCTGATTTTATGACCCAAAATTATACAAAATCATTTTAAATTGAAATACTCTTACATATGGAATGGATCTAGTTATGGAATAGCTAGAGCAATGATTTCCCTATCTAGAACAATAGTTACACAATCATATGAAATGGGAGGTTAGAAGATAATGAATAAAGATTATTTTTGGAGGTCACTGAAAATGACATGGATCAGCAGGTTGTTTGTTGCAAGCTTTATGGTGCAATATACTGCTGATATTCAAATGATGGGACTAATGTACTTTGGGTGAAGATACCTTTAAATGATACAGTAATTTTTAGTGAACTTTCATAGTATTTCATTTGTTGGCAATGATATATTCTCTGAAAGAAATGGGCTTAACATTGAATTTACAATTTTCAGGTTAAATCCACTTCCAATTAATGCTGAAAAAGTAGTTTTTAATTTGGCGTCTGATCACTATTGCATGTACAGCCCAATGAGTGGAAGTATCTTTTTTTCTGAAAAAAAAATGGTTATTTTTGAAGGCCATGGAACATCTCCAGAGTTTCATCGCAGACTGTGACAGGAAAACAGAGATGGCCAAGCGGCGACTAAAGGAGACACAAGAAGAGCTCAGCGAGGAGGCAAACCAGAAGGTAAATTTATTAAACCACTTCTGTTTCACAGACAGTACAGCTGAACTCAAATGACTGGAAGTCAAAAGGACAGACTGAATTATTAGTTTACCTGTTGGTTTGTATTAAGTGATACAGTGTAAAACAACAACAGTTTTTGGTTGTAGCTAGTTGCAGATACTAATTACACATAAACATGTATTTGAAAAAAATATGAATTTTAAATTAAACATAAGCTTAAGAAACCATAATGATCTAGATATTAATCATTTGAAACCTTCCTTACTGAAAGTGTTTGCTGGGGATTGCTTTACAGTTTTGAAGGTTAAAAGTCAAGGTCACTGTTACTATAAATAGAAAAATCAGTTAACCTGCAATAACTAGTTTCAGTGGTATAACTTGGGTTCCCTTGGGTCAATCAAACTCAAACTTTATACAATGCTGTCTTACTGGACATGCTAGCTAGACCCAGAAGTCAAAGGTTCAGGTTATTGTTGCTATGATGGAAAATCTATTTTGTTGAATAACTTGATTTTGCTGAAGCCAATCTAATTCAAACTTGATGCAATGCTTCTTAACCAGTGTGCTTGTTTGTGATAGATTGCCATTCAGGGTCAAATGTCTTTGTAACTATAAATCAAAATCACTGAGGAGAGTCATAATTTAGTTAACCGCAATTTTTCATTGAAGCAAGTTCAACAAAAAGGGAGTTATGATTTGCTTTATACCTCCAACAAAGAACTTGTTGTTTTGTATATAACTTTTCAGTTTATCTTTGAAAATATCTTATAATAGTAATTTATAATCAGATATTATCAGTATAATTAAAATCTGATGTGCTCTCCTATTATCACTTTGTTTTGGCTGTCCTAACAAAATGACAGTAGGTTGGTTTTCAATATTAGATTCAAATTAGTCTACTTATTCACTTACACCTTGAACCCTAGCCTGTAATTTATATCAAAAGTGTGTGGAGTGTTTGTTTTTGGAAACAGCTTGTTCATTCTGGTGCCTTATCAGAATCACAAAACAACCACATATTTATATGTGAGCATCTTGGGGGTCACAAAACCCCAGTCTATATAGCATCAGACTATTCAACCTAGGGTAAAGATGGATGTGTGTAGGTTTGATCCCTATTTAGGATCATTTGTTTATATCAGGAAATTCAGACTATGATCCTTTTGTGATGTCAATGTTTTGTCCTTACTTAAACAAGATTCTTTACCACACTTGTTCTTGATGGCATGTGATGGACCTGACAAGTGACTTACTTCAAAGAGTGTTGTAATAATGTTGGTCAAGTGGAGAGATTTAGGTAGTCATGAAGGCATTAAATTGGAAAGAAATCAATAAAGAATACCTTGCAAATAATGCATCATAAAAAGTCGGAAGTGATAGTAATTTATAGTAGATTATCTTCTGTTTTAATGACATCAGGGGCATAAACTGCAGATAACGTCAATTATGTTAAAGTTATGTTGTATTTAAGTTTTGAATGATTAATGATTGGTACTGTACATCTGCTTACTAAACCGTATTGTTCAAGTTTTTCATTAAAAAATATATATATAAATTCACCTCCTGTTAAGTATTGCTTTGGAATGAATAAAAAAACATTAAGCAAGCCCATCCCAAGGCTGGTAGGGTCACTTCAGCTGTACTTACTCAATGTTATATCAACTGCTGAAAAAATTGAACCCTGCTGTACTTCAAAATCTCTACCAAATGATAAACAAGGAGTCAATACAAAATATGGAAAAAAGTCATTGTTTAAAACTTCTTTATTCAGGCAGAGAAGATCCATCAACTCGGGGAACAGCTTGGGGAAAACATGGCAAAGGCAGAGACCATGGGTGCAGAAGGAGAGGTGGAGGAATCCCTTAAACTCATGGAAGAAGTAGAGGAACTTAAAAAAAACAAAAGTCTTGCTGAGGTTTGTATTAACGATAACCTAATATAAAGTAGCAGTTTGAGCTGATGTCATGTAGTTTCAGCTTCCCATTTTTGGCAAAGTCTTTTATCAGTGGGTATGATCTTTCATGTTTACATTCAAAGTTTTTTCCATTTTGCATGTAAAATCAATAATGGCAAGTATGATTAATTAAATGGCAATTATGCTGCTTTCACATACACTGATATCTGCTTACAATTAAATTGTTTGGGTGTTATGAAAATGGTTTTATATGAAGATTTTGAATTTTATTAAGTCGTATTATGTGTTATTCACAGCAAGACTACAGAAATTCAATGCCAGCTTCAAGTTACCAGCAACAAAAGTTACGTGTGTGTGAAGTCTGTTCAGCTTACCTTGGTATCCATGACAACGACAGGCGTCTAGCTGACCATTTTGGTGGGAAACTTCATTTGGGCTTCATTACAATCAGAGAAAAATTAGAAGAGTTGAAGGTATGAACAATTTTGTGCATCTTGCACTATTTCAATTGTTTTATGAAGAAATTTATAAAACGAAAACAATTTGTCATAACAACCCATGACTATGAACTTAATAAATTTCAGGTACTGTTGTATCATCAGGCTGCTTAAAGAATTGGATACTATCAACATGCTTTCTGGATTATTTTTGGTTTTTGTCTTTCTCAGATTTTTTATAATGGTTTTTTTAGTTTTGTGCTGCATCAATAGGTATGCACCATTTCAGCCTCAGGCAACAGTTCGATCCTCTTGTTCAACATAACACATGTTGACCAAAAATCTAGTCTACAAATGTTTTGTTATACCATTTACCTTAGATATCTAAGAAAATGAATCATTATAGATGAATATAAATAAGACAACATCAATTCAACAATTTTAATTCTTAAATACATTTTCAACAACACTAACAGGGATTTGTGTAAGTGTGTATTGTCAGTTATATTCATTGGTGAAAATTGTTGAATAACAACCAGGTGGTAACAAACAGTAATGAACTGTGATGTAAGCAGTCAACTTTGAGATGTTGATTGGTAACCGTTGTTCTGGGGCAAACATCTGAAATTTCAGACTTAATTCACTATAGAAAAGTATAAATAGTAAAGACATAACAAAAGTTTTTGTGGACATGAATAACCATCGGTTTGACCACCTCTTTGACATGATCACACTATTCTAATTTTTGATTGTGCAATATTTGATGTGCGATCAAAATTTGAAGTAGATAATAAATGGAACAGATTTGAAATGCCTGTTGGTGTATTATTGTATGTCAGGATGTCAGATCATGTATTTAACATCTGTAAAATTTGTATAACAAGATCATAAAGCAGTGTAGGAATCTATCAGAGATGTAATTGATTCTTTCTAGGAAAATATTTGATAAAAGTAAAATTTGTATAAACAATTTGAAACAAAGGAACTTCAGCAAATAATCATGATGGTGTATTAACATTATTTATGTACGATACCTATGCTGGCAGTGTTACCAGTGTGCATGGATATAAATTAGTGAATTACAGACAAGTAACTTTATGGTTTTCAGACACGTGTGGCTGAGAGGAGGAATTTAAGAGAAAAGGAAAGAGAGGAACAGAAGGTCAAGAGAGAAAAAGAAGATGAACCTAGGAAAAGTAAAAGTGCCAGTCCTGTGAGAAGGCGTAGTCGCAGCACCAGCAAGCGCAGCCGAAGCAGGAGTAGAAGTCGAAGAAAGAGTCGGTCCCGTAGCCAGAGTCGTGACAGGAACAGAAAACGCCGGTCACACAGTAGTTCTCGCAACAGAAGGAGGTCAGTATTGCATTCTTTTCACTTGTTAGCTTTTGACTTTCCTTTTTATGGACGGATGATTTTGGTAGGTTCTCGGGTCTAAGTGTGGAAGTATATAGAAATAAATATCAATTATTAGGAAATTGAAAATGTCAGAAATCTAAAAATAATTGTTCAATGGTTATCATTACAGATCAAAGTTAATCATAAATCAATTTTTAAGATGAAGTTTAATTATTTAGTTGTCATCTTTTCAGGTCAAGGTCAGGTGATCGTAGATCACACAAGAGGTCAAGACGTTCAAGATCGAGGTCCAGATGTAGGCGTTCACGATCACGACATTCCAGATCAAGGCGATCAAGATCACGTCGTTCAAGGTCACGTCGGTCAAGATCACGTTCCAGGTCAAGGTCACGGAGGCATAGAAGGTGACATAGATGGGCTTTATAAGATCTAACATATTAATTCTTTTTATTATGATCAAAATTTTGAGAAGTATAACAACTGTATCTATAGTAAATGGATGCAGATTAGTTGTCAATTCCAATGAAATCAAACGTTGCTAACTAACACTAATGTACGACAAAAATGCAGAGGATACCACAGTTCTCATTACTCTTTTACACTATAATTTGAAGGCAAAAACAAACATTATTAAGTTTCAAGTATTGATAGTGAATATATTGCCTAGTCCCATGCTCTTGTCTTCAAAGGATTCAAAACATATATTTATCCTTGTAAAATCAGCTTGATTTCACAGAAAGTGTGAGAGACATCATTTTTGGTTCTGAAAATTTGAAGTGGGAAAGTTGACTATTACTCTACATATGTAATAAAATGGTTAAACAATAGATCAGGATGTGGGTTGCCATGCATGTCTTAAATAGGTTGTCAAAAGAGCCTGTTTCTTTGCGTACCTGAAAATGATTTCATTCTTCAGAACTCGAAGCCAGATTCTTTGTGGGTTTACAGACAGAAAAGAAAAAAACAACTATTTCATGTCCAAAAAAAGTGGGGGGATTCGCCTTGAGTCTGTTGGTGTTTTTTGTAGGTCTTCAGCTTAGATGTAATAAAAAAACAGATTCTTTCTGCCCAATATTAAATCTGATTTTTTCCCATCTGCTGTTGTTTGTGGTGTCCCATCGTTCCAGTCTCTATATGACTTCAGTTTTTACTTCGGCATTAATTCCTGAACAGATGAAAGAAAAGCTTATACAGAATTATAGCTTCAAAGTCAGTATCTCCTCAATATATTGTTGTTTGTTTATTCAGGAGATCAAGGTCAAGGTCCAGACGTTCTAGAAGCAGATCAAGGTCAAGGAGGCATCATCGCAGATCACGATCAGGGTCCCGCAGAAGTAGAAGTTTACAGCGCAGAAGAGATTCAAGATCTAGATCCCGAGACAGTAACCACTCATAGCTTCCTATTAGGTTTGTACATTTATGTCTTAAACTCAACAAAGCCATCTAAGATATTTAAATGTTGTAACAATTTCATGTCTATAGCAAAGCTTCAAATTGCTTGCATTGAAACTAGGATAATGATAGATGATGTATACATTTTATTATACTAAGAGGATGAGCACTGTACCAAATTCAGGACCTGAATCCCTTAATTACTGAGTTATTGCCCTTGGTTAAAATTATGTATCCAATTAAGTTGTTTAGGCAGCCCCTTGGTTAAAATTATGTATCCAATGAAGTTGTTTAGGCAGCATTCATCAGTTTCATGATAATCGTGTTGTCGTAAATTATTGTAATAGAATGTATTTTACTTTTCAGATTCAGAGGATGAAAGTGCTTGCAAGAAAAAAGGAGAAACCAGACAAACTGGACAGTTGGAAAAAAACCATTAATGCAGCCAACTGTGCATTTGTTTCAGTTGTACAATTATCCAGTGGATATAGGGGGATTTCATTTGTACATAATATGGACACGAAATTTTTCCATCTATACATATTAAATGAGAACATCAAGTGAGACTTTTAACATTCTAATTATGTATCCCCATCTATGACAGATGATTGTAAGAAATGACTGAAATGATTTTCATCAGAATTGCATTCATATTTTGTTTTCCCCAGAGTTGCAAGGTGTTTATTTACGAATGAAACTTGATGGATAGTAATAATTCATAAGTACAGATTTCAGTTGCATATGATAAAAGTGTTTTTATACATTGTAGTTTTAATTTGTACATGGTAACTCTGTTCATGAGGAACAGGTTTTAATCATTGTATAAAGTCATCGAAAATTATTGCATATCTTTTATCGGGTGATTTTGAATTGTAACTGAACAGTAGATTTCCAAGAGTCCCAACGAAAGCATACCATTATTCTATATATTGCCTTTAAATATCAGCCACAAAAGTCTCACAAGTTTATGCAATGACACACTGCATGTCTTGTCATTATGGTTTCCTTTAGAATAATAATGGAGCTTATAAACATCCCTCACATTGCTCTTAATTGAAATAGGATGGTAATATATCATATTTCTATCAAAAATATTTGTAAGGAAAGCTACATGCCCCTGTGGCCTATTGTTTATATAAGATGTGAAAAAATAAAGCATGTAATATAGAGTTTATTGAGGTGGTTGATGGGCAGTTCACTTTTTAATTCTTTAAAAAAGGTTTGGCCTAATTGCACTGAGATGTAAAATGAAAATTGCCTAAAGGAAAGCTTATGTAATTAAACATATTCTTAAGGTTTAACTTGGAATTTGAAAGTAAACATGATTGTAGATATTGGATCACTTTTCATTTGAAACACACATACTTTTCTAATGTTGAACATGTTTGTTATTATATGATGAAGGCTCATATTTTAATTTCAATAAAAGCTATTGCCCTTAATTTCTGTCTTGTTATGATTTTCTGCCTATAGAGGAGGCAAGATAATATTCAACTTTTACAAGAATACATATTTCAGCCATGGCTGACAGATTTTGTATGCAAAGTGTCTTTCAATTGTAGATTGTTGTACATCAAAATATCCCACATTACATTCTTGCAGTCCAATTTTTGTCACCGCCTTGTCCAAGACTTGTATGCTACATTATCTGCAATTGACATCTTGTCAGGTGGCATATCTCGTCCTAAGGCTAAAGGACAGTAGTTTTGTAACAAAATTCTACTTTCTGAAATCTGATCTTGTGCCATATGATACATAGTTTTGATTTATGCTTGCACCAGAAGAGGATTTTTTTTTTTTTTTTTTTTTGAAAAAAATTCTTTGGAGAAAAGTGAGTTTTTTTTTCAGTACTCTGTACTAAGTCTTCGTATTATTGAGATGTAAAACATGTACACAGGTGCTAATTCATGAGGTGACATGAACATGTTGATTTTGATGCACTTCAAGCACATATATTTTTAAATTGCTTTGGCTAAACTTGGTAAACATGCAGGATTCCAAACAGCAAAATCCATAATTACAATTGATAATGAGAAGTGAAGGAAACTTGAAATGTTACTACATCACAGTTTGTAGTGTCCTGAAATTAGGTCACTGTGATCCTCACTTTCAGATGGTCAAAGTGAAATTGACTGGGTCATACCTGTGAAAGATATATAGACTGCATCATTCACAGAATGTGTACAGTGCATTGAAATTAGGTTTTATTGTGACGAAAGCTTTGGAACATTGGGGATTGATTGACTTCAAACATACTTGCATCACCAGCAGGTGAAGTGGTGCGAGTTGAAATCGGGTCACTGTGACCTTCACCTAAAAGTTAAAAGTTAGTAAAAAAGTGCAGTTTTTCATGCAGAATAGAACTTTACAGATAGAATAATTAATTCTATCTTCTATCTTGGAATAACTTGCATGAAAGTCATGATTCCATGTTGGTGTTGTCAAGTCAAGATCAAACTGAAATGTTAAAGCATTTTGTATTTCATTCCTGTCTGAAGCAAATTTGATTAAAACCAATTGATAAGTCGCTTGATCAATAGACATTGTCAAAATATTAAAGAACAAAATGCTTTTGTCAACGGAGATAAGATTTTGTCCACCAAAACAACTTTAAGACTTGTTATTTTTAACAAGAAATAATGGATTTTGATACTAAATGCAAAGTTGCAAGCTGAGTCTTACAGAATATATTTGAACCATATCTTAACTTGTCTTGGACAGCTGAGAACGTCTATGTGTAGGGATCAGTACCAGCCTAACTTTGTAGAACAAGTGCTTTATGAAAGTGTATGCTTAGGATTGCTTTTCGTGTGTGAAGGTCAACATCACCATAATGTTAGTTAGAATGTCAAATTTCATATATATACAAATTTTCCCACCCATATGCATTTAAACCGTTTGGAGACTTACTTGTGTAGCAAATTTTAGAGGAAATCTGATGACCACCATAGTAAATTCTACATTGATGCCTGCCTTCACATGATGAAAGACTTAATTATTACAGACAAAGTATCAGTAACAGCTCGCCTAACCATGGCTTGGAATCCTTAACTTTTTCTTATAACCTCTGAAGCGTTATTCTGTAAAGTGATATATTTGGTTTATAGCTTCCTGAGATTACCAAACAGTGTGAAATAAATTGTCATTACAAATATTTAAGGTCACAGAGGTCAAATTTGTTTCAATAAACAACTTTTGATTAAAAAGCAGGAGGTCTAAAATCATGATTCAAATATATATTTGGCAGGCTACTTCCTGGGATTAAGCTTGACAAAGTTGTCAGTTTTTATTGCTCCTACACAGAACACTACAAGTTTGTCTTGAACCCAAGTATGCCAGTGACATTTGATGCAGCATGTTGCATAGCAGACACTGTCCAGGAGTCTGAACCAGTAGTGTAGAGATGTTGGTAGTATTAATACACTAGTGTTATAATGTCAACAACTATCGTTAACTTGGAGTAAAAACAAACTTGGTCCATATTCAAGGTCTAGAGTCAAATATTGCCTTCAGCTCAATAACCTTTGATCAATCCCACACAAGCTGACCAAGTCCGTGACAAAATTAATTCAGATTGATTTGAGATATTGTGTAGAAACAGAAGTATCAGATTTTTCCACTTCAATAGTGATTTCCTCTCGTGTAACATCAAAATTTTAAGAGATTCCCCAAATGTAACATTTCATTGGAATGACGTCATGAGCATTTTCTTGATGAAAAAAAAAGATGTTTCACATTACTAGAAGTAAAAGTGTAAATACAAGTCATTTTTTTTCACATCTTATGGAATCGGTTGACGTAAGAAGACTTATTCCAAACTTATTGTGATTGGATATCTTAATTAGTTTGTCCCTATTCTTCAATTGGCCTGCGTACCATGTAGTATTCAAGCAACGGACATCAAGAACTTACTGAATTGCAACTATGGTAATGGTGCTGGCTCTAATTCTTCATCTATAACTGATCCTGGATACAAGGCAGTCACTGAACTCTCCTGGCCTCAGACCTGCAGAGCTTGAAGTCTTCTATCATTCTGTTGTTACAAGAAGCCCAATGAACTAAGAGACAACACTCTTTGATGGGTTTATTCTGGAAACGTTCATGTTCATATTAAACATATGTTTTCTTTACAGTATACTTTTATTTGAAGCAGGTGAAATTTCAAATAAGTTGCCCCATTTGACCTTTGTTACATTAAATGTATTCAAAGAAATGAATTTGAAGAAATAATTCGACCAATATTGGTATCCCTCTATCCCGGTATATAAGCAGTCCAATATGATTACTGGGTTCACTGGTTATTAAAAATTCCTTTTCAGTTTTCAACACCTCTGACCCTAGTAAAACCTTGAAAGTGGGGCAAGGTTGTTTATTTGGACAAACTTGGTAGCATTCTGATATCATAATTGAGATGAAAGTATTTAAGAATTTTAACACATTTGATCATGTAACCTAGAAGGTCAAATAATGGAATGAGCTTGACATGATAATGACCAAGAGCCTTTTGCTTTTTGAGAAATTGTTTGCCGTTTTAAACACCTGTACCCATGTGACCTTGAAAGAGGGTCAAGGTCGCCAATATGAGCTTGTTTGATAATCCTTTATCCCGGCTTGCTACTGACTAAACATGGATCTTGGAATCTTGGTATTCAATTGAGAAAGCATTAAATGGAAATGTTGCCCTTTCAGAAGGTGCACAGTCATAAAATTGTAAAAATGACAGTTGGGTCATTTGACTACAGCTACCGTTTCCTCTATCACAGTTCATAAACTTATGAATTTCAAACTTCTTGTCAAATTCCACAAGTGGAATTTAGCTGAAGCTTGCCTGGAAGGAACTCAAGATTCAGGAGTTTGAAAACCAATATAGCTATATTATTGAGAAAAAAATTATGATAATTTCTTCTCCGGTTCCATTGGTGGAAACATTAAGTAAAGAAGGAAAGAAAGCCGACATAGCATTGTTACATTTTGGCCTAGTGCAATGTGCATCATGGCAGTCACAGTGACCATTTTGTAACATGATTGCAACATTAAAGCTTTACTAACCATGTTACAAGTTTGAAACTTCTCAAACTTCACCTGATGGATTGAATTGAAACTTTACAGGAATAATGCAAGGTCATCCATTTTTTAAATTCTGAAATGAAAAATTGGTCACTATGACAGCCAAATTGAAAACCCCTATTTTGAATACCAAGCCGCAACTAGTGGAGAGTCCAAGGACATGGTGCCTACAAAATGATGTTTTTCAGGCACATCAGGAAGTTTGACATGGCAGCTACTTTCAGCATGATTGCATAATCATGGTTTTCCTGATCAACCCACATATTAACTTGCCTTGTTCAGGTTCACCACCATGACATCTGTCATAAAAAGTTGAAGTTTGCCAGATAGCAACCACGTACATGTATTTTTGCATGCTGAAGTTTGCTTGTATTATTTTTTTTGGGAACAAAGTAGATCTTTCTTAAATTTCATATGTCAACTACATTTGTTTCCAGGTTGTCCATGATCCAGATTGGGACAGAAAAAAAATGGCTGCCAGTCAACTACAATATATATCTGATTTCCATTGCTGAAATATCACGATTTCTTGAGAAGTACAAAATGAATATTTTTTGTTCAAATTTCATAAGACTCCGAATGACCAATATCTGAATTGATAAAGTGAAAAATGGACGCCAGGTGACCATCTTGGATTTTGGCAGTTATAGTTCATTATTGCTTCTCGAAAACTAATGAATGAATCTTTCTCAAGTTTCATACATAGACTACCATTGATACATTACCCTGCATGATAAAATTCAGATCTGAATGGAAAAAAACAAGATGGCTTACAGACTGCCATCTTGGATTTTGAGTGCTCCATTATCATGTCTCTATACGAGTATTAAATTCTCAATTTCAAACAGTAAATTGGTTTTAGAAATTTTGTTATCAATGTTTTTCACAACCATTTTTTTCCCTTAAATATATTTTTTAGTCAACTTGTACGAACTTTTACATTCTCAATTTTTCTTGCTGATCTAAAAAAATCTCTATGGGATCTCTTGTGAAAAAATTGATTGAACCTTGATACTGTGTAAAGAACAAAATTAAACATACAATGCTGAAAAATCAGAATTCTTTCATTATCGGTACCACTCTAGCTATTTCATTGCTAGTGTCTTTATAGTCATGACCATTAAATGGCCAATGGAACACTGATGGTGTTTAAATTTCCCTGATCAAACTATTAATCAAGAACATTTTTGAAAACTGGGTTGATGTAAAATCTCATCAATTGGAGAAGACATCTATGGCATACAATCTAAATATTAATCATGTTATTGTTTTATTCTCAAATTGATGACATAATATAAATTGGTAAAAGAGTTAGAGGTATACATTATTGTAAGAGTTCTGTTTTCTGGTATTTGGTGCTATTTTGAGATTTTGGCATTCAGAGTTATTTATCTTACAACTCTAAACTTCATGACATGTGATCATCGTTAATTCTGTAATTGATTAAAAACATAATAACAATAAAGTATGAACACAACTGATTTTTAACATCTTAACATTTATTTACACATATCTATTCATACTGACACATTTCAAATTGTGATGTTCCAACTTTTCAAGTGTTGAGATTTTTTCAGGTTTTTTTTTCTAAGAAAACACCAACATTTCCATACCAGGATCAAAACACGCAAGTTTCAGTTTATTTACATGTTGCACTAGAATGGGTTAATGTTCATGACCTTCATAAAATTTGGACAAAAAGTCTTTAGATTTGGCTGCTTCCGAATGGTCATCAAATAGCTGCATAACATGGTTTCTCTGTTTCCAGTTGTTAACTGTTTCCATAAGCTCCATCTGGCCCTGAAGAAGAAACATTATATTGTTCTTATATCATTATTTGTGAAAACATTATGGGTAAATTACTGTTACATAGCTTCATAATGTAACGCTACAGCTTTTTCCATTAAAATGTTCAAAGGCGTTAACTATAGAATATTGAGATGCTGTCTTCATAATTGATGTAAGTGAAGTGGTACAAGTAAAACAACTAATAATACATGATTTTGAAAATTCTGAACCAACTTGAAAATTGGCGATTCTGTGGCTTAGAAATGAACATTATTATCGATGTACCTTTATGACTATCATGTCGATAACACGAAGATCTGAGAGATCTTTGTTTTTGTTGAATTGACTCCTCAAGCGGCTTTTACATTGTTTTGTTGTCAGTGGTATATGGAAATTTGTTACTGCAATGAAAAGTAATCATGCTAGTTAAGTTTGTTGCTTTACAATTAAATGCATTAGTGAGAGTTGTTAAAATGACAAAGAAAATACATGTAATGACATATCGACAAAATCCTCATTAAAATTCAAATACAAGGAAACTAACACTAAATATGAACAAACATTCTTGAAAAAGTACAAGGAAAATAAGACCAGTTGTTCCATATCTTCAATACTCCAGGGATTACATTCACTTTTGACTCTTGCTCTCTGCACCTCTGGAACATGTCATGGCAAAAAAGAAGGCACAAGCGAAGTAATTTGATTGGTTCTACTAGAAAAAAAAAGACCAATCACAAGCTGATATGCTTCTTATGAAGATTATAAAGGAGCAACACCAAACTTCAAAGCAAGTACAATATAACATTATGTGATCTTGAGATTCGTTTGATGTACATAAAAGGATCAAACTAGTATTTTGGTCTTGTTCACAAGATGTTGCACATGGAACCTTCAATTTTGCCAGGACAAATTCCAGGGGTGCAGAGAGTGAAAGTGATCATAATCCCTGGAGTATTGAGGATGGATGTTCCGAAAGGAACTTCTTGTTCATTGACAACATCTGCCATATAAAGCTTGGTCAATAAAAGTCAGATTATGGAAAAACACGTTCCTTCTCTGCAACTCAATAAGATTTAAAACTGGGTTACCAGCATGGTAATTCATAAATGCTTCATCAGCTGAGTGACATAGACCACACTGACCTGCTCCTATTAAGGGGTGTTTGAGTCAAAAATGCCATTATGTATTTTATTCCCATAAATATGTTTCACCAAAATAAAGTGGTTTAAACTACTCAACAATGTTTGAGGTTCAACAAGACAAGAAACATTTGAAAGGAGTCGTGTTGCAGATTTTCCAATGTAATCAGGCAAATCAAGACTCCTTATGTGACCCCAAAATACCTCAATTCATCATGTAAGCTTACAAAGAATTTGTTACATTTTCTACTCAGCTAGTGAATCACAATATGTATAGATATTATGGACCCAGCATCCATCATATGTGCACCCTTATCCACAAGATTGTATGGTGTCAATAAATCATAATTTACACATTAAAACGTCAAAAAATTATAATCAACGGGTTGGGATTACTTGGGTTTGCGGAAACTCCAACATGATCTCTCATTACAGAGGATTTTCCCCTCTTTTCTCAGACACATTGGTATACGGGCAACTTCTAAAATGCATTTTAAAAATAACAAGATAACAAGATGGCAGTTTTTTTTCCATTCACATGCTGAGTTGATATATTCATATGATAAACAACATTTGCAAACAAAAATTTTGGGAATTCTTGCATTTGTTAAATTGATTTACTCACCTGTACATGCTTTTACTGTGGCTAAACATTTGATTACAACATACAGTGTATGGTTTATTGAATTTCAAACAAATTAGACGAGTGATATTTTAATTGTTGCTTACAAATGTAGTTGAAAACGTAAACCTGAAGTCTTCTTGGTCAATTGTGAACGTGCCATTTTTGTATTTACAAATAAATATTTTAAGACTTGCGTGCACACAAACGTGCGTGAGTTCGGGGGATTTTAATCATCGGTAATGAGAGAATGTGTCGGAGTTTCCAGTGCAGATCAAGTATGTTTTCAGCCTATTCACGTCTGTCCCTGCCACTATCAGGACAGTGAACCTAACGATAACCGGCTACTAACGGTTGCACTTCCATTCGGTAAACTAAGCAATGTCCAAAAATATATACCTATATATGGTAGCTGTCTGTACCAGGCTCTATATAAATTCAAAACTCTTCTCCGTGATTCTATCTTGTTGACAGAAAGGATAGGTTTTACTTCTTGTATCCCTCGCTGTACAACCTTGGACGCCATCTTGGATGACCTCGCCGATTATAAAGGGAGATAAGTGTTGCAATTTAAAAAAGAAAAGAAATAGTTGCCTCCCTTGATCTGAGAAACCATTCACGGAAAGTTCCTATGACATTATATTAGATTATTTTTCGTCTTTTTTAAATTAGATTTTTCTTGCACTTTTCTTGATTGGATGAAATATGTGTCAGAAAACTGATATAACAATGAGCTTAGATATAGATTTTTAGTCTGTGGAGTATTGGAATTTCCTTTGATTTATGAGGAAAAAAAGTACTAACAAAATTGAGTCCTTCTTAAGAAATTACTTAAAATAAAATTGTAATATTTATCAGTTTGGTTGTTATTGTTATGCAGTTAATGAAGAGACGATTGGATGAAGCTTCGTTTTTGCCTTCCAAATATGACAAGTGTATAATTGTGTTGCTAGTACAGTCTTGTGTTTTACTGGTCGTATGCAGTAGCTTCGAACGTCCTCGGAGCCTAAGAGTCGAGGTCATCTGGACTATAAGTGGGCCAAGGTCACTTACTTTAGCATATTATCGGACATTTATCCTGACCTTCGGTATCTTGTTTAGAGAAGACGCCATTAAAATACTTACCCACTTTCGACTGTAGTGAACTTGAATGTGGGTAAAATGATGTGGTGAACTAGTCCCAATGGTTTTGACGTTATATCGACTATTTTGGTACCGACTAGGAATCATCGAATCCAGATCGAAAAAAGTCTATAGGACCGAACGTGAGAGTAGTTCGAACTATAAGTTGACAAATATATGAACGTTTAATTCAGTAGATATCAATTTCTAACTTATTTGACACCTGCTCTACAAATATCATCAAAATGCAAAGGTATTTGGTCATAAGTATGTCGAGAGCAAAGACTATCATGCCACTGTCTGACTCGGGTTCAAATCGGAGTTAGGATGTTTGCTGCTCTAAGGAGGTGTCATCTGCAAACGAGTATAGGAATCAATAACAGTCAATATAACATATATAATAATTACTAAAAGGATATATGTCACAGTTTTGACCAATATATAGTCCCCAGCGTGAACTTGTAGTATTGTAGTTGACTTCGGCCTTGGATACATTTCCCAAATTACTCTATAATATAAGCAATAATTCCATTTCGTCCTAGCATAATTAGTAAGCCCTTATGTCACATTGTCAAAGACTTTGAAGTAGTTTGTGACTCGCCAAATCTGGACCGCAAATCTTGTTTGTGTTCTCTACACATTGAGTACATCTGCAACATCATTAAGTAAGATATATAAATTTTGTATTAAAGAATATAGAGGTATTTCTTCTGTTGTAAGTGCTGTATCTCCTTCCTAAAGGAAAGTTCATTCACAGGAAAAAAACTATTGAAGACATTAGCTTGGTCTTTAGGAGAGCAGCGTATAACATTAGCATGGCATACTGGGAGATATCGACAAACAGAAGACAGCGTACTAAACTGCTTTGAGAAGAGTCAAATTCCTTCCATATGCTTTTTCATCAAGTTGGTACAATGTAATAAGCAACCTTAGATTTACGTATCAGGGATATTCCGGATACTCTCCGTTTTTCCGTTGCATTACGTATATCCTTCGTTCTTACGTCTATCAAGAGTGGTTGATGAAAGCTGATAATTTATTTCGTAACTGTTTTAAAATTGATAAAAATCATAATTATCAGGTGTGTATTTTTAGTCTCGAGATTCAATTAGTAACCAAATGACTACTGGCTGTATAAATTTGTTATCATGATTGTCCAAAACAGATTACCAGAGGTCTTTCCCTAGTTCACCAGTAGGCCTTATTTGGCCCTTTAATAGTCTTGCATGTTTAATTTTGAGACTGATCAAGAAAATACTATGGCCTTCAAGTAACTGTCCTGAATTGTGAATGTTATTGCAATGTTTTATTATGTATATGAATTTGAATGAGTGTACCGTCTGAAATTCTACATGTATATATCTACCTTGATCTTGATTTCCATATCAAATTTTGAGATTTATCACAACAAAAGAGCTCACGATTATTGGACAGATGTCTCAAAGTCCTCTTCTTTTTAGGACATGTTACTGACGTTTTTGTACAAAGATGTTGTAATAATTGTAATATCAGAATACTTGTAAACGTAGGAATTCATTTGTATTTAGATTTTCTTTTTCCTTGAAAAGTTTGAAAGATAATAGATGCGAGAGGATTTCTTTTTGAAAATATATAATCGACAATGTCTTGAGTATTCTTTTACCCATTGTGCCCCTCCCTTCAGTCACAAAGTAAGTGGATAAGGTTCCAGTCTTATAATTAGTGTTAATACTTTTAGAAAATTTACCATATGGTGTATCTGTAAATTCTATTTTAGTTCAAGTACTGAAGTGATATTATGATACAATGATACAAAATGGAAAGGATACTGATGAAGCATTTTTTCTTTCTCTTTTTTTTTAATTTTTTTTTTTTTTGGGGGGGGGGGGTTGTATTTGTGTGAAAAACAAGAGGCATCACTATATTGTTAGTTAAGTTCAGCCGGAATTCAAACTGAAAGGTTAACATCTATTTCCCCTATTGGGCCATGCCCCTATGTCCCCAGGATGTAGTAAAATCCACATTTTAAACAAAATTGAATCCTCTCCATCCAACAACACTTCAGACTATTTCAGGTCAAAATCTCATCATCTGAACAGCTAATAATCATTAGACAGATATATGAAAGCACTCTTTTTTCAGGCATTGTATACAAGTACTTGAATGAAATCCTTTCATCTTTACAGAAGAAGACAGATTTTTAACTTCCTGAATTCCAATGTTGGGCCCCATCCCTCAGACAGCCTGAAACCCAATGTTTGAGGTCAGGGCCTATGGATAAAGTACCTGTTTTTCAGGTAACTGGGGTTTGGTTACCTGATCTAACATGAAAAGGAATGGAGTCATCTATACGCCCATCTGTGATTTCTTTAGCTTCTCTGGTGTCTTCTCAAAGTGAAGATTCCTCGCTCACTTCAATCTAGGCCAACAAGTGATTAGTATAAGCAGAAAGCAGCTGTAAAATAAATAAAACTGCTCTTTTTTATACACTTTTCCGGAGGATGCTTTAGATCAAATTTGGTAAAAATCAACTTGGTCCTTTATAACTACGAGTGATTTGTAGAATAACATTGACGGACTATAGGTGCCACACCATGCCATAAGCACACATGGCCCTTCATATGAAACTAAATCATATCTAAAAAAAAATATGTGTAAAATGACACCGAAACTTTTTAAACCAAGTATATCTTGTGAAATATGTATCCTGTCGTGTGAATCTGTTTCAAATTGTCTTCTCATTGAAGGATGTAGATTATAAACTTCAGATCTGTAAGATGAAAACCTTGAATTAAAATATCCCATGGGTGGTAAATGTTTATTCCTTTTAAAATTATCAGGTGAATCCTCCGTCATATGATATAAGGAAATTGCAAAAAGAAGTATTCAAAAATTAATTAATTTACATGCATCTAGATTTAGTCATGAAATGAAACACACAACAGAAATATTTTGATTTATTTTATTACATATGTATAACAGTATATATGCTGCATCTAATATCTACAAGGAGTACAAAACAATTTACAATCCTCGTCAATATTTATGTTTACAGAGAGAAGGCAACCTTAACTTTTATTTCAATACTTACAGTTATACCTAGAAGTGTACAACTGTTCAATCTATCTGTAAACATCAATATGTTGTAGTGGAAAACATGATTCAGGTCAACCATTGCAGGCACAACAAATGAAATCAATATTACTAAAAAAATAGACTGGGTGTTCAGAGTCAATATTTCTGAATACGAAAAATGCATTGGAAATTGTACAAACTATATTGCTTGTAATAAAGTGCATTTACCAGATTTTATTTTAAAAACTCATCAATACATTCATGATAATGTTCACATTTAACATGACTGGTTTCTATCTGTGCACCTTCCATAACTTAATACCAGTAATATGACAATCGTACACTAAATTATAATATTACATTTGAAACTTAAACCAATTAGTACAAATAAATTGAGTGTTACATCAGTGTGGCCAATGTACCAGTAACATGACTTCACTAACAAGTCTTTTTACATTCAAGTGTATATTACATTGATATACCTGTAAAAAAAGAGATCCCAGAGGGATCTTGGCACCCACTATTGTTTGATTTTTTATATGCTCTTTGAAAGTTGGATCTTTTCATTTTTTTTCTCTTCTCTTCTCTGTTTTTGCTCTTAATGATAAGATACTTGAACATTCCTTTACCTGCTAGATCCAAACTGGCTGCCTGGAAGCCAATATGGAGATATTGTTATATGACATTTGAAGCTGAATGAATGATGACAATGTGGTAAAATCATTCAATGTACATCAAAATAAAATAAGAGACAACAAATGCAAATAAAGGGTATTGGTATGTACATATATACAGAAGAATTTGTTCCCTTTTTTATCTACATTATCTACAAATAAAATCTAAAACCAGCCTTTGTATAGCAGCAACATTGTTTAAATACTTTTCTTATAAATTATTTTAAACGTTCTCTGTTAAGTCACAAAAAGTAAAATATCTTCAAGGAAAGTTTGTAAAACTTCATCACGCATATAAATCCAAAGAGCATGTTGTCATAAGATTTTTCTACACTTTTAAAATGCTAGTAAATTTACTTGAAAAATAGATGAATGTGTGTCATGATTAAAAGATTAAAACTTCATGAAAATAAATCTGTACTAGTCAGTACAATCCCTAAATTTATAACAATCAATTGTAACAAATCTTTATATTCAAATTAAAATTTATTCTATCATTATAAAAAAACTCAATCTTATTTACACAATTAAAACTGAATGAAGGTTTATGAAATCTGAGAGTGATTACAAAAATATTTACAAATTCAACAGATTTAACATTAGTTTCATATCAGCTGCACATGTACAGGTGTATATGCAGTATTAACAGTGTATAATATATTAAGATAATTTGCTGCCATTTGAAATAAAAACCTGATTTCTAAGGTTTGATATTTAAACTGATTTGTGACTGTATAGTTTCACACTTTCATCCTATCAAATGTTTGTCACCTTTCATAACAAAAAATAAATGTGTTTTTGTTGCTTGATGAATCTGCACTCTCATTTAATGGTGAAGAATGAATTGAAATCTGATTCTCAATTTACAGGATTTACCAAAAATCTAGTACATGTACATGATTAATAAAGACTTAAAATTTGTTCTATAAAATGTAATAAATGAAATATTTACACTCATGTAATGTAATAAATGATATATTTACACTGATGTGATGTAATAAATGATATATTACACTTGTGTGAAATAATGATGATATACTTGCACCAAGAATATGATATATTTACACAATGATATATTAACACTCATGTGATGTAATTAATGATATATTTACACAATGATAATGTAGATGGTGTTATATTTACACTCATGTGATGTAATTAATGATATATTTACATTTGTGATGTAAAAATGATATACTTGCACCAAGTAAATGATATATTTACACAATGATAATGTAGATGATGATATATTTACACTCATGTGATGTAATTAATGATATATTTACACAATGATAATGTAGATGGTGATATATTAACACTCATGCGATGTAATAAATGATATATTATCATTCAGATAATATAATAATTTATCTAATAAAGAAATATGTACACTGGGATAATATAAATGCTGATTTACACTGAGATAATGTAAACACTGATTTACACTGAGATAATGTAAACACTGATTTACAAAGAGATAGTTTACTCACAAATAAACATTCCAAATCAATTTAAGGATAGCTTACTCTCTAACTAACACCTTGAGTCAGTCTCTACCCAAATGTTTCTGTAAACACTGTAAATGTGACATTATCAAATAATAATTAATGGATGTGACAAATTACCACCTTATATCATACCACCAAGACCATACAAGTAATCTAAAGATAGAATGACTTATTTTCACAATATTGCATAGTGTTGAAGGATAGAGGAGGGGAAAATGCTGTGTATGTGTTTTTGGGAGGGCGGATGGGGATGGGGGGGGAGGTGGGAGGGGTATAGGATCTTATATATTTTATTATCATGACTTAAAAAAAAGCAGGGCTGTTGAACTTATAGATTCCATCTATTGCAAAATGTACATGTAAACATTTATTTCCTTTTTCTAAACAGACAAAAATATCAATTATGACTGGTACTTGTAGCAAAATGCATGAAACAAACAAAATTAAAGATTCTTCTATACAATGTATACATCTCCACTTCAGCTTGAGACAGACTCAAAGTGCTAATGATACTGTGGTTCTATAAAGTAGCTAATATTTAACAAATTACCTTAAAATTCAAAGAAGTGTCCCAAATACATCAAGCATTCATACTTCAGCATTTGTTCATACCCATACACATTCACATACACATTCACATACACATTCACATACAGTCAGACTACTAACATACACATATCATGCTTGTACACAACCTGACAGTTGTTGTATTCTTAATAAAAGAGTATCCTTCTCCTTCTCAAACTGTGCTGCCATTAATAATTTTTCTTCTTCAAGTTTCCTCTTTTCTTGTTCAAATATCTCTGCTCTGATTTGCTCTCTTATCCTTTCCTGGATCAATGCCTCCTCTGCTCTCCTCTTCTCCTCCTCTAACATTTGTTCCTTTTGTATTCTCTGTGCAATCTCCTCCTCTGCTCTCCTCTTCTCCTCCTCTGCTCTCCTCTTCTCCTCCTCTAACATTTGTTCCTTTTGTATTCTCTGTGCAATCTCCTCCTCTGCTCTCCTCTTCTCCTCCTCTGCTCTCCTCTTCTCCTCCTCTAACATTTCTCCTTTTGTATTCTCTGTGCAATCTCCTCCTCTGCTCTCCTCTTCTCCTCCTCTAACATTTGTTCCTTTTGTATTCTCTGTGCAATCTCCTCCTCTGCTCTACTCTTCTCCTCCTCTGCTCTCCTCTTCTCCTCCTCTAACATTTGTTCCTTTTGTATTCTCTGTGCAATCTCCTCCTCTGCTCTCCTCTTCTCCTCCTCTGCTCTCCTCTTCTCCTCCTCTGCTCTCCTCTTCTCCTCCTCTAACATTTGTTCCTTTTGTATTCTCTGTGCAATCTCCTCCTCTGCTCTCCTCTTCTCCTCCTCTGCTCTCCTCTTCTCCTCCTCTAACATTTGTTCCTTTTGTATTCTCTGTGCAATCTCCTCCTCTGCTCTCCTCTTCTCCTCCTCTGCTCTCCTCTTCTCCTCCTCTAACATTTGTTCCTTTTGTATTCTCTGTGCAATCTCCTCCTCTGCTCTCCTCTTCTCCTCCTCTGCTCTCCTCTTCTCCTCCTCTAACATTTGTTCCTTTTGTATTCTCTGTGCAATCTCCTCCTCTGCTATCCTCTTCTCCTCCTCTGCTCTCCTCTTCTCCTCCTCTAACATTTGTTCCTTTTGTATTCTCTGTGCAATCTCCTCCTCTGCTCTCCTCTTCTCCTCCTCTGCTCTCCTCTTCTCCTCCTCTAACATTTGTTCCTTTTGTATTCTCTGTGCAATCTCCTCCTCTGCTCTCCTCTTCTCCTCCTCTGCTCTCCTCTTCTCCTCCTCTGCTCTCTGACTCCTATCCGCTAGCAGATCTTCTCTATTTTTACCCTGTATAATCTCCTCAATAGCAGCATTCATCAGTTGCTGTGCCTCATTCCTGTCCTCCATTGCAGTGTTGGTCTGCCTCATGGCCTCAAGTTTTTCCCTGTGTGCCCTGTTTGCCCTGTTGTCTGCCTGTTCAGCTCTGGCTTTCTCTATGTCCACAAGGTTGATCAAATGTTCTGGAAATATTTAATCAATAATTAAAAAAAAAAATTATTTAAGATATATATACATGGTATATATATTTATCACATGATTGCTTTGTTATTCAGTCAATACACCCCTGTGTTATTTTTGCATATTAAACATGCATACTTTAACACATTGTGACATCAGGTTTAGATAATGAAACAATGTCACACACAGAGTTTATTGTGACATAACAATAAAGAACATAGATGCAAAGCTGAAATAACTGACATTTGACATTAAAATAACCATTTTCTACCATAATTGCCTGAATAATATGATAAAACAGATTTTAAATTTGTATCCATTTGATAATGTGATTTTTGATAAATTGATCGAAACTTGTCACAAAATTTTTCATCTTCACTAGCCACAGACTCCCTAAGATAAAGACATGGCTGTGTTTCATAAATCACATCAAATGGAACCTCATGTAAGATCCTATATGTGTGTCCCACCTTATATACGACTACCAGAGGAAGGGAACTGTTCAATTACAGAAAACCAATCTGAATACAATATAACAATCTGTTCAAAGTATATGAAATTATTAAAGGTGATACAATTGTTATATATCGAAGACCCAGTAAACAAATTGTGGTGACAACAAGAAAACATCTCGATTCAGGGTAGAACTGATGTCATTGCATGTTCACATTATATCTTATAACTAATTCTGACAGAAGAATTCCACTGTATGTGAAACTTTCTATCCTCATACAGATCTCTAGCTTTACGTTTGATATTGTGTAATGCTCAGGAGTATTACCTATGCCAGTACCTTTGATGCGATTCCATTCTTGGTCAAATTCTTGCATGGTTGGTTCTCTCTGGTCTGAAATGTATTAAACAAATTATGAATGTAAATATATCTATCTTTTTTAAATAGTAAAAAGGACAAACTGCAGGTATTCAAACTTTGATCATACAATCTTCAGCCAACACTGTGACCAGTTCACTACAGTAACTTGTTATTTACATTGATATCACCAGGTACGTGCATTTCATATCCTGTTGCTATCAATTCTGATCTGATCTAGTTCTATCACATAGACAGATGGTACAGCACTTAAGTTAAACAGACAAGGGGACCGAGAATTATAACATTCTTCAAAATTCATCTTTAAATATTGTGTTACATGATAGAAAATTACAATCCTTATCACATGATGTAGTTTGTACAGGAAGTCAAACTCAATATCAACAGGAATATACAGGAGCGATAAAATTTTGCTTTCTTTCCTCAAAAGTGTCTGGACGATTCCAGTGGTAAGATAGCATGTAAATTGTTCAATACATGATAATAATTGCCAACATTCTCTGACATGTGCACAGAATTATACATGTAGAACTGTTGAACAGTTTATCTATTGACTATATAAATGCAGTTTGGGTGATAAATTGTCATGACATCTAACTGACATCATTCTATTTATCTGTCACACAAAATGCATTCATATCAACTATGAACACAATTTAACAATCAGCTGATAAATGTGCTACTCTATTGCCCTATGTCCCAAAATGAACCTGTCTTATACCACACCATATAAGACTCACAAATTTGTCAGATTAGACAGGACTTCAGAATTAACAAGGTATTTTTTGAAGTAAAGAGATAATTCCGAGGAATGTAAATGTTTCATACTGTTTGTACCAAACATTTTTTTAGACATAGTCATTTTTTGAACTAACAACCTGCATGCAAGCTTATCTTTACCTGGAAGATGGTGAAACTTACATCTATCAAAACATTCATGGAGGACAAGTTTGACATCAGCAGAGAAGGCATACTTCCTGGTCCCAATATAAACATTCACCACAGCATCTTCTGTAAGGACTAGTGTATCTAGCAGGTTAGGGAAATTGATTTCCTCATCTGCAACATATTCAAAAGGTAAGCAAAACTTAAAGAATTGTGTAATATGAGCACAAGGGAGTTCAGTAGTGTGGGGAATATGTGTACCAGTATACAATAAGGAGTATATATGATGAGTGGGAGAGAGTGGTATACAAGTAAATAACAGAGCAGCCTTGACAGCCACCTGAGATAAGCAATATTGAATATAATGGTTAAAGGGTAAGTATCTTTCCAAATGAATAAAGTAAGACCCATTTTGGTAACTAAAGCACCTTAAGACACTTTTCGTACAGTAAAATTCACCCCCTCCCCATGGGGAAATGCGAGACCCTGTGGCAATGAAATTCACAATTTTGGTAAAACATGTCAAGATGCTTCCATCCATAAAGAACATTTAATTCTACCACATCTGGGTGTTGAGAAGAAGGTTTTTGAGTCAGTTAGACACTTTTGGCCCTGCCCCTCTGGCAACTATATCTAGGTGTTGAGAAGAAGATTTTTGTTTAAGTCGATTTGACCCATTTTGGCCCTGCCCATCAGCCCCTGGGGGTCAGCCAGGAAACAATACGGACGTACCATCAAGCCGTCTTTCTTCACTCATAGTTCTAATCTAGTTTGAAATATTTCCAATGAAAATTAAACAAATTATACTAAAAAGTCTATTTTTCCTATATGAACTACAGTAAACATGACTCATTCACCACAGAGAAATGTGAGACCCTGTGGCTTTGAAATTCACAATTTTGGTAAAACACGTCAAGATGCTTCCATCCATGAAGATCATTTAATTCTACCATATCTGGGTGTTGAGAAAAAGGTTTTTGAGTCTGTTAGACACTTTTGGCCCTGCCCCTCAGGCCTCTGTGGGGTGGGGGTCATATAAATCACTATTTTTTGTGCATCTTTTGCCAGGGAAGGTTTCTGAAAATTTTTATTGAAATCAATTCTGGATTTTTTTTTTTTAAGAAGAAGTCGAAAATGTTAAATTGTTTACAAATGCTAGACGCACAATTCTGGACATAGATGAGCACAATGCGTCACCATGAGACTACAAAGAATAATTAGAGGTAGAGAGACATATAAACATTTCTATGATGAGAGGTACATATAGTTACATGATAAGTGGTATTATGGGGGTATACATGATGAGAGGTACTAACAGGTAAACAAATACACAATTAGGGGTACTAACAGGTATACAAATACATGATGAGGGGTTCTAACAGGTATACAAATACATGATGAGGGGTTCTAACAGGTATACAAATACACAATTAGGGGTTCTAACAGGTATACAAGTACATGATGAGGGGTTCTAACAGGTATACAAATACACAATTAGGGGTACTAACAGGTATACAAATACATGATGAGGGGTTCTAACAGGTATACAAATACACAATTAGGGGTACTAACAGGTATACAAATACATGATGAGGGGTTCTAACAGGTATACAAGTACATGATGAGGGGTTCTAACAGGTATACAAATACATGATGAGGGGTTCTAACAGGTATACAAATACATGATGAGGGGTTCTAACAGGTATACAAATACATGATGAGGGGTACTAACAGGTATACAAATACATGATGAGGGGTACTAACAGGTATACAAGTACATGATGAGGGGTTCTAACAGGTATACAAATACATGATGAGGGGTACTAACAGGTATACAAATACATGATGAGGGGTTCTAACAGGTATACATGTACATGATGAGGGGTTCTAACAGGTATACAAATACATGATGAGGGGTCTAACAGGTATACAAGGTATACAACATACATGATGAGGGGTTCTAACAGGTATACAAATACATGATGAGGGGTTCTAACAGGTATACAAATACATGATGAGGGGTTCTAACAGGTATACAAATACACAATTAGGGGTACTAACAGGTATACAAATACATGATGAGGGGTTCTAACAGGTATACAAATACATGATGAGGGGTTCTAACAGGTATACAAATACATGATGAGGGGTTCTAACAGGTATACAAATACACAATTAGGGGTACTAACAGGTATACAAATACATGATGATGTGTTCTAACAGGTATACAATATACAAATACATGATGAGGGGTTCTAACAGGTATACAAATACATGATGAGGGGTTCTAACAGGTATACAAATACATGATGAGGGGTTCTAACAGGTATACAAATACATGATGAGGGGTTCTAACAGGTATACAAATACACAATTAGGGGTACTAACAGGTATACAAATACACAATTAGGGGTACTAACAGGTATACAAATACATGATGAGGGGTTCTAACAGGTATACAAATACATGATGAGGGGTTCTAACAGGTATACAAATACATGATGAGGGGTTCTAACAGGTATACAAATACATGATGAGGGGTTCTAACAGGTATACAAATACACGATTAGGGGTACAAACAAATACATGATGAGGGGTTCTAACAGGTATACAAATACATGATGAGGGGTTCTAACAGGTATACAAATACACAATTAGGGGTACTAACAGGTATACAAATACACAATTAGGGGTACTAACAGGTATACAAATACATGATAAGGGTTCTAACAGGTATACAAATACACAATTAGGGGTTCTAACAGGTATACAAATACATGATGAGGGGTTCTAACAGGTATACAAATACATGATGAGGGGTTCTAACAGGTATACAAATACACAATTAGGGGTTCTAACAGGTATACAAATACATGATGAGGGGTTCTAACAGGTATACAAATACATGATGAGGGGTTCTAACAGGTATACAAATACATGATGAGGGGTACTAACAGGTATACAAATACACGATTAGGGGTACTAACAGGTATACAAATACACAATTAGGGGTACTAACAGGTATACAAATACACGATTAGGGGTACAAACAGGTATACAAGTACATGATGAGGGGTACTAACAGGTATACAAATACACAATTAGGGGTACTAACAGGTATACAAATACACAATTAGGGGTACTAACAGGTATACAAATACATGATGAGGGGTTCTAACGGGTATACAAATACACAATTAGGGGTACTAACAGGTATACAAATACACAATTAGGGGTTCTAACAGGTATACAAATACATGATGAGGGGTTCTAACAGGTATACAAATACACGATTAGGGGTACAAACAGGTATACAAGTACATGATGAGGGGTACTAACAGGTATACAAATACACAATTAGGGGTACTAACAGGTATACAAATACATGATGAGGGGTTCTAACAGGTATACAAATACATGATGAGGGGTTCAGGTATACAAATACACAATTAGGGGTACTAACAGGTATACAAATACATGATGAGGGGGGTATACAAATACATGATGAGGGGCAGCTAACAGGTATACAAATACACAATTAGGGGTACTAACAGGTATACAAATACATGATGAGGGGTTCTAACAGGTATACAAATACACAATTAGGGGTACTAACAGGTATACAAATACATGATGAGGGGTTCTAACGGGTAAACAAATACACAATTAGGGGTACTAACAGGTATACAAATACATGATGAGGGGTTCCAACGGGTATACAAATACATGATGAGGGGTTCTAATGGGTAAACAAATACACAATTAGGGGTACTAACAGGTATACAAATACATGATGAGGGGTTCTAACGGGTAAACAAATACACAATTAGGGGTACTAACAGGTATACAAATACATGATGAGGGGTTCTAACGGGTGTACAAATACACAATTAGGGGTACTAACAGGTATACAAATACATGATGAGGGGTTCTAACAGGTATACAAATACATGATGAGGGGTTCTAACAGGTATACAAATACATGATGAGGGGTTCTAACGGGTATACAAATACACAATTAGGGGTACTAACAGGTATACAAATACATGATGAGGGGTTCTAACGGGTATACAAATACATGATGAGCGGTACTAACAGGTATACAAATACATGATGAGGGGTTCTAACAGGTATACAAATACATGATGAGGGGTTCTAACAGGTATACAAATACATGATGAGGGGTTCTAACAGGTATACAAATACATGATAAGGGGTTCTAACAGGTATACAAATACCTGATGAGGGGTTCTAATAGGTATACAAATACAAACTACAGGTATACAAATACATGAGGGGTTCTAACAGGTATACAAATACATGATAAGGGGTTCTAACAGGTATACAAATACATGATGAGGGGTTCTAACAGGTATACATATACATGATGAGGGGTACTAACAGGTATACAAATACATGATGAGGGGTTCTAACAGGTATACAAATACATGATGAAGGGTTCTAACAGGTATACAAATACATGATGAGGGGTTCTAACAGGTATACATGTACATGATGAGGGGTTCTAACAGGTATACAAATACATGATGAGGGGTACTAACAGGTATACAAATACATGATGAGGGGTTCTAACAGGTATACAAATACATGATGAGGGGTTCTAACAGGTATACAAATACATGATGAGGGGTTCTAACAGGTATACATGTACATGATGAGGGGTTCTAACAGGTATACATGTACATGATGAGGGGTTCTAACAGGTATACATGTACATGATGAGGGGTTCTAACAGGTATACAAATACATGATGAGGGGTTCTAACAGGTATACAAATACATGATGAGGGGTTCTAACAGGTATACATGTACATGATGAGGGGTTCTAACAGGTATACAAATACATGATGAGGGGTTCTAACAGGTATACATGTACATGATGAGGGGTTCTAACAGGTATACAAATACATGATGAGGGGTTCTAACAGGTATACATGTACATGATGAGGGGTTCTAACAGGTATACAAGTACATGATGAGGGGTTCTAACAGGTATACATGTACATGATGAGGGGTTCTAACAGGTATACAAATACATGATGAGGGGTTCTAACAGGTATACAAATACATGATGAGGGGTTCTAACAGGTATACAAATACATGATGAGGGGTTCTAACAGGTATACAAATACATGATGAGGGGTTCTAACAGGTATACAAATACATGATGAGGGGTTCTAACGGGTATACAAATACATGATGAGGGGTACTAACAGGTATACAAATACACAATTAGGGGTTCTAACAGGTATACAAATACATGATGAGGGGTTCTAACAGGTATACAAATACACAATTAGGGGTTCTAACAGGTATACAAATACACAATTAGGGGTTCTAACAGGTATACAAATACATGATGAGGGGTTCTAACAGGTATACATGTACATGATGAGGGGTTCTAACAGGTATACAAATACATGATGAGGGGTTCTAACAGGTATACATGTACATGATGAGGGGTTCTAACAGGTATACATGTACATGATGAGGGGTTCTAACAGGTATACAAATACATGATGAGGGGTTCTAACAGGTATACAAGTACATGATGAGGGGTTCTAACAGGTATACATGTACATGATGAGGGGTTCTAACAGGTATACATGTACATGATGAGGGGTTCTAACAGGTATACAAGTACATGATGAGGGGTTCTAACAGGTATACATGTACATGATGAGGGGTTCTAACAGGTATACAAGTACATGATGAGGGGTTCTAACAGGTATACATGTACATGATGAGGGGTTCTAACAGGTATACATGTACATGATGAGGGGTTCTAACAGGTATACATGTACATGATGAGGGGTTCTAACAGGTATACATGTACATGATGAGGGGTTCTAACAGGTATACAAATACATGATGAGGTGTTCTAAGTAGTGTACATTTACATGATGAAGAGACTAAGAGGTATACATATGTATGATGAGAAGTATTATGGAGTAAACATATACACGATGAGAGGGGACAAAGGGGAAAAATATATGTGAAGAGGGTTACTACATGGTAAATACATACATGATAAGGGGGACTAAGGGAGTATACATAAACATGATAAGGGGGACTAAGGGAGTATACATAAACATGATGAGAGGTATTATGGTGATTTACATATACGTGAAGAAGGGTACTAAAGGGTAAATACATACATGATAAGGGGGACTAAGGAAGTATACATAAACATGATGATGGGGGCTAAGGGAGTATACATAAACATGATAATGGGGGACTAAGGGAGTATACATTTTTCATGATAAGGGGGACTAAGGGAGTATACATAAACATGATAAGGGGGGCTAAGGGAGTCTACATAAACATGATAATGGGGGACTAAGGGAGTATACATAAACATGATGAGGGGGGCTAAGGGAGTCTACATAAACATGATAATGGGGGACTAAGGGAGTATACAAAACATGATAAGGGGGACTAAGGGAGTCTACATAAACATGATAATGGGGGACTAAGGGAGTATACATAAACATGATAATGGGGGACTAAGGGAGTATACATAAACATGATAATGGGGGACTAAGGGAGTATACATAAACATGATAAGGGGGACTAAGGGAGTATACATAAACATGATAAGGGGGACTAAGGGAGTATACATAAACACGATAATGGGGGCTAAGGGAGTATACAAAACATGATAATGGGGGACTAAGGGAGTATACATAAACATGATAAGGGGGACAAAGGGAGTATACATAAACATGATAAGGGGGACTAAGGGAGTATACATAAACATGATAAGGGGGACTAAGGGAGTATACATAAACATGATAAGGGGGACTAAGTGAGTATACATAAACATGATAAGGGGGACTAAGGGAGTATACATAAACATGATGAGAGGTATTATGGTGATTTACATATACGTGAAGAAGGGTACTAAAGGGTAAATACATACATGACTAAGGGAGTATACATAAACATGATAAGGGGGACTAAGGGAGTATACATAAACATGATAATGGGGGACTAAGGGAGTATACATAAACATGATAAGGGGGACTAAGGGAGTATACATAAACATGATAATGGGGGACTAAGGGAGTATACATAAACATGATAAGGGGGACAAAGGGAGTATACATAAACATGATGATGGGGGCTAAGGGAGTATACATAAACATGATAAGGGGGTCTAAGGAGTAAATATATACATGATGAAGGGGGCTAAGGGGTAAGTATATACATGATAAAGGGGACCTTTGGTTAAGTATATACATGATGAGAGGGACTAAGGGGTAAGTATATATATATGATGAGGGGGACTAAAGGAGTATACATAAACATGGTGGAGGGTATTATGGGGGTATACATATACATAATGAGGTGTACTAAATTATATACATATTTGTGGTGAAGGAGAAAGGCATGTTCATGCACAAAATGGGAGACACTGATACTGGCAATGGTAATTATTCAATTATAAAACATTTATTTGATATACAATGAAATAATTAAAAAATCCAATAAAATCTTTCATCACAATCATCAATAAATTCAATATGAACATCACAATGATAAGAATCCCTCTTATAAGTACTAATACCCTGATAACAGTAAACTTACCTCTCTGATGCAGATTTTCCAATCCATCTTTTATTTGAATATCCGTGAATTTTAACATTTCCTTTAACACTTTCACATGTGGTTTAATCATCTGCTGGCTGATCCAGTCTTGTGCTGGATCAGATGCTTCAATGGCAATAACATTTCCATTAACAAACATTTCTTCCATATATTTAGAATATTGGTCAACAAAAGAAATCAGCTGTTGATGTTCGATTGCAGATCCCAGGTCATGGCGTCTGGTGTCCACATAGAGGAAGGCACCATCTGATACTATGAAAACCCTGAGTGTAGTTAAATCCAGAGTTTCCCAAAACTCTCCATCCAACAACAGAGTATCACAGAATTCATTGCTGTAGTGTTGACATAGACACAAATCCTGGAGAATCTCCATCACTTTAACTTTGTGTATATCCGAAGCTGAACACGGAATATAATAATCAAACATTCCTTCTTCCATGAACTGTAACAATTCTGTATACGCCTTGATGAATATTGCTTCCATGACTCTCCTTTTGACTTCACCTTTATTCTGCTCTTCTCAATACCTATGATATATTGAAAGAATAACAAAAAGATTAAAAACAAATGCATAAACTAGGTATATCAAAGAAATCTTATATATAACTAGCCACATGTATCCTTGGCATAGTTACTGAGTAAAATGTTATCATTAGTTTTGGTTTACAAAATCTATATGAAAGAATTAGTTCAATAATCGTTAATGTACATGTCAATGCAAAATGTAAGAGATATTATTCACTGTACAGTTCTGTATACCAAGTTCATATTAATTTCTGTTCACAGGGATCTGTATATACCACGAAGCATTCTCCTAAAAACCACATATATAAATTTCTACACTCTTCACACGTGAACTGGTTTGACGTTGGTCACAGGAGAATTTCCCCCGTAAAATCATGTATAATATGGTATAACTGTCACTGCATTAGTAAGGAAACACTGGACTGATAGGGCATTATGAAAAAAGCCCTCTAAATACTCCTTTTGGTCCTAAGTTGCACGTGAAAATAGTTTTGTTTTGGTTGTTTGCAAGTGTCAAACGTCAAAATTTACTAAAGAATCGCCGATATCTACATCGTTAGGCTCCATAAAGAGTGCATTGGGTCCAAAATCCTCTGTTTTAACCTATCGATTAAAATTCTGACCAAAACACAGCTATGCAATATAAGAAAACTACACATACCTTTACTTGATCAAATTGTCCTGTATACAGTAGACTCCATCCACCATATTGTGTAAAAAATATACAAACGCTTGAACTGTTTCTCGCAGTGATACCGTACAATGCAAACGTCTGTCAGATTTAGATATGTTACAATCTGACTGGCTGGCGCGGAATTTTGCGGCAAAAACGAATTTCTTTGTGGATCGATATTTAAAGAAATAAAATGTTAATCCTAATTTATTCATCCGTCAGAAAGTGTATTACTGTTCATGACCAGCGTTAATGATTAAGCAATGTTTGACGTAATGACATTGTAACTTTTTCATACATTGTTCAAACCTGACAAAGTAATACACTTTTATATACATTATATAGTCAGCCTTATTTTTGATAGATCCAATTTTTATATGCATTTATAAATAGTCATGGCAATTTCTATTTGCTGTTTCATCAATCTCCTTAAAATCGGGTGTCTACGGACATTGTTCAAAACATGAGTCTCGGAAATAACAGGGCAAATATACAATGCTGTGTCCCGACCAGGAGAGAACCACGGTTAACCAATCTGCTGTATCAACTGAGTCAAAGCGGCATGCTCACTCAGCTAAGCCGGTGACAAGAGACTGTATGAACTATGCCGACCCGCTCGAAAATACTAAAATGTCAGGTTTAAAATGTATCTGATGTTTTTGATATTTTCTTTCGAAACACTATGAATACCATAACAAGAAGACCTATCGCTACCATATTAATATACCTCCCAAAATACTTTTAACAAAGAAAGGTCATTTATCTTTCTCAAATTACTATAATTATTTGAATTGATATTAAATACTACACCTATAACTATTACGTAAGGATTCACCAATAATATAGTTATATTTAAAATAATTTAACAATTCACTTACTTTGAAAGAACACCGCTCGCCCAAAAATATATCCGTATCAAATCAATATACATTTGAAGCAGTCTGTTTAGTTCGACTGTCCAGCCCAGTAATGACGATGCAGGACGTACAAGTGCACGAACGAACTTTAATCACGTGGCAAGACATTAACATGACAATACGACACATGTAATCGTAGACAAACCGGTAGGACAAGTACATATAAAAATAGGTGACATATTACGTTGACATACGTGAACATAGTACTGCCGCTCCGGTTGTACTGTGAAAGTTTAATTACTTTAACAAACTTTATTAATACAAACTAACAAAACCATATAAAACTGGACACTGCCACAAAAACTAGCCATAAAAGGAATTGAATAACAATTTATTTCACTTAAAATCTAACCAACAAGAACTTTAGAAGGTCTCTTACAATGTAGTTCCACAGACTTCGGTCTCATTTAAGGGCTCGACGCTTAGCACGGAGTTATCTTTCCTTGTGGTCGGAGTAAAGGTCTCTTCCTTATGTTTCCTTATGTTGTTTCCGCCCGCAAGACCTACTGGTCCTCTATAGGCTGCTCAGAATTGTCCGTAAACACCACGTAATGAATTGCCGTCCTTCCGGTATCTGGTCCATAGCTTGCTGTGAAGTCAAACCGTAGAGGGTGGTTTTCCCAGAGCTTGTCAATTCTGTTCTGAAAAGGTTTGATGTTCTGGCTCAGACTACTTGTTCTGAAAGACTGTTCAATGTATCTACTATTCTGTGTGCAAAGTTGTAGTTTCACCAATTTTAACGAGTTTCCTCTTGTGCTGCTGGACATGCTTAATTTTAACAAATCAGAAGTAACTTTCTGATCATAAAATCCTTTCCTTTTAAAATATTTACATTTTTGAGGATACATGATGTACCTCTTGACGCACTTTTTACTCCATTATTGCATACTATCCAGGTCAATTATAGCGTAACCGTTGGCTTGTCTTCCTCCATTATTCCATACTATCCAGGTCAATTATAGCGTAACCTTGTCATCCTCCATTAGTCCATACTATCCAGGTCAATTATAGCGTAACCGGCTTGTCTTCCTCCATTATTCCATACTATCGAGGTCAATTATAGCGTAACCTTGTCTTCCTCCATTATTACATACTATCCAGGTCAATTACACCGTAACCTTGTCTCCCTCCTTCTCTGTAATTCCATTCGTGAATAGGAGCGTTTTGACCCGTGAGATCAGATAGATCAAGAAGATAATGGGTCCAGGAACTGTCCCTTGTGGGATCCCAGACATCACAGTTGACCAATCTGAATGTTTTCTTTGTTTTAAGGAAACTGCTTATCCATTTGTAGCATCTGGTCTGAAAATTGGTAAGATTTTAGCTTGCTCAACAATCGGTTGTGAGGGATCGTGTCAAGGGCGTCCTTGTAACCCATACATCCACAGTCCTGTCTGTAGCGGTATGGTAATAACAAAGTCGCTGGGTTCGATGTTTTACTTTTATTAAAAGAGAGGCATTCTGAAACATATAGGATAAAACAAAAGCAAACTCTCACACACATATAATATCTACTGACAATTCAAACCTCAACAAATCATAACTTTAACAAATAAGTGAAAATAGCATCACTTTACAGATACAGTGATAATCATATTGACCAATTACACTAAAGATATAAAAGTTCACTTACGACACGTATCGTGTATTTATGCTACATACGACAGCGCAGATGACACCACATAATTAAGTCAAGGAGCTGACCACAACAGCTGGTGAAAATGCCAGAAAAATACAGAGACAGTGTTACTGACAAAAGAATCCAACCGTTCACTCGGAGAGATAGAATTCAAACGTACCGAAGTACTAAAGACAATAAAAAAATCCACGAGACAGAAACTTTCAACCGATCTAACAACTTCGTCAAAGTCTGTCAAGTGTCACATGTCCAGTCCGTAACTGACCACAACTTACGTACAAGCACACATACATACTGTACGTACGTACAAAGCACAAACAAAGAGACGTTCTCACGCTGTGCCCGGTACACGCATACCAGTACATATTGGCAGGCAAAACGTAACGCGAGATTTACGGATAATATACACAGAGTCTCTGATATACAGTAATCATTATATAACCAATTCAGTTTAATGTTCTAAATATGTATGTATATTTCATATCCAACAGAATTTGACAATCAATATAACAACTTAATCATCTCGACACTGTTACGTGTCCACTGATACATAACTCAGTTCTATTATTTCAGATATTGATATACCAGTTAGGATGTCTTGATGTGAACATTTCAATTCTCCTTATATAAAGTGATATTTGGCCCGTCACCAATGGTATCAAGACTGGCAATGTAAGCGGTACCAGAGACATATATAACACATGTGTTATATACGTCTCTGGCGGTACTTTGCTTTTAATTCAAACTCAAAACCAAACGAGCCAAGGCAAAATACAACCAGAACGAAGCGATCGCATTTAATATTTGTAAGAGTTATCTCTCTTCCCGCTATTTAGTAAGGAGAAAAAGTTCACTGCATTTTAGCGGTGTCAGATTTTAAGGATGCATTTCACTTTTAAAATGCAATATTTTCAAGTTAAAAGAGAGGGGAAACACAGTTAGGGTTTATCGATATATATACACATATATATATATATATATATATATATATATATATATACATAATTCAAGTTATTGACGGATTACAATATTCACTTCACGAAGCTTGCATAACTAGATTTCTTCTGCACTCTATGGGTTAAAATATATATTTAAAAGGCTAAAGGAGCTTTCGGATTTTTTGTTGTTGATTTGCTGAAAAGTTTGACTCTTCTAGCGAAATATTTTCACAAATTCATAATAAATACGCACAGAGTTCGAAACACTGTCTCGCAGCTTACTACCTAGCGTGTTACCGACCCAGATATTTATGGTATTCAGCATCAGTGAGACGCTCAAAGGATCCACGAGAGTCGAGTCTCTAGGAAAATTGACGGGAATCGAGATATATAATAATATCAAGATGCAAGAAATCGTCGCTTCCGTCACCCATATGCGGTTTGACATTGAACTTGCACTTGAGCAGCAACTTGGGTCACAGCCACTGCCGTTTCCGGGGATGGATAGTACGTAAAAGCTTTTATATATGTCATGTATTTTATTTGTTTCGGATTGACACATCTCAAAATGAACAGAAGACAGAAGAAATAATAATAATAATGAACGATGTTAAATAAATAAATAATGAGGTTTTAAACCATTGACATATAGTTACGATAATGTAAGAGATCAGATACGGCAGTCGGTTTACATCTTAATTTTCATCAACTGTTACTTTCTTATCAATGCAACAGCATAATATTACAAAGTATCGAAATTAGAGTGGAGTTTGATTTTTTCCCGCTGTTATCTGAAAATAGATTTACCGTCAAAAAGACGTTTGTCTTTTGAAAATGAAAAAACCTGACGTTTCGGGAGGTTTCAAAGTTAAAATTTTATCTAAAGGGAGGTAATACAGAATATTTTCCTAGAAAATATTTCAACAGTAAACGACATACCATTTGAATCTTGTTGATAAGTTTCATGACAACTGTTTAGCAATACTAAGACAACTTATTATGACGGGCAATGGAGATTAGTATTTATCCTAAGATGAAGAATAGCTTCAATTGTGCTTAATCTGATAGTCTAGATGTTTTGAACTTAGTATAGTAATTTGAGTCAGTTATAACACGTATATAAGTCCGTGGTTATAAAAACACGTTGTAACAAAGCATACGTAAAGCTAAGTTAGTGAATGCAATTGATTTATGGTGATGAGGTACTGCTTTTTACTTCAGAATCTGGTGCAGCTATTTGTACATTTTATCTCAGCAACATCTGCAGCAAGGGGACAGCATGTCCCTATCGACACATCAAAGGGGACAGAACTGTTGTGTGTAAACATTGGTTGAGAGGACTCTGTAAAAAGGGAGATGACTGCGAGTTTCTACATGAATATGATTTATCAAAGATGCCAGAATGCTACTTTTTTTCAAAGTTTGGTAAATATTTTGTATTGTTTTGGTTCAAAGAAAATGTTAGTGTATGGTAAGACTATGTATGTTGATATTTTAAATGTTGATGGCTTTTACTTTAATGAAAAATAACCATTTTCTGTATTAAATGGTTATATGACTCACTGGATTAACCAGTAATAATTACCTTAGAAATTATAATGGAAATAGAATATGTCGTTTTTTAGTTGAAAATGAAGCATTGATATTTAAAGATACACTGCTTGGTACATTTATGTACATACATTAGTATGTAAAATGTTAAACAACACAACAAAATACACTAACAAAGGTTTGTAATGTGTCAAGGAATGGATGAATGAATTTGTTATTTTTCTTATACAAAGAAGAAATTAAATTCCAAGACTAGGTATTAAACCAGTAAAACAATATTTTGGAATTTTACTGTTGCTAACACCAAATGTCATTCTTTGGTCATAATGATTGAAGATATGTTATGTATGTTGGTATATTTTCTTTTCAGGTGAATGTAATAACAAAGAATGCCCATTTCTACATATAGACCCTTCAGCTAAAATTAAAGATTGTCCATGGTACGATCGAGGCTTCTGTCGACATGGTGAGTCTAAAATCTACTAGTTACTTCTTTGGAGGGCAGTGAAGTGTCACAGTGTTCTTGAGTGAGAGTGTGTCACTTTTGAGGACACTTGTATTATACTGACTCAACATAGTAATAACAGGGTGCCTTCAAATAAAGGCATTTAGAATTTTTATGATGAAAACAGGCATGCATTTCATTACCTAATTTGAAATCCATATTGGATCAATGCACTATTATAAAAAAATAAAAAAAAACAACAATAGGATGTGTGTGGCATGAAGAGATCTACATCATTGCTGTATCCACGTTGATTGCCTGTTTAAATGACTCAAACCTAAGTTATACTCTGTTGTATAAACCATTTAGAATCTCATAGGTTTCATTTGACAAACAAACTTTATATTACCACAGGAAATCAGTGATGTATAGCTGTAGTGGTATTTCTCTCTTAATATTTAATTAAAGAATATGATATATTTTACAGGTCCAAAGTGTAAAAACCGCCATGTACGTAGAGTATTATGTCAGTGTTACTTACAGGGCTTCTGTTTGGATGGACCAAAGTGTAAATTTATGCAGTAAGTATCTTAACAAATGCAGAAATTGTTTAAATCACAAAAATATTTTCTTTTATTCTTATGTTTTGAGTATTCAATAAAATTTCTGCAATTCATGATTTACTCAAGTAAATAGAAATAATTGTGATATAACATATACAATAGTTTCTGTGTATCTATATTGTAATCCATTACCCCATTGTTTTACCAAGTATTTATAAACTGTAACTTACATCTGATTCTAGTCCTAACTTTGACTTGCCAACATATGATCCGACAACACAAGCCAAGAAAGCCACCATTGTTTGTCATATGTGTGGTGAGACAGGTCACAAAGCTATCAGCTGTCCCAAGGGCAAGAGTGGAGAGGGCAAGGTGAGTAACACTGTAAGGTTTACAAAAAGAAAACAAATTGAAATTGACACCACCATAAATCAGCAACATGTATGAAGTGATGTAAGTTTTGATATTCATGTTAAACTTGAAAGATTTCTGTTAACAAGATCTTCTGTATAGCATTGTTTTACCAGAAATTTTCTGTTGTTATACTTATATCACATACTTAAAAATAACTTAAGCCTGTTCTTAGTAAGTGGAAATAAAGTAATAAAAGAAAGTAGTATCTTATTGTATTATCAAAATTACCGGGTAAGCAAAGTGACTGGTCAGTACATACATTCTGCAGAAATGGACATGTCTAAAGCAAATGAGATTGGATCATCACATATTACAAATAGATTGGTTAAGACATTTAACAGGATAACATCATTAAATATAATTAGATCATAGAGAAACATAGTTGACAGTTGTATGCTTGGAAAACAAGTAAGACCCCGCGTTTGCTTCTATCTATGCCAACAAGAATGATTTACATAAGTAGATGACTTGTTTCGCAATTGTTATAAAATAAATAAGGTTTATTTAACAAGTCTGCTAATTCACGTACCTGTTATATAGGGAGATAACTATGAGATATATAATTATAACTACAAATGTATATGATAATTCCTCATCCACTTGTTTATAACTAGTTTCAGTGGTATCATTATTATTTACTTTAGATATTTCAATCAACAGGTTCTGTAAACCTGTATGTTTCAGATGAGTCCTTTTATTTTATGCTTTTCAGTAAGTTTAAATGAAAATATCTATGTCTGGTCAGCATGCCCTCATTTTGTAATAATATCTCCAAAGTGTATTTCATATATTTTGTGACTGGCATGTTTTGATACTATATAGCTAATTTTTCAGCCAACTGTGTTACACGCCTCACCGGTTGGAAGACCAATCAATGTACAGACACAACACTCAGATCCTCATGTTCACCCGGAACGAGGGGAAGGCAATGATCCTAGGCGACCTCTAGATCAAGTCACATGTTTCAAAGTAGGTTTTCTCCTGTGTACACATGTGTCTGATTTAACAGTAGAGAACGAAAATTACAGTAACGTATCAGTAGTACTTTAAGCAATGGAATTTCTGTAGTGTCATTAAAATAACATTAATGATAAAATCCATAGAATTCCATATTACAATTTCAGTTTGTATTTATTATCATAATTTAGTTTTGATTGATTAAATAGAAGTGTTTAAGCTTTGCCTTTATATTTTTTCTCATTTCAGTGTGGAGAGAAAGGTCATTACGCTAACAAATGTCCAAAAGGTCATCTAGCTTTTCTTAGTATAAATGCACAATGATACAGTATTGAGTGAGATTTGACTTTTGCATTACAAATGGAGGAATAAACCTCATGGATTTAAACTGTTTGTGGCAAGACCAAATGGTCATGAGTTGAACAACTCAGTGGCACAAGACCATGAGGCTTAAGCAGCATGAAGAATAACTGACGGGTATAAGAAACAAGACCTACTACATGGTATACAGTCACCCCAGGACACATTCTATTCTTGAGGATGATCCTGAACTGCTTGTTTCCAGAAACACATAATAATGCATGGTTAGCCTGGTTATACAGCTTCACAGTGTGTCCAAATTACACAACCTGTTGCGACAAACATGGAGGGAGTCATCAAATTTATTCTGTATAATTTTTGGAATTAACTTTACACATAAATTATGATTTAGTAATTTTAAATAGACTTATACATGTATATGCAAAGAAAAAGTTAAGGAAGTACATGAATTAATTTTTTTTTATTTGGAACCTGGAGTGATAATTTAAAATTCTGTCTTTAAAAGACGTGTCTTTGCAAAGAATCACAAGATTTGAATATTGACCCCATTATAAGGAATGGATGGACTTCTGTTTCTTATAACATGTAATAATAGTAGAAAAATAGTAGCATGCTTAATTAATACCTTGTTCAGCATCTGCAGTAAATTAGGTGGAGTGGGAGGTTTTTGTTCACAAGACACTTGTACTTTGGTGATTTCCCGGGAAGAGACATCTTTGAAATAGGAGCAAATTTATTGTAAAGAAGGACAATCTTTGACTTTTCAATGTCTACTTCTTCATTTTATCAATTCTGCATGTTGTGAATGACATACCTGTCGTCTTTCATCACTATGTTCATTTACAATTTTCTGTAAGTACTATATAAGAGATCAATTGTTTATGAAATGATTATAAACTTAATCTGTATTTTGATGGTACAGGACTTCAGGTTATTTAAATACTGCTATTAGATGGCCTTATTAAATTGTCAACATAGTTTGATGGCCTAATTAAATTAATTACCATCAAAATTGATTTAATATTAAATGCATTAGTATGTTTCAAAATATTTTGTCCATGAATAAACTTGAAATTGTATTCGTACCAGAATACCATTTAATGTTATTTTACAGAGAATGTGAGACTTGTTATTTTTGTAACAATAAAAATGAAATATCATGAATTGGGTTGTTATTTTTACAAATTATATGACTTTCTAAGAATTTAATGGGCTGTATGATATGGACTGTATAATGTCTGTTCTTCTGCCATTACATTTTGCTGGTCTGAAGGTCTCCTCCTACAGTTTTAAATTGATGGTTTTCAGACTCTGAGCATTAATCACTATGACATGAAGTTGTGTTTTCCTGAATGGCCATTTGATTTGACTGCATTTAGAAGAGTTACTGACCCACAATTTTAAACCATAACAGTATTTCTATTTAACAGTTTTTAGGTCACACGAGCATAGGTCAAGGTAACCTATAGTGACTGTTGTTTGTCTGTCTTTGTGCTTCTTGTGAACACAGTTCATGTAACTTCCGAAAATATTTACAGATTTTGATGAAACTTTGTTTACAGCCATACATTAATAAGATCTTGGAAGTGTTTGATAATGGGATAAATTTGATTGTAATTTATAGTTATGACTCTTTGCAGTTTTATCACCATGGACCTTGTGAACACAATGATTTGAGAAAATAAAGAACAATTTTGATGAAACTTGGTATGCAGCCATACATCAATAAGATCTTGAAGGAGTATGACTAGATTGATTTGATTGTACTTTACAGAGTTATGGTCCTTAGTAGTTTCATAACCATGAACCTTGTGAACATGTTGACATGGTAAATATGATGTAACTTAGCGAGTTAAAGCTCTTTGCTGTTTAAGTTTGATTGAGGTTAGTCAGATGACTGTTTAGGCCCACTTTGGGCCATTGGTCAGAGGAAGAAGTAAAGCCTTTCACTATTTAACTGACCTTTTAAAAACTTGGCAAGATTTATCATCTATAAATATATCACTACCCCTTGCTGAAGTTTTCAGAACATTTCCTATAGGAAAGTATGACAATATTAAAAGAAAATGTTCGTTATGAATTTATGAAGGCAATAATGCTTTCCTGATGAAACATTTATGAAACTAAGGCCAGATAGATGTGTGATAGTAACGGTTCCTGTGAACAGCTTGACTGCAGTGTTTATTCATCGGTTAGCATTGTGTTGAATTCTGGTTTTTCAATAGAATACAGATATTTCATTTTTAACTCAGTTGTTGAACTATAATTTTAAATGTTACAACTGTTGTGTTATTACATTCAATGTTGAATCGTAGTTATGCTGAAGTGTAGGTTTCAATGTAAGGACTGTAGTGTTATGTTTGCTGTGATGTTACACTGTAGTTTTGATGTAAGGACTGTAGTGTTATGTTTGCTGTGATGTTATACTGTAGTTTTGATGTAAGGACTGTAGTGTTATGTTTGCTGTGAGGTGACACTGTAGTTTTCAGTGTGAGGACTGTAGTGTTATGTTTGCTGTGATGTTACACTGTAGTTTTGATGTAAGGACTGTAGTGTTATGTTTGCTGTGATGTTACACTGTAGTTTTGATGTAAGGACTGCAGTGTTATGTTTGCTGTGATGTTACACTGTAGTATTGATGTAAGGACTGTAGTGTTATGCTTGCTGTGATGTTATACTGTAGTATTGATGTAAGGACTGTAGTGTCATGTTTGCTGTGATGTTACACTGTAGTATTGATGTAAGGACTGTAGTGTTATGCTTGCTGTGAGGTGACACTGTAGTTTTCAGTGTGAGGACTGTAGTGTTATGTTTGCTGTGATGTTACACTGTAGTATTGATGTAAGGACTGTAGTGTTATGCTTGCTGTGATGTTATACTGTAGTATTGATGTAAGGACTGTAGTGTTATGTTTGCTGTGAGGTGACACTGTAGTTTTGATGTAAGGACTGTAGTGTTATGTTTGCTGTGAGGTGACACTGTAGTTTTCAGTGTAAGGACTGTAGTGTTATGTTTGCTGTGATGTTACACTGTAGTATTGATGTAAGGACTGTAGTGTTATGTTTGCTGTGAGGTGACACTGTAGTTTTCAGTGTAAGGACTGTAGTGTTATGTTTGCTGTGATGTGACACTGTAGTTTTCAGTGTAAGGACTGTAGTGTTATGTTTGCTGTGAGGTGACACTGTAGTTTTCAGTGTAAGGACTGTAGTGTTATGTTTGCTGTGATGTGACACTGTAGTTTTCAGTGTAAGGACTGTAGTGTTATGTTTGCTGTGAGGTGACACTGTAGTTTTCAGTGTAAGGACTGTAGTGTTATGTTTGCTGTGAGGTGACACTGTAGTTTTCAGTGTAAGGACTGTAGTGTTATGTTTGCTGTGATGTTACACTGTAGTATTGATGTAAGGACTGTAGTGTTATGTTTGCTGTGAGGTGACACTGTAGTTTTCAATGTAAGGACTGTAGTGTTATGTTTGCTGTGATGTTACACTGTAGTTTTCAATGTCAGGACTGTAGTGTCATGTTTGCTGTGATGTTACACTGTAGTATTGATGTAAGGACTGTAGTGTTATGCTTGCTGTGATGTTATACTGTAGTATTGATGTAAGGACTGTAGTGTTATGCTTGCTGTGAGGTGACACTGTAGTTTTGATGTAAGGACTGTAGTGTTATGTTTGCTGTGAGGTGACACTGTAGTTTTCAGTGTAAGGACTGTAGTGTTATGTTTGCTGTGATGTTACACTGTAGTATTGATGTAAGGACTGTAGTGTTATGTTTGCTGTGAGGTGACACTGTAGTTTTCAGTGTAAGGACTGTAGTGTTATGTTTGCTGTGATGTGACACTGTAGTTTTCAGTGTAAGGACTGTAGTGTTATGTTTGCTGTGAGGTGACATTGTAGTTTTCAGTGTAAGGACTGTAGTGTTATGTTTGCTGTGATGTGACACTGTAGTTTTCAGTGTAAGGACTGTAGTGTTATGTTTGCTGTGAGGTGACACTGTAGTTTTCAGTGTAAGGACTGTAGTGTTATGTTTGCTGTGAGGTGACACTGTAGTTTTCAGTGTAAGGACTGTAGTGTTATGTTTGCTGTGATGTTACACTGTAGTATTGATGTAAGGACTGTAGTGTTATGTTTGCTGTGAGGTGACACTGTAGTTTTGATGTAAGGACTGTAGTGTTATGTTTGCTGTGATGTGACACTGTAGTTTTCAGTGTAAGGACTGTAGTGTTATGTTTGCTGTGATGTTACACTGTAGTTTTCAATGTAAGGACTGTAGTGTTATGTTTGCTGTGATGTTACACTGTAGTTTTCAGTGTAAGGACTGTAGTGTTATGTTTGCTGTGAGGTGACACTGTAGTTTTGATGTAAGGACTGTAGTGTTATGCTTGCTGTGATGTGACACTGTAGTTTTCAGTGTAAGGACTGTAGTGTTATGTTTGCTGTGATGTTACAATGTAGTTTCAATGTAAGGACTGTAGTGTTATGTTTGCTGTGATGTTACACTGTAGTTTTCAGTGTAAGGACTGTAGTGTTATGTTTGCTGTGATGTTACACTGTAGTTTTCAGTGTAAGGACTGTAGTGTTATGTTTGCTGTGATGTTACACTGTAGTTTTCAGTGTAAGGACTGTAGTGTTATGTTTGCTGTGATGTTACAATGTAGTTTCAATGTAAGGACTGTAGTGTTATGTTTGCTGTGAGGTGACACTGTAGTTTTCAGTGTAAGGACTGTAGTGTTATGTTTGCTGTGATGTTACACTGTAGTTTTCAGTATGAGGACTGTAGTGTTATGTTTGCTGTGATGTTACACTGTAGTTTTCAATGTAAGGACTGTAGTGTTATGTTTGCTGTGAGGTGACACTGTAGTTTTGATGTAAGGACTGTAGTGTTATGTTTGCTGTGAGGTGACACTGTAGTTTTGATGTAAGGACTGTAGTGTTATGTTTGCTGTGATGTTACACTGTAGTTTTGATGTAAGGACTGTAGTGTTATGCTTGCTGTGATGTTACACTATAGTTTTCAGTATGAGGACTGTAGTGTTATGTTTGCTGTGATGTTACACTGTATTTTTCAGTGTAAGGACTGTAGTGTTATGTTTGCTGTGATGTTACACTGTAGTTTTCAGTGTAAGGACTGTAGTGTTATGTTTGCTTTAATGTTACACTATAGTTTCAATGTAAGGACTGTAGTGTTATGTTATAACAGAAGATATTGGAGGGATATTTTTTTCTAATTCTTTATGTTGGCATATCTTTCTGTTTAATCATTTGCCCAAATCGTTTTTGAGACTGGTCAGAATAGGCCTAGTAAAATTATCTTAAACAATATTTTCATTCAATTTTCATCATTCTTTTAATAAAAGTTTTATGGTAGTCATAGTGATCTCATTGAGAAATGTTGGATTTCTTTGTGTGATATGAAGCTGGACATGGTAGATGCTTCTTACTTTGCCTGTTTGGTTCTGTTGTTGTATACATAATTATCATTTGAGAATGTAACATTACTTAACTGGATGAACCAAGGTTTACATTGTGGGTGTCGTCGATGAAGCAGAAGATCCTTACTCTTTCAGAACACCTGGTCTTATTATTCTTGTACCTTTTCAGGAATCTCATCAATCTTTCTTTTGTTCATATTTTGCCCTAATTTTACTGAATTTCAGTTTGAATTAAGAAAAGGAAAAAACACTATGCTTTCGAAATTGCTTTACGATTGAGGTTTTACTATAAATACAGTGAAACTGAAATAAATAAAATAAAACGCCTGTGTCTGCTTAGCGTCGAATCACTTTGTTTCAGATTGCGACTAACATTTCAGGCTATCGGGAACAAATCAAACCACGTGTATTCATCACGTAGAGAAAGCAAATCATTAAAGATGGCGTCCGAAGATGAGGTAAATCTACTTTAGATACCAAGTGAAATGTTTAAGCTATGCATTCAAAAAAAGCTTGCATATTTGTCTCAGTGTAGCAACAATTAGTTGTGTATGCAAATGGATGTGTTGTGTATAATTCAAAACAATGGCACTGCACATTTCAATGTGCAAACATCTGTTTATATATTTTTAAAACACGTTTGTTTGTGAGTTGTCGCTGACTTTCTTTACACTCTGTGTGTCCAAAAGTCAACGTAGTGTAGTTCGTCACCTCAAAACTTCTTTTAGAAAACATAAAACTAAGTTTTCTTACCAATATGACAGCACATATGCATATTCAGATGCTATGATTACTTGCTAAGTATGTATGATAAATGATGATGTGCAGGCGTGGACAGCTGTGATGAAAAGACAACAATAGCGAGTATCTGTTTGTAACATATGGGCTTGCATAAGAAGTAACAGTTGTTGACACCAATATCTCACCCTATAATTCTACGGAAGTAATAGAAAAATTGATATGTACACTGATCTGGTCATGTGTGCTGTATATGAAGAGCAGTCCGGATTATTGTGACGTTCTTTGGACTTTTTACATATCAGTCCGAAGTCAATGAAACACTGAACTTCATCTCTTTGAAAAGTGAGGGAATTAATTAAGCGGCCTAAAGAAATCCTCATTTTTACATGCATGCCACACTGATCAAAACGCCTGTTCATAAAATTTTGAATGAAATGAAAACAAATTTAAGTAATTTTTCATAGCGTAACTCAGAAAAGTTGCATTTAGACAGGTTTGGAAGTCAAAGTGTGAAGAACGATATGAAACAAGTGGCCATTTTGTTTTGACCATTTTCAATTCATGACGTAAAGTCATAATCTATATGATATTGAATCAGTCTCTGACTGGGGCTACAAAATAAAATGTTCCAGGGAATATCACACAAATGACATTTATGTAGAAATATAACACTGACAGGTTCACTGAATAGCATACAGATTATGTTACATAATTATCTAGCAAACTCTGTGTGAAATTTGATATACATATAAGACTTGTAGTGGCCTGGACACAATACAAAAAATATGTGATGTTGTCAGAACTGGAATGTCAGGCTAGCTCTTGTTGTTCCTTTTGATATTGGCAAGATTTCATTTTTGATATATATTTTCTCCATTACAGTGGATCAGTGATGTAAATAAATCTTCTTTTTAAGTCCTTTATTGGACTACAACTTGAAAATTGTTCAGCTGATCTCCATATATATAAACATCAACAATGAAAGATGCAGAAATACAACATCAAAATATCAACTTACTGTCTGATTGAATGTTCATATCAACAGCTTGGTGGAGGGGATAATGCCATGTATTACAGTTTCTTATTATTTTTAGCTTTTATCTTTTGCCATATTATTCAGTGTGTATACTTGTGTAATATTTTGTGTATAAAATGATTCAGGATACATGTAGACTAAAGGAGAAAACAATGATATGATGTCACTAACTTGCTGAATGCATCATTGATGATGTCTTCATGAAGATCAAATGATGTGGAAACTCTTATGAAAATGAAAAATTCTTTGATTCATTTAATAGATATGGAATAGAAATTGAATGCAGGATCTTTTAAATAATCTCAGTATATCATGTAAAGGTTTGACAATACTATCTGGTATTTTACAGTTTCTTCAATATCCGTACTGTAAGTTTACCCCAAGTGACAAACCATGTTTTGATTGTTCATAATTAATCATATATAGAGAACCTGGTGTGATTCATATGTATAATTGAAGAAACCAGTCTTAAAAGGATTTATTTAGCAAGCCTAGCTTTATTGGAAGATGAAATGAAAAATTTCATAAATTTCAGTTTCTTTATTAAATGGAAACATATGTAATATTCTGTTTATCACATAACTTCAATGTTTTAGTAAGGAATTGTAAAAATACTGTTTTCTTAAACTTGATATGCAATTTCAAAATGACAGTTTTCTCACTTGAGCTACATATCTCTTACCTTGGTGACTTAACAGTTAAGAGAACCTTCAGCCAATCAAAGCTCCTCTAAGTATTATTATATGTGTGGACATTACAAAATTAATGTAATGGGTAATATTTATATTTCCACTAAACTCGGACTCAATGAACCTACGAAAGTTTACTCAAGTCATTTTTCAATGTACTCCTAAGTTGGTGTATGAATTTTTCATTCTAAAGTTGGGGTTGTCTCCCTTGCATTTCTTCACTTCTACAGATGTGATTTTGTTAAAAAAATATATCACATTAAAATAATCTTTAATTATTGAAAAAAATGTATTTAATGATTCATAATAAACTGTCATAATACTAATGGCTGGATTCCTGTTGAACTCGGCCTTTAATCACTGCTCCTTCCATTTCGAGAGTGCAAAAGACTGCCATGTTGTTTTTCAATACAACCTTTTTACTGTCGCTAACCTGAAATTGCTCCGTGGAGTATCAGACTATATAATTTATTCGTTTACAAAGTCGATACTTTTTCATGAAATAAAATTCATTTAAAATTATTTTTGCTTAAAACGATTCAATTTTGTTTTTGTGTTATTATTCTGAATATAACAACTATATTTAGACGAAGAGTGATGACGTACACTTCGGTAAGTTCCATGGTAGTCCCTATTCATCCAAATCTTGCAGGAATGGTTAAACTATACAAAATATGTAGATATAAATATAAGGATTGAATCATGCTATGTTGAGGTTTATGGGGGATGAACCCCAATAGGTCTTGGGACAAGCAGTTCATAAAATTTGTCCCAAGACCTACTGAGGTTCATCCCCCCATAAACCTCAATATAACATGATTCAATCCTTAATTATAACATCGATAAAACTAGTTATGTGTTAAATGATAACAAGTTAAAGTTGTTGTGATGAACTTCGATGTAATAAAAATATAGAATAAAAATGTCATACCCCTACTTTGGTTCAGTCTAAGAATTGAACACTCAGGGCAGATAGCCTTCTTCTAGGTTAAAGAGAAATTCTCATTAGCTGCCAGTGGGCAGCTTTTACATAAAAGTAACTCTTGATAGGAATAAGAAATAAAAAAAGCCTTGCCCCAACTGGAGCTTGAACCATCAGCCTCTCATGCTAAAGGCTGATACAAATGTCTACCATAAAGCTAAAGAGAAATCCTTGCTAGTCGAAGCTTGTGGGGTTACTTACAGCGTACTCTCAACTTGTATGATCTGTAATAATTGAACATGTATGAAATACATAGCATGAAAGTGATGTACAGAGTAATTTCTGTTCTCAGGAGGACTTGGTAGCACTGAGGAATGCTGTTTTGGCATCCATGAAGACGGTAAGCTAGCAATTATAATCTTTGGCAAGTATGGGTGTATTGTATGGATCTTCCCAGTAAATATTCAACTCTTTATTGAATTAGTGTTTTATGATTGATTAAGAAGGCAACAAATAATTAATTGTTTAAAAATTGGTTTAGTTGGAACACTACTGGTTAATAGAATACTGTTATGATTTTGTTTGGTGATACAGTTTTGTATAGGATAATAAAATACTCACTCCATTGTTATAACAGCAAATCTATTACAGAGTATTGTTTGTTTTAAAATTGTTCCGTGTATTGTTTGAATGGTATGGAGCATTCAGTGCAAGACCTGTATTATCAATATAGCTTACGTTTGTAATTACAGAACAGGACACGGTCTTCACAAGATGAAGGTGAACCATCAGATGAGGATGATGAATTAACAGCTCTCAGAAAGGCAGCATTACTTTCCAAGAAATCTAGAAGTGACAATACATTATCTGTGAGTGTAAAGATGGTTTGGTACTTAATAATATATTAATGTATGTTTGTTGACACAGAAGATTGACTAGTGATGTAATTTGTAAATAAGTCCTTCTTTCTTTGTTTTAGTCTCTTTCTTTCTTTCTGACTTGTGATGTAATATATTTCTTCTTTCTTTCTTTCTGACTGGTGATGTAATTAATTTCTTCTTCCTTTCTGCTGACTGGTGATGTAATTAATTTCTTCTTCCTGTCTGCTGACTAGGGATGTAATTAATTTCTTCTTCCTTTCTACTGACTAGGGATGTAATTAATTTCTTCTTCCTTTCTACTGACTAGGGATGTAATTAATTTCTTCTTCCTTTCTACTGACTAGGGATGTAATTAATTTCTTCTTCCTGTCTGCTGACTAGAGATGTAATTAATTTCTTCTTCCTTTCTACTGGCTAGGGATGTAATTAATTTCTTCTTCCTGTCTGCTGACTAGGGATGTAATTAATTTCTTCTTCCTTTCTACTGACTAGGGATGTAATTAATTTCTTCCTTTCTACTGGCTAGGGATGTAATTAATTTCTTCTTCCTTTCTACTGACTAGGGATGTAGTTAATTTCTTCTTCCTGTCTGCTGACTGGTGATGTAATTAATTTCTTCTTCCTTTCTACTGGCTAGGGATTAATTAATTTCTTCTTCCTTTCTACTGACTAGGGATGTAATTAATTTCTTCTTCCTTTCTGCTGACTGGTGATGTAATTAATTTCTTCTTCCTGTCTGCTGACTAGGGATGTAATTAATTTCTTCTTCCTTTCTACTGACTAGGGATGTAGTTAATTTCTTCTTCCTGTCTGCTGACTGGTGATGTAATTAATTTCTTCTTCCTTTCTACTGACTAGGGATGTAATTAATTTCTTCTTCCTTTCTACTGACTAGGGATGTAATTAATTTCTTCTTCCTTTCTACTGACTAGGGATGTAATTAATTTCTTCTTCCTTTCTACTGACTAGGGATGTAATTAATTTCTTCTTCCTTTCTACTGACTAGGGATGTAATTAATTTCTTCCTTTCTGCTGACTGGTGATGTAATTAATTTCTTCTTCCTTTCTGCTGACTGGTGATGTAATTAATTTCTTCTTCCTTTCTACTGACTGGTGATGTAATTAATTTCTTCTTCCATTCTGCTGACTAGGGATGTAATTATGTAAATTAATTCTTCTTCCTTTTGTTTTTACTTTTGCTTGGTACAGACAACAGATAGAAAGCACACTTCCTACCAGCACAGAGATGATGGTCATTACTATGAGGATCACAACCATCACTCCAGCGACAGTAGACAAAATTACTCTAACAATTCATACTCCTCTCGACATCGGGATGACAGAGGTCAAGCTTCAGTCAACAACAGGAGCAGTAATCTGGTTCATATTCACACTGTACCAATGGAAAGGGAGCAGCCAAGCAAGTTGGATACACAAATCATCCGTCCCCAGGACAAGTGGCTCGGGTCTGATGACAGGAGTGGAACTTCTACTCCAACCTCTAGCAAAACAAAAGGTACATTCTACTCACATATCTTTTTTTCTTTGTCATGTTTGGAAGTGATGAGGTACAACAACAAATCAATTGCAATAATTAGTCTGATTGATTTTACAAGATTAATTTGCTTAATTAGTGATCTGATTATCAAAATGATGTACTACTTTCAAAACTTTATTCACTTTTTTAGAATTTTGTATTTCATTGAAATTTGATCATTGCTTTAATTAAACCAAATAGCATGTATATATATATATATATATATATATGCATATATAAAAGAAATTGAAGTCAGGCTGGAATGCCCTGTTACTGTGAAGTTTTTGCTTCAAAAGCTTATTAGCTGTTTTGAAACACTGAAAGATGTACAAACTCTTCAACAAGTTATGGTATTTTCTCAATTTTCCCCTTTTTTTGTCCTAAAACTATAATAATCACTTCCCTGAAAATGAAACAATTCCTCATAAATTTTTCATACATATTTTTTTTTCTAGTTGTAGACAAATTTTCAAGATATGAATCCAACTCTGAAGATGATGAGGATAATCAAAGTAGTGATGAAGAGGAGCAGACAAAAGATGATAAACAGTGTGTATCAGATGAATCTTCAGATAGTTCCACTTCTTCTGATGACGAGGATAGTAAAAATGTGTCATCTAGTGACAGCAGCAGTAGCTTAGAATCCGGCAGCAATGAGAAGGATACCCCAAACAAACTTCCAGAAGAAAACAGCAAAAGTGCTGATGTGGTATGTAATGTGAAAAAAGACATAAAACCAGTTCATGACACCGTCCAGACCAAAACAGAAAGCAGTGAAATAAAAAACACAAACCCAAGTGTTCATTCCACAGAAGATACCAAACCTGTGTCTAATGAAAAATATGTTAAAACAATTAGCAGAGAGAAGGAACATTGTAAAGTGGAGAAAGAGGTAAAAGGTGTACAGTCAAAAATCAGCGATCAATCAAGTGAGAATGTCTCCCAAAGCAGAACAGTGAAATATTCCTCTAAATCATCATCTTCCAGTGGTAGACTTATAATTGAGACAAAGTCAATATCAAGGACCATGTCTCGATCAAAGTCACCACAGTCCAAATCTCCACGATCCAAGTCACACCGGTCTAAATCTCCTCAGTCTAAATCCCCAAGGAGATCAAGGAGAAGTCCGTCTCCAGAAAGATATTCTTCATCTAGAAATTCTAAAACTTCAGAGCCTGCTGCTAGGCCCCCAGGGAAAATTTCAATGTTAAGACCAGAGTACATATTTGGTCCAAATGCTGTACAGCCAGAGAAACCAGCAGAAAATAAAACTGATTTTAAAGTGAGCACACTAAGAGACGAAGCAGGTTCAAAGAGACAAAAATCACCACATTTAGCATCTGGTCAGCCTCACCCACCAGAGACATCTCGTCATCAGGATAAATCACCCATTCATTCCCATAAGTCAAAGACAGCTACAGCAAAGACTCGCTCACCTGATTACTCCAAGGGAACTATGTCCAGATCAAGATCATCTCTTGAGAGATCCAAGTCAAATAACAGGAGGTCAAGATCAGCTTCATTTGAGAAAAGTCGAAATTCTGCAAGATCACGGTCACCACATAAAAAACGTGCATCTTCTCCACACGATTTAGCTGCATTGAGAAAGAAAGTTTCTACCAAGGACTGGATGGATCATAAAACAGAAAATAGAAAGGATGGTAGAAAAGTTGATAGGAAAGATAAAAGTTCTGATGACAAATCATTGCAATCTAAAAAGTCAGCCAAGAGCAGAGAAATGTTTGAGAAAGAACGCGAGAGGTTAGAGGCCAGACAGAAAAAAATTGAGAAAGTCAGTAAAAATTCAGATGAACATAAAAAAGAAACATCACAGCAAAAGAAAAGTAGATTGCTTGATGAAAACTCAAGCAGGAAAGATATTGAATCAAAACAGAGGAAGAACAGTGAAAAAATTCAGGAACACAAGAGATCTTCTAGAAGTAAAAAACCTGCTGATTCCTCATCAGAAAGTGAATCGAGTAGTTCAAGTAGTAGTGACAGCAGTACATCGTCTTCTGACTCCAGTGACAGTGATTCTAGCGAAGAGGGATGGAGGAATAAAAATTCACGGAAGACAGAGCGAGAAACTGCAGATATTGAACGTGAAAGGAGACAAAGAGAGAAGGTAAAACGACAAAAGGAAGCAGAGGAAAGGATAAGAAAACGAGAGGAAGATTATAATAGGGACAGAATGTCAGGCAGAAGGGAAGATACTGACTCCTTTCGGAGTAAGAATAGTTTCTCCAGTAAAGAAGATCGTTACAAAAGAGGTCGATATGACCATGAAGACAAGTATGGTAGAGGCAGGGACAGAGGTGATGACAGATATGATAGAGGAGAGAGGGACAGGAGAGATAGATTTAGATATAAAGATTCTTTTGTGAAAAAAGATAGAAAGGAAGAAAGGAATGTGGACAAAAAAACCAAGGATTCCAAGGAAGGACATTATACTTATCAGAACTGGAGCAAAGTGAGTAGCTCTGACTCTACATCAAAAAATTCTAGCACAGAATATAAATCACTGAAAGATGTCAATGGGGAAAAACCTGGCAGTGGTGATAAAGTGTCAAGCTTGGTTGAGGTAGCTGTCAACGAAAACAAAAATAATTCAAATAAGTATGAGATGGACAAAAATAGTCGAACTTTTCAGAAAGACAATGACAAAGGAAGTCGTTCTCTTCAGAAAGATTATGATAAACGAAGTCATGATGTGCAAAAAGACAATGACAAAAGAACTAGTAGTGGCAATGTCCAGAAAGATAATTATAAAAGAAATCAATATGGTCAGAAAGAGAGTGACAAAGGTTCTAGCAGTCGATCTTCACACAAAGATAATGACAAAGGTAGTAATCAATCTATTAAGAAAGACATTGACAGAGATATAAGACCTGTTCAAAAAGATGAGGTCAAGGATGACAGTGATAGACTTGTTCAGAAAAATAATGATAAAGCTAATCATCCTGTTCAAAAAGACAAGATAGATCAGGATAGTGCAGTTTTAAGTGGGCAAACCATGGGCAAAGAGCAGAGAAGGAAAAGATTCATGGATTTTGAAGAGGAAAAGGCAGAAACTGAAAAGGAAATACCTCCTAAAAAATTATTGACAAGTATTGTCTCTGTGACTTCAAAAACATGTGATAGTCAAGGAAATTCCTCCAACAGTAAGGATCCTCTGTCACATGAACAACTTGTGAAAGAAGGAAAGAGCAAATCAAAGAAGAGGCACGAGGAAGAGAAGTCAAAAGAGGAGAATGCCAAAACTAAGAACTTTACTGTAACCATTGACAATAAAGGTTTTAAGGAAAGATCAGTGGTGACGGAGAGGTCTAGGTCACCAGCCCTGGATGGCCACCATCATACTAAAGTGGTGTGGAGGGATGAGGCATCAAAAGGTAAAAAGGCTTCTCAACTATAGTTGGTACCTTTTTCTGTTGTTTGGGATATTTTTTTTAACATAATACTATATCACCATATTCTCTAGCCCAGCATGAATCAAGGAAGATAACTCTGTCATTCTTGCTTGGTTTCTCTCCTAGTTCACATAAAGAAATGGAATACCTCCATTCATTCTCTTGTCAAACTTAACTTGTTATGCAATTAAACTATTTAATAAGTAAATAGACAACATTCATGTAAAATAACATGATTATGAAAACGTATATTGTAGGGCTTTAAATTTGTTATTAATTTCTTAGTTTGTAAATTGAACAGATAAGAGGCATGATTAGCTTTAAGATTATCAATATCTTTTATCATTTCTGTATCTTAGCTTGTCCAGAGACCTCACCACCTAAAAGGTTGTCCATTCATGACCGCCTAGGGCAACCTGTTCATCACAAGAGGGCCAAAATGCAACGACACAATGATGACCGACGACATGAATTGACTGTTACCAGGAGGGTGGAAACAACTGATTCAGAGTTACCTAAAAAGACCATTATCGCTAAGGAGACACCGAAGACAGCCCAGACTGTTACAGGTATTTTTGGTTCACACTGATGCACATTTTCTAAACATGTCAAAGCTGACATTTCATGGTTAGGAAATATTCTTTTAGCCATTCCACACTTCTCAAAGGGAAAAACTCAACTCTTGTTATAAATAAATTTACATGTATTTATTGACAACAAATGATAGGTACACGATGAATCCTTATTCTCACAAGCAACCGTTCCCTGAGTGACAACATCATTAAATCATATACAATAAACCTACATTCCCTCACTGTGAAATTACTAAAACTATGAAATATGTGTAAATATCTGATGTAAATGTTTCCATGTATACATGTATACTATCTTTGCTCACTATGCTCAAGTAACAGATATTTTGTTAATTTGCGTTAAAATCAGATCTTAAAAATGTTTCTTTAATATCTTCAACCATACCTGCACCTCTCCCAGAATGATATATTCACCTCCAAGTCAGATGAGAGAAAAGTTTTCAGTGAGCTCTTCTCACGTTTTTGAGTTGGTGAATTGTTGAAGGCACCATGATTAAATACTGCATCATCAACCAAAAGCAATCTTGGTCAGTGCACTATATTTATGTCATACATGTGTCCAAGACCAAAGTAACTTGGCCCAATATGGAGAAACACAGTATTGTGCATATTAACAAGCCTTTTGAAATACAGAACAATTTACAGCACGTACATTTTCATGTCATATACCTAACTTTCATTTGGGAAGAAAACAAATATAATTTGGTATTGAAAACATTATTTTTCTGTTACTAGAACCCCCTGGCCACCTCAGTGATCTAGATGCAAGAATACTGCTGATAAAAAAGAAGAATGCTGAAATTCTGAAGAGACAGGCAGAAATTGACCAGGACAAGGAAAGATATGGATGAGATCAATAGAGCAGTATTGACTATAATACTGTCAAATTATATAACTTCACTAGCTGTCTACTGGATGCCTTCAACTCCAAACACTGCTACAGAACACGATGACAGGTATAGGCAATTGGAGACAGTCCCAGGAGGACCTTGACCACTAGTCGCCTACAGGACGATCTCGACAGCTACTTCGTCCTCAGGTACTGAAGTACAACTGTGGTAGCTAAAGGATGCCTTCGATCACTGAGGGAGCAGTAATCCATCTCTGTGGTGCTGATGAACTGTGATTGTGATAACCAAAATAGACTTAATAATATTGAAATAATGATTCTGTTAATGTTTCATCAGAGTCAGGTAATGAGATATCATTGTACATGTTAATCATGGTTAATGTTAAGCTTGAAGTGATATGACAATAAACGGTCAGGATGTGTGCTAGATTGCAACATTACACATTTAGGTGAAATTTTGTTGAAGTGACTGTCAATGTTTTTAACGGAAGAGAAGTTCATGTTTTCAAACTGAAAAATTCAATGAACCTGTGGCTGAAATTAAAAAGCAATAATTCAGGCAATCTCAACGCATTTATTCATGTGATAATTGCACTGAAAGTATTTTTTTAAATAAGTATATATATGGACTTGAACCAGTAAAACACCTGTAAATGTGGCAAGCAGCAGCACTGGTTGGTAAGACAAATTCATATTTTTACATATGCAGCCTATTATAAATTTGATTTAGACTTTCCATGCTTTACCAGTGATTTATGTTTGCATGAGGACAAGAAAAAATCTATCGAAATAAAAGTTAATGTATGTTGATTTTTAATATGATTTATAGTTTTTTGTTTGACAACCTGATTTAAGGATTACTGCACTATCTTTTAGACAAATCTTTATTTTACATTCTCAATAAAAATCCATCCTACACAGGTCTACCCTGTGCCACCTTTTTCAATGATATGTCCCTAATGTGGTAATCATTTAAGTCATTTTTAGTCCGTATAGAACGGTCAAATGTAACAAATCAACTTCTCATAAACAAAATCCTAGTGTCAGTGTAAAGTGCTGTGCTGGAACGTCTAGTGAAATTCCCCTTGTATTTTATCATGGACCTCAATGTTTATCTTCCTTTCACTCATATCATATCCTCACTTCATCAATTCTGAGATGGAATCTTATGTCCATGTTCTCTGTGTTATTCCCCACTTACAATCCAGATCAGCAACATTTAATAGCATACATTGAACTTGACCAGTGATGTACAGATTTGCAACTTTCTTGTCAAGGATCATACTCATTTGTCAAATTGCCACAATATAAAGTATAAATGTATTTAATTTCATGGTCTAAAAATCTGTCAATAATGTGCAAGTGGAATGATTTGCTTTGTGGGCATTTACCTTTACCAGGAAAGTATTATTCTGTGAAATTTATTGCCAGATTGAACTGTTGTGCATAGGTAGTCTGTGTTAATTTTCAACTTTTCATTTTTTTTTCTACATCTGACTATACAACTGAAACCCTATGCATGATATATACAGGTCACTGTACATTTTCAGCTCACGTGCTACAAGCAACCAAAGTTTTTGTTCCTTTCAATCACAGTATGCATGTATGGTATCGCAATGTACTCCCAAGAGAGATTCAGAGTTTTATGCATTCTTGCTACCTCCTATTTGGCATGTACATTCAAAATAGATCATAGATCCGAGTCTATTTGCAGCATTGTTACTGAAATTGTTTACAATATTTTTCACCTTGTTTTGGAGACTTAGCCACAAAGCTGTTAAGTGAAAACTGTTGAAAGATATCTTAATTCAAGATGTACGTATCTGACACTCCTACAGACTTTTTTTTTTATCTTTTTCTTGTGACACTTTCATGAAACTGAAATCAGAAATAGCAACTTGTTTTTCTGAATAGAAACACCATATTAACCAAGATCATATATAATTGTTAGTTTCTCCTATTAACAATTTATGTATCAGTAGAGATAAGCAAAGTTGGTATTTTACCAATAATTTTTACCTCTGGTCATTTGACCCATTAAACTTGTATTGTCTCTGGTTACCCAGTCACTTTAAGAAATTGAAAACTTGACTTTTACATTTTTGACTTGATCCAATGAAATTTTGCATAAACTTTCTATCACCAAACAAGATCATCTTTTTTTTTGTTCGAAAAAAATTACTGTCCTACACAGACCTACTTATGTGGTGAAATTCAAATATTGTTTGATTTTTCTCATAATTAATACCAATTTTTATTTAACAATGTGTTCATCAATTACCATGTTACAATTAATAATTGGTTCTACTTTTAGTATTTCAGAAATCTTTTCAATACCTGTTGATTATGAAATTCACAATTTTTCTAAAACTTCCACCCATAGAAAGGTGTCTGTGAAATTGATTAAGGTGTTTTAGTTGAAAATGTTCGAAAGTTTAAGGATGCAAGATGCTGGACAAAAGGCGGTCGTAATAGGTCACCATGAACTAAATACATGTACTTGGTAACATGACCTAGAAATAAGGTCACAGCAACTTAATTGCACTGCACTGCAGACTGCCTTTGGGTGGTGCATTTATTTTAGATTGATCAAATATATCTAAAAGTCCAAATATTCTGGATTGAACAAGATTGTGTTACTATCGAAGATTGTATTAGAAGATGACTCCATCAACAACCACATTTGACAGGGGGCATAATTGAGCACAAAGACAAAGGACTGTTTTAAAATAAGTTTATTCATATTTAGACCAGAGATGAAATTGCAATGAAAACACTACATAATATATATATGTTAATTCTACAAAAGAATTTTGGCAGCGAAAAATAGCAAGCAGAATTGATCCACTGAAGATTTTAATGAAACTTTAAAAAGCACCATTTATTTGTACATTCATATAAAACAAATTTTCAACACATTCTTTAACTTCAGGGGAAAAAACCCCCAAAAAACTTGACCCAGGTATAAGTTTTTTCCCTTGGTTTTGTTAAATATACTTTAGATAAGGAGAATGAAGAAAGGGGGATAATTTTAATTTGGCAATTGCTGCGAAATGAAAGGAAGATTGACAAATAGGAATATGTAATCTCAGCACCAGGTTATTTTTGTCACTCTTGACTAGACACTGGACCAGTAAACAAAGTTTCAGGTTGGAATCTTAGGCAACTTCAGCATTAACTAGCGCTGGAGGCTTACACACTGGAGTAGGCCTAAGGACCTAAGAAATGATGTAGGTAACGAATAATTTTAAGAGGTGCCTTTAAAAAAAAAAACAAAACAAAAGACACTTCCCCTAAGTATTGGATCAGAAATGTAGTAAGTAAAATTTGCATTAATTTAATACAGCTGATTATTTTCTGTTGATTGTATTGTACTGTTCAAATTCCCATATACAAAGTCAATCTTCCTTTCCCGAAAACAACTGAAAGACCCACCAACACATTATCATCTATGAAGAGTTGCCTGAAAAAGATAATAAAGTTTTCTTCTCCAAGAAGATCAATTAATACACTTTGAACAATAAATGTGCAATTTACAAAGTGACTGATGTACACTAAACCCTTTCTGATCTCTTCCTACCTGACATAACTCAATCTCTTTTGACTTTATCAATGAATTACCAGCTTAAAATAACCCCATTTAGACTTTCTAAACTAAAAAAAAAGGTGTACAGCAATGTATTTTGTTTCGTGATGTAGGAATATTTTGTGGTGCCAGATTCTTTTTCTTTTTACTGCTGAAATCCTTCAATAATCCATACAGATAAATTATACATGTAAACAAGTGACAATCAGTACTGACAGCTCTCAGATTCTTACTATATATATATATGTAACTGTTATACCAGTTTATATTAACACGACACTAAATCAATATCACCATGTATAGCTGACTGTTTTGCACATTTATTCCCCATAAATGTATTGCTAAACTTTTAATGATATTTCCAACTTAGTTTTAGACATAGGAGTATCTCACTTCTGCTTCAGAAAGTAGTTCTTGGGCATACATAAACAGTTTGGAAATTAAAAAATAGCATTTTTTAAAAAGGTTTTGAAGAGAGAGAAAATACAGACACATTGCATTATGTATCAAAGCACATTGATTTTTTCAATGACATGCAAAGCACCTGTACATCAAAAGCACATGCATTGTCAACACAAGCACACAAGTATACCAAAGTAGTGTGGTATGATACATGTGGATAGACTGCCAGGATATCTGGTAGCTGGCTGGGAGATCTGCCAATAATGTGAATACTCTTTCAAATTGGACATCAAGAGTTTTTATCAAGAGTTTTTACTGTAGATCACGACACATCTACACCTGACGATGATATAGGCCAAGACAATTTAGAGACTGCAGTGTGTATATCATCAGGTCCAGGGGAAATCTGTTGCTAGGACACCATATCATCAACTGTATACATTTATTCTACACAATATGAAGATAAATTCTCATTCTTGGCACATCCTATATCAATAATATCTGGTAAAGTTACAAGACCAAATTCTCCAAGTGCTTTTCACAATTCATATAACTAATCCAGACTTAATATTCAACTAGCATACAGTACCAGATGCAAGCTGTATCTTGTGTAAATTTTCTAAAGGTGTAAATGCACTCTGAAAAATTGGTACTTCTATAAAACTAGAAATTGTGTTTAAGGACTAAAACTGGTTAGGATATTTCGCTGCTACTTGTAATATCTTTAACGTCTTGAGCCAATAACAGTTATAGCCTACAAAGTAACATAAATAGACACCCACAAATGTAAATACAAGTACAACAAACTACAGGTAAATTGATAAAATATAAAAAGTAAGAAACCTTGTAAAAGGTGATGTAAAATCATTTTAAAAAAAAATCATACAATTTTTGGTCATAGAACAATATTTCATATCACACATACATCAAATATTTCAACTTTTGGTCATTAAGAGGGAAAAGATCTGATACACCTATTGCATTTTCAACTGACAAGGGAAATGTTCTGGTACTTGTTCATGAAATAGGTATTGTATATAAAGTGAAGTACCAGGTTTCAATTTTTTTATGATCTCATTTGTAATGCATCTAATTTACTAGATTTTGACATTTATGCTTGTTCTATGTGAAACAGAAACAGAGTGAGAATACATTTCTGTATTAATTGAATAAAGAAAGGACTTCAAACCTATTAAGTCCAAAGAACTTGCTTGCTTCTAATGCTAATTGATTTTTTAAATTAGCAATCACCAAAGAACTGATACAAATGTACCTCCTGTTCCAAAATCACCCAAGATTTCGCATTTAAGAAGGTTTTTTTTACAGATTTGTATAAGGTTCTTTAACATGTTCACTATACTTTCAATATACCTTACTATTAAAATGAGCATTTCTTGAATATTTGTTTTGATCAAGATTGCAATTTCTATTTCATTTAGCATCAAAACACAACTACAACATGTACAAATCTTGTCAGAATAAATATGTCTAAGAAATTTCTGAAATTTGATTAAATCCCATAGGAAACATAATGTATACATGGTTTAATTACTATACCAGAACATGGTAAGGTACAGAATTGGGTAAACAGTGCATACTCTCAAGATATTTCCAATCATATTGACACAATATCATTAATCATAAATTCAAACTACTTTTTGTAATACACCAAGTAATCAAGTAACAAAATCAACACTTTTTGTCTTCAACTTTCTGTCTGACCTCTTCAATAAAATGTAAACTTTTCAAGAGATTGTTTAATATGTAAAATTGATATTCCTCCACAGCCAAACTCTTTATATTAGGTACAATGTTATATAAATATGACAACCTTCTCAGCTCGTAATATAAACAGTGGCAGGATATTGATGAAATCTTACTGGCACTGATCTAAGCCTAGAGTCCTGTACATGAGCAAATTACCCTGTTTTTACCTACATGTACATTATAACAGTAAACACAACCATTGTTTATTCCAGTTATACAATAAGAATTATAAGTTTGCCCTATATCAAAACATATTACATTGTATTTACCTTAGATGTCAACTTCTATAACCAGCCAACATCTGTAAGATAGCCAGGCTTGTACAAAGTCAACTTGAAAAACAATTCAAAATTGTAAGTGTTTTGTATAAGTTTAGTTTATCATATTTTAGTATTTTTTTGCAGTTGAAATGTTATGTACTTTCCTAGAGCTCTAATATTGTCACCAGAACACATGATATATTACAAGTAGGTAATAATTTTCATTGGGTCTTATAACTATGCTTTAAAACTCAAAATCTGCTACCAATACAATTTACCAGGTAATTAAATCTATTCTAAATAGGTCAAAACTCTACCAAAGGTTCTGACATTAACAGGAAAGTTATCATGCTAGTACTGAAACAGGTATCTCTTTGAGTAAATTACAACACCTGCTAATTCATATCATGCAAACATCATGTGAGCACCTATGCATTTTACTTAAAGCTATTTTTGTAACTCTTTCTGAATTCTACATTTGAGACTTATTTCCAATCCAAATGGAAAAACAGATGGAAGACTGAAAATGAAGGGAAACATGAACATCACAATACATTGGACACAATGATTAAACTATATCCAAGCACCAGGCTACATAAGTATGATGTCCCTACATGTCACTTGTATCACCATTTTATTTTGAGGAAATCAATGAGGCTACAAATCTCTCTTGCAAATCTTTCATGTTTTTTTTTTTTTGTAGTGCATGAAATTCTTTGACTTTTTGATAATTGGACGAAATTTAGTCCATTAATCAAACAACATCTGGTATATGAAGTCTTGTGTTACAATTTTTCTTTGTTAACTGAAGTGACCATGAATTAATAAAGGAATTTTACCACTACAAGAACAGTTGTTTACTTGTCTACAAGTTTCAGCTTACTACGATACCATCATCAGGACCAGGAAGTGCTACGATTCCAGAAATTTAAAGCCTACTACTACATGACCATCATCAGGATACAAGTGAGGTACAAGTAGGAAATACATACTTATATAGAACTTGGCACATCAAATTATACTTCTGAAGAGACAGAAAACAAAAGTTGTGACCCTGCAATTTCAAAAACAATTCTCATACATCTGTATCATCAGAAGATAAAATAGTTTTGAGTTTGATTTTTTAAATATATTACAATCTATATACCATGTTGTATTTATAAGCACTCAGCATTTGAATAAATACATATTCATGTATTCAATAAAATATCTAGTATACTACACCAACTTCATGAAGAAAATGAATTCTAAATAACGCCTTCAATCTGTGAGGCTTTATGTCACAAATATATAAGATTAACCGGTTCAAAATTTGGCACCAAACACTTCCTGGTGTAGTTTAGTGAATAATTCCTCTTCCTCTAAATTATCACTTATCCTCATCTTCCTCATCATCATCAGATGAGGAGGAGGAGTAGCTAGTCCTTCTTTCAGGTAACGGTGTGTCCTCAGGGAGAGGAGACGACCTACATGGAGGCCCCTCTGGGGACGAGAGTGTGTCCCGCCTTTCTGGTGATTCCCTCACATTCCTGTCTGGAGTCTCCCTAGCACTCCGATCTGAAAATTCCTTCTGACCTTTATCAAAGTTGTCTTTATGATCTACTGAACCAAAATCTGACTGTCCTTCACCAAGTGGATGTTTTGGCTCTCTCAGCGACAACCTTTTATCAGCTCTACGGAGACTGTCCTCACGAGATTGCACATGTTCACGTCCTGCTCTCTGTATCGCAACTGTAGCTTCCATGTCAATCATTGCATATTCAATAGTATTAGATTTCAAAGACTTCTGAGAAACTTTTCGAGATTTCTTAGAAGCCCTGGTATTGGATGAATGAGAAAGATCAATTTCTGCATAATTCAGTTGAGGTTCAATCAGTTCTGGGGGTAGAGACATAGAATAATGTGGTGATGATGGTGGGGTCATGTCAATGTTCATGTAGGTTCTGGGAGGACTGAACCTCTCGTGGATTCGTGCCGACACTGAACTATCGGTGCGAGTAAATTTTGGCACATTCGGGGACTCACGTTCCCGGCTATAAACACTTGTTTGAGATGGTGAACATGACTCAAAAGTGAACACAGTGTCTCCAGATGGAGATTGAGGGGTCTGAGCAGGACTTGAACTCAGACTGTCATTGTGTGGGCGACGGCGTTCTACCATTTTATACTCCTTTCCTGAACGTGGTCGTAGCAGGGTAGAGGCTGGACTGGTACGGACACCACCTTCATCACAGCTGGGCAGACTGCTTTCTAGTGAAGACATAGATATAGTATCATCCTGTTCACAGTCTTCCTCCACTTCCACAACAAGCGCCTGAAATTTATCTTCCACCACGGCTGACTCAGATTTCACTGTAAAAGAAAGTTGAAAATATTTTTTCTTAACTTCTTTCTACACCCCAAATATTTTCCTATTTTTTTAACTATTACACTGTATTCATCACGTCATGTCATTATTTCATACTACATTGTACTGTTGCACTATTACTTATAAAATAATTCAACAAGTATGAAATGTGAAATACTATGTTTTTAATAAAAGTATAGTAAACTCATGATGGGATATAGCACAAAGAGAAATATTTTCTATAACAATATATAGAGAATATTCAATGGTTTCCTGTTTAATACCCACATATCATTTCCCTATATAAAATAAAGTGAAAGTTGCCCCCTTCCCTTGAGGACAAAGTGACATGGTGGTTGTGAAATACACAACTTCGACAAAGCACTTTGAGACCTTATCATTCATAAGGTACTATTGATTTTACAGTATCTCAGCCTGGAAAAGAATATTTTTGAGATTTGAGAAGCAAATAATCCCCTTTGAGGTCTTCCTTTCAGGCCCATGGGTAGGGTCTACAGGCCTTTTTTTTTTGTTTTTTTTTTGTTTTTGTTTTTTTTTACAGTAGTTGTGAGACATTTTAATTCATGCAGAGTTTTTGATTTTACAGTGCTGGATATCCCAGTCTGGAGAATAAAATTTTTGAAATGTAAGTAAATTTTGTCCTTCTTTGACCCCATCCTTCAAGAAAAAGTGTTCAAGAAAAGTCAGAAAATATTAAGATGTGCTTTGACTTCAGAAAGTTTTATGTTATGCGTGATAACAAGACAAATGTCGAATTTGCTGCTTTACATGTTTGTCTACCATTTTCTGTTGTCATCTGGTAAGAATCACTTATAAAACTGTTAATTATCAAATCAGAGAAAATCTGAAATGTACAAATAAAATTTGAAGAAAAACCAACAGTTTCAATATAGTGACTAGAAAACTTTGCTGTCAAAACTACAAAGATTGTATAGCTGATATCATCACTGCATACACATTTTTTATCCAATTGATAAATTCCTATATTTCACAGGCAAGAATGCAATTCAGTATGACTTTTTTTGCTGCATTAAACAATGCTGAACATGAGAAAATGGAGAAAAGGTAAAGGAAAAGTACTTAAGGGAAAAGTTCTGAATTTGATATCTTAATTGTGACTTCTGATTAAATGTCATATACACAACAAAAATCTGTTGTTTTTAACATACTGAAATACACTTGTAATATGACGAGTTAAAATATCTACATCTTCATCTTATTAAAATGAAGAACTTGAATTGTACAGACAGAATCAACATTCACCAAAGCTCATGTGTTTCAACATGTCAGTGTCTTGTATTCTTACCTTCTTGTGAATTTGTTGAGTCCCTTGGGACCCATACATTCTCCTCCTCCTCCTCCTCCATGAGTGGGGGTGGAGGTTGTATCCTTAGTGTAGCTCTTGCCAACTCCTTTTGTAATACTGGGTCCATATTGCCTCGCTTGGGTGTGTCCGGTATAGTGGATAGCTTGGGACCTTGACTGGGTAAAGGCTCCTCACTATTACACACCAACGGAACACTCTCTGGCACAGGAGACAGAGGACATGGGTAATGTTTTAACTTGGGAGGCACAAAAGGTGGTAGAGATGACACATGTTTCACGATAGCTAAAGCTTCTTCCTTCGGGGACAGAGCTTTGCTTCCATCAGTTGGTAAACTTCGCCTCTTTTTGTACTCACTTGTACACTGACTTTTCACTTTATACAAATGTTGATCGTCAAAGGAGGTTGATTTTGATCCATGTTTGAAAAGTTCTATTAATTTTTCATCATCAGTTTTACTGCTACTACTACTCTCTGAACCACCAGACTCCAGTAACTTACGAGGATCTGATTTGAACGCTGTAAATACCATGGAATCAGGTGTCTTATATTTTTTGTGCTTGGAACAGAGTAAGAGCTTCTGAGCCTGTTTATCTGACAATGATTCACAATCATCATCTCCGTTTTCACTTCCAGTACTTTCACAGGGACCCCTGTAACCAGACTGAGACCTGCCACCTTTACTGATGTCATTTAGTGAACTTGAATCAGATCCAGTAAACTCATTATCACACTCCAGAAGTTGCATTTCATCATCCAGCGATAAAGCAGAAAAATAATTACCGTCCATACCCTGATGCAGTCCTCGCACCTTGTCATTTGTAGAGGGCTTTTGTTCAAAGAAACTTGCACGATTGGGAAAGCTTGAGGACCTGCGATGGTCACTGAGAGGGAGAGTGGGACTGTGGTGCTGGCCACAGGACGATGAGGATGAGTCACTGGACTGTGAAAAGACACGACGCAACTGTACTGGCTCCTTGGATGACTGATTCACAGTGCGTTCCAGGCAGCTTTCACTGGAACTGGAAGCCAGGAGATTTTCCTGGCTCTGAGACATACTTTTCCTATTGCCGGAGTTTCTCCTGATTAAACGTGTGAGAAAGCCTGAATTCCTGCTTGATCCTTCGCTGACTTTTTCTGTTGAAACACTACTGGTGGTTTTGCTTGGTGGCCCACAGGTGGAGTTCCTTGAGGGCTTGACACTGGTCATTGTGACCGTGTGCTGTTGAAAATTCATTAGGTTAGGGAAAGGTATTGCTGTATTGTCTATATCTGAGGTGTCGCTACTGAATGATGTATCTGCAATGTTCTTTGTTAAATTAAGTGTACTTCCATCAGCTGTTAAATCAACAGATTGATGATGCCGTCTTTGTGTGAATTCCACAGAATCATTTTTCTTCTCAGTCTGAAAGTTCGTCATCAAGAGATAATTTTCCTCCCTGATGAGTGATGTGTTGGAGGATGAACTGAAGGACGGGTTAAGATTTGTAGACTTAGGCTGGTCATCATCCAGTACATCCGAAGCACTATACGACCGACTATACTGTGGCCTTGCTTCAGCATGTACAGAACAACTTTGCTTGGCCTTAAAATCATTCTCACTTTCAAACAAGTTTCCCATTTCCATGTAAGCTCCTTGTGGCGAGACTGAATTCTGCTGCTGTACGTCAGTTTTACTTAAAACTTTCCTTGTTGGAAGCTGAACAACTTCTCGACTACAATCAAGTTCAAGATCCTGTTTTGACTTACTTTCCTCCTTCTCAAATCCACCCATCAGGAGATATGAGTCTGAAGGTTCCGTAGACACAGTATGTTTACCTGCTTGTCCATTTTTCTTTGGGTACTGGTACAGTGACACTGGGTCCACAACACCTTGGACATGAGGTTGTTTACGAGATCTGTGTGGAGGGAGTGGTGGGGGTCTGTCATTATCACTTGGATTCTTTTTAAGAAGGGCTGGTCCTTTTGGTGGCAGTGCTGGTGGGGACTGTTCCCTTCTTGGGAAGTCGTTTACATAGATATTCTCCTCTTTAGTTACACCTGAGACAGATCTACATGACAGTTCTGATTCTGAAGAACTTTTACCTCTGAGGCAATGAACATTATTTCGTAGTTGTCTTGGAGAACTTTTCAAATTTTCCTTATTTGAACCTGACCGCCTTGTGCCATGTTTTTTACCAGAGGGAACACAAGGAGCACTCCACGTACCACTGTCTGCACACGAGGAGGAAACATGAACATGACTATTATCAACATCACCAATGTCATACTTCTCCAGGTTCACATAAGGTAGTGGAGCAGACATTTTTGAACCGGATGGTATCCTTTGGAGTTTTGATACAAGATTTGGACTAAGTAAAGTGTTTTCTTGATAAAATGAGCCGTGATTAAATGAAGGAGGTATATTTTCTTGACGTCGGGAAGACCTGTAGACCTTTCCAGGAATAGGTGGTGGTTTATTTCTATCTCTTCTACTTTTTCCTCTCCTGGGATCGTCATGTTGACAGCCCTGATAAATAAAGTATAATCAATTATGTGTTTCTAAATGAATGAGAATACATAAATAATCAAAGTACTAGAAGTACTGTAAACAATAATTTCTATAAAGTGCAATCACATGTTTATTATGAAATTTGATAATATGTAGTATATATAATCTATGAACATTGTGCTCTTTTACATAAAGATACATATAAAGGAGAGAAGTGAAAGTTAGCTTTAAAGATACCTGATCTTCCTTCATCTGGATTACACAACTGTCAACTTCCTAAGCTAATATGTTCAGTCTTTAGATTAATATCATTCATCTACAACTTATGATCATTTGATTCTAGCCAGCTATTTGCCAATAAAATACATTCTTGCTAAAATTTCACCTTGATCTTTGACAGTAAGTTATTTAGCCATGAGACATTTATGATAATTTTCACTGTAAAAAAACAACAATTCATTGCTCTCTTATGTTATAGGAGTATGCTTTAAGGCCAGTTTCCTTGGCCTTGCGGTTATTGACAGGAAGTAAATTGATGATATTGATACAGTCAGAAGTTAACACAACATCTATCTAATATATCAAAACTATTACACATACCATATGCTGGTGCAATACATTTACAATTTGGAAAAATAATCTGACCCCTGAGACTTTGGTTCAAGGTCATTCATCTGAACCAATTTGATAATCCTTCAATACAACGTTGCTTCTGGTCAAATATCATCAGTCTTGATGTGTAGAAAATGATTCATTTCAAACTCAATTACAAAATATCTAGAAAAAGAAATGTTATACTGTTGTTTAAATGTTGATTAACAAAAAGTAATAATCGATAACTACAGTTATAATAATTGATTTGATATTACACTTAAAATGGGCTAAAACAAGATATCCCTGTCAGAATGTCAGAATAATTTGGACTATCTCTATATATAAAAAGTTGACAGAATGTCAGAATAATTTGGACTATCTCTATGTATAAAAAGTTGACAGAATGTCAGAATAATTTGGACTATCTCTATGTATAAAAAGTTGACAGAATGTCAGAATAATTTGGACTATCTCTATATATATTTGAAGTGCTATTTATTTTGAATACCTGATCTATTGATAACAACTACACTCAAAAACTTTGTCAGCTACACTATTATAATTAGATACACAAGTCAATATTGAATAGTTATGTCAAAATATTGAGGAACAAAATGCCTTGCTTCCAAGGGACACATTACAAAGAATCTGTATAAATGGATTTTAATATATATGTATTAAATATGTATAAAGTTTTATAAGTTTCGATGTGTATGTATGTGAATGCTTCCTCAACAAACACATTAATGTAGATTCTACTTCTATTTGATCCTCAATGGTTTGTGATGGGAGCCTCCGACGGCATTTATGATTGAAATTAATGTGACAATGAACAGGATGAGTGATTAATATATGTAAATATACATCAATGGAATTAGTACAATGATTACCAGGTTAAGTTCCAATTATCAATTGTGATATCTTACTTTGATTTACAATATTAGCCTAGACTTCCACTAGGCTTTTGTTTCCGAAGCCAAGAACTTTATTTCACAACTTCCGTATCTTTTTAAACAGCATTAACATTATGCTCATTACTCAATGGATTATATGGAACATGATGTATAAACATTAAACCAGCGAGTAAAAACTAGAGATCTTCTACATGTCATAGATGAACAACCTGGTATCCGATCTCCAGTGTGACTACATGTACACAAATGTACTTACATTGTCAGAATATACAACTAGGGACCAAGGGGAACCTATATATGCAATCTGAGAAAGATCCATCAAGTACTTCCCAAGAAATGTGATAATAAAAACTGTTTATGGACGGACGACAGACCATGGGGCAGAGCAATGTGAATAGACCACCATCTGATGATAGTGGGCTAATAATGCAAGATTTTAATATATAGGATATATAGCCATATGTGAACACTTTGGAGGTTTAGTCTCTTCTCTCACGGGCATTTCAGTATATTGTATAGTGATACAACAGATCGAGTGTTTATTCAAAGCATCCCAATTTGTGATAATTTCTCATAAAACATGATTACAGTGAAAGTAGAGAATGATAAATTTCTGGAAACGGCAATGTATTTTGATATAGTTTTGAATACAGAACTCTAGTTTCAACTTTCTGTTGATACAATTTTCACAACATGTTTTTCATTCCAAGTATTTCATATGTTCTATAAAATTTTATAAACTTACTACAAATAAATTGTATCAGAAAAGAATCTTGTAAATGGTTATAGTAGTATTTTTAATCTGGATTTGCATTAAATGATCAATATGAAGCCTCTGTGAGAACATAAAGACTATTGGCAACTTGGCTATTTCCTAGAAATGACAGCTGAATGCAATCTGTTGTGAAAAGTGTCATATATAGAAAACTAATTAAAACCAATAAACATTATCAGACAAGATTTTGAAGTGAATTTAAAATGTTAATTTCAGATCTGGTGTCAAGTCAGAGATAATAGGGTCTGCTGTTTTGCTCCAAATAGGGTTAAACTGCTGGTATTAACAGGATCGCGAGACGATTTACAGGATCAAGGAAGAAAAGGATCGTTTTAATCATGTTTATGTCATTTTTTCTTTACTTGAAATGGTCAAACATGAAAAATCACTAATTATTTTTAACAGCAAATTAAAACAAGAATAGATAAAAACATTTCTTGCACATGTATTTTTGTCATGCAAGACATTAACCAACCAAATCATGTAAATTGTCTTACCGACCCAAATGTGTTTATGTTCACGCAAGTGCACCCATAATATTGCTGGACATGGGGGCTGCCATTATATACATAACAAGTTAAAATTAAGCCAGTATAAATATGTGTGTTCTTTATAAACTGTAAGCTGTTTGGATATCATGTTCTGTGCCTAAATGATTTCATGTGTACTCGCAAATGATAATAATAAAGGCATGTGACTGAATGTTATATATAAAGCAGTTCATTGGAAGGGAACACTTGAATGCCAGTCATACTGGATTGTCGCCCTTAAATTGAACCGGAAGTAGATGCCCTTTAAGTAAAATAGAAAACCTTATTTGGTAATTGCAGTTAAGCTTACTATGGATTTTGACAAATTAACGTTAATGCTTGTTTACAAATGATAAGGCAAACTTACTAAACAATATTTAAATCAAAATGACAAACCTACTGGTGTATGCCCCTAATATTACATCTACTGTAGTTTCATAGATATGTATTCAAATACTTTCTCTTTGTCTCCTAATGAGCTTACTTCTCTACTTTGAGTAACATGATGGTCCCTTTGACTAATCATATGAAAAACATGGTCATGTTATTCACTCTGCAGTACATATTTAGGAGCCTTGTTAATCACCTGTATTTCTGTTTTGCAGAAACCAAAATGTGCTGCCAAATGTTCTTCAGAATCAAAATTGATGAAATTAGGTAAGCTATTGTGATTTAATCATGTGCATAAGTTTACAAATTATAATCTTGTACACCAATCACTGTACAGGACTGTGAGCACACCTGGCATGAGTAGACGTACAAGATAGTTCTATTTATAGCTATATACACCATTGCAAGTACATATGGTATGCTATTTTTGAACACAGATGAAGTATTAACATTTTTAACAAACAGATGCCCCTATCTATAGGATTATTCTGTTAATGAATGAATTACAATAAATATGGATGAAACGGATATGGAAATCTACCTGTAACATTTCATCAAGTAATGAGATTTCCTGTTGTAGACCTCTTTCTTCCCTCTGTAGACACTCCAATGCTTCTTCACGGTCCAGTTCCTCTAACTCATCAATGTGGTCAGGAACTGAACAGCTGATATTCCTATATTTGTCATTAAACGGAGAGTAGGCTCCATAGCCACACAGAGCTGGAGCACTGGCCGACACACTGGCTTTACAACCAAGGTAAGTTGGGGACGACTCACAGCTGGCCAGACTCAGACTAGAGGACGAGTGATCCAGGTTGTGTCTATCATCACACATGCGAGGAGAATGATGTAATGACTCCTTGTGCTCATGTTTCGGTGATTTTGGATTGTCTACCTTGCGTATACGCCTGGGTGGCACATCATACAGGGCCATTAGTTTCTCTCGTTCCAGGTTTTCTATACTCCTCAGCTGGCTGTTATAGTTATAGTTGGCAGCGTAGCCAAAGTTGGAGTTTGTGGTCCAGCCTGAGTTAGATGTGCTGAAGGAGTGTCGCCAGCCTCGGCTGTCATAAGAACTTGGAGAGGAGGGCACGCTGTTCTTGTACAGGCTTCCACTGATGGACTTGGTCACAGGGTCCAGGTAATCACAGTTCTGGGATCCTGTTGTAGACAAATACTTTTATTGTAGAGAGATGTTGTTAAGTAAACAAAGCTTACAGAACAGCTTCAATCATTAAAATTCTATGGTAGTTACATCCATCATAATGATACCAAAACCAACTCTTAATGGGCACCTGTTCTGATGCTATCATTACAAATAGTGCATTGTTCAATTTATCTTATATAAATGTTGGAAAGTGAAGCACTGCTTTCAGTTTTGTGACCCTTGCCATCTAACAACTAATACTCTTACCAATACTGCTCCCCTCCAATTCAAACATTTATAGACCAGGATGACCTGATTCTTTACCTGTAACCCCCACCCCCTTCCTTTCCTTATCATGTATTATTGACTTTCCTATTTTTTTACTGTTTACCTGTTCTTATTGCAGTACAACAAACATATGTAATGCTTTGTGATGAGGAGATACTTTTGGTCTTTAAGACAAATTATTGATAATTACAGTTTTGATGAATTACTCTGTGTTTTGTTATCTCTCTTGGTCTTTAAGACAAATTATTGATAATTACAGTTTTGATGAATAACTCTGTGTTTTGTTATCTCTCTTGGTCTTTAAGACAAATTATTGATAATTACAGTTTTGATGAATTACTCTGTGTTTTGTTATCTCTCTTGGTCTTTAAGACAAATTATTGATAATTACAGTTTTGATGAATTACTCTGTGTTTTGTTATCTCTCTTGGTCTTTAAGACAAATTATTGATAATTACAGTTTTGATGAATTACTCTGTGTTTTGTTATCTCTCTTGGTCTATAAGACAAATCATTGATAATCACAGTTTTGATGAATTACTCTGTTATCTCTTGCTGATACTTCACTATTGACTAAAAAAGACAAAACTTACTGCGTTTGTTTGATTTTCGACAGTTCACTGTCTTTCCCTGGCTTGCTAATTGGAAAATCTCTTCTAATTCATCAACCTGGTCACTTTGCAGTACATGTACCCCTGCTCCTGTCATAAACAACAAAACAAATATGAGGTGACAACAAACCTATTCCTATTTAACGTTTCAGTACACTTGGCTACATGGAGATCTTACATATGCTCATTGTCCATTCCGATGACCTTTTCAGGTCCAGGTCATCTATTATAAGCCAATAAGATACCATGTAGCTTCTCTCTCAGATAACATTAATCTAGATTATTTTTATCAATATAAGCCAATAAGATACCATTAGCTTCTCTCTCAGATAAAATGAATGTGTATAATAAAAAAACAAGACAACAAAATTTGATCAACAGATCTAACAATTAGAGAGGATTGCAATCTTCAATTTTGTCAAAGGCATTATCCTCAAACAAACACTGATATCTCTGGCATGGACACCGTCATATTCACTTTATTTCTAGTATGCATGCCAAGTCCAAAAATCTTCAGATGTTTTCCAGTATTTACATTACATATTCTCTGTTTTACTATTTAATGCATCTTGAACTGGTTCATCAATGTAGGACACTATGTCATTGGAGGCTCTGTGAGATCATAATGTCAGGATGACTTATAATCAGAGTAAATAGGTAATGACAAAGTCAATAAAATATCTAATTTAAGGAATTAGAAATAACCATACTGAGATAACATCTACTGTTAAGAGCACTTATATATGAATCTCTTACAACAAAGATATTGTCATTATCAACACTGAGGAAGATTATATGCAGTGTCAAATTTGTAAACCTTGTGGAATCCCTCTTTTGTATATGCCAGAACTTACATCAATGAGTTAACTTTTAGAAAAACAATAATTCAGATGAGAATTTAACATCATGTTTTAATTACTGTCCACAGTTAAGAAACATTGTACATTATTTGAACAATTTCAAATGCAGCAAAAAAAAAAAAAAAAAAATCAAACCTTTTCCACATCTGGATCCACCCTCAAATACAAACTTCCCATCAAGTTTGCCAAACTTTCGAAGGTCGGAGATAATCCAGGAGGCAACCATTTTTGGTGGACTATGCTGGGTGAGACAGAATTTTGGTCCATGAATGTGCATACGCATCTTCTCCAGTGGCAGTTTACTCTGAGGAGGCACTCTCTTAAGGTATACATGCAATGGGAATTGATTCTCTGAAATATGAAAGTCAAAATGGTGTCATAAACATTCAAGACAGCCATAATAAAGTTGGAAATCAGTCCATAAATATAAGTATTCTAGCTATAATTACAGTGTTGACAGTTAATTAAGAAATATTCAAAATATCCAACTGATTCAAAAATATTCGAGCAAGCCATTACATGACAAGAAATTTGTCAATATATCTGATGTTCTAGATAACTAACTATACAATTAAATTTCAGATGCATGCCAGAGAACATAAAAGAATGCAACAGGTTGCTATTAAACTCGTCTGTGGAAATCAAATGTGTGATGAAATACTACTAAGTGTTGCTGACTATTTTCATGGGTCGAAATTTTCATCATTAGCTTTTAAAATGAATAAATCAATTCATATTTCAACGAATTTGAAATTTTGCAATCCAAATTTGAAAGGACATTGAATACAAAATTACAAGGTACCAAGAAAAAGTGAAAATATTATCCCTGCAAAAATAAATTTTTATACAGTATTTCTCTCAGAAAATTATTTACCTTCTCCAATGGCTGTCCTGATTTTGACCTCAAATTTGATGAGTGTCTCTCTATTTTCAAAAGCAAAGGTAGTGATTTGTTTCTGACAGATGATGGCGAGGACATTGTTTTCTTTGTCCTGACTGAAACCAGTCTCGAGGCCATAGAAGTCCTCCAGGTAGAAGTCATGCTTGGCGCTTTCTCCCTTAATGGCATCCTTCACACATTTGTACAAAAGTACCTGCATACGATCTGAAAATAGCAAACCATTTACCTCAAGTGTCAAATATTCACAGTAAAATTTTCTACTCTCAAATACAAAAAGGTTACTTCCACCTTCTTACATAAACAAAGTGCAAATTCATCACAAGACTGGTAACAAGATTATAATGAGCAATAAGCATGGTCCTTGTCTAGGCTACACAAAGCTGGATTTCATTTAATAAGGGAAGGAAACGTGAATTATCTGATGAGTATCTATCTAAAAAGAATCTTTCGCTAGAAAATATCAACAAAATATAAATGCCCCTAGATCCCTCCCATGCTTACTCGAATCTGATCCCTTAAACTAGATACTATGGGGTAAGTTATGAACCAAATCTTCTAAGAGTTACTCAAGATATGACACTGATTCTGAACTGATATGTGATGGGACAGAGGGACATTGGTACCACATAACACCAAGTAAGAACATCATGGCCACAGTCTTTTTTATCAATTTTCCAAAATGGAAATTACTGATATAAAGCAAGACTTGTCTCAAGCTCATAACCTCAATTTTAAAGCTCTCTCTAATGTATGATTTGTTTATAAGTAGACTGAGTAATGAACTTACAGTTAATTACATCAATGCTTTATTTATGACCACATGCCGAGAGAAAAATGAAAAGGAAGGGAGTAGGTGTGTATACTCAGGGAGAAGGAAATTACTTAGTAACGACTTAATTATAGAAAATTATCATGTAATCATACAAACAAGTTAAAGTAATGGATGACATTGATGAAGGAATGCTGGTCTCAGCACTTCTATAGTTGGTGTCTGGTGCAGTCTCAGCACTTCTAAAGTTTGTGTCTGGTGTGGTCTCACCACTTCTATAGCTGGGTGTCTGGTGTGGTCTCAACACTTCTATAGCTGGTGTCTGATGTGATCTCACCACTTCTATAGCTGGTGTCTGATGTGGTCTCATCACTTCTTTAGCTGGTGTCTGGTTTGGTCTCACCACTTCTTTAGCTGGTGTCTGGTGTGGTCTCACCACTTCTTTAGCTGGTGTCTGGTGTGGTCTCAGCACTTCTATAGCTGGTGTCTGATGTGGTCTCACAGCTTCTACTGTTGTTGTCTTGTGTCATCTCACCACTTCTATGTCTGGTGTCTGATATGGTCTCACCACTTCTATGTCTGGTGTCTGATATGGTCTCGCCACTTCTATGGCTGGTGTCTGATATGGTCTCAGCACTTCTATGGCTGGTGTCTGATATGGTCTCAACACTTCTATAGCTGTTGTTGTCTTGTGCTGGGTGTCTCAACACTTCCACTTCTATGTGGCTGGTGGTCTAATATGGTCTCACCACTTCTATGTCTGGTGTCTGATATGGTCTCACCACTTCTATGGCTGGTGTCTGATATGGTCTCACTTCATGGCTGGTGTCTGATATCAGCACTTCTATGGCTGGTTTCTGATATGTCTCAACACTTCTATAGCTGATATGGTCTCAACAATTCTATAGCTGGTGTCTGATATGGTCTCACCACTTCTATAGCTGGTGTCTGATATGGTCTCAGCACTTCTATGGCTGGTGTCTGATATGGTCTCAGCACTTCTATGGCTGGTGTCTGATATGGTCTCAACACTTCTATAGCTGGTGTCTGATATGGTCTCAACAATTCCATGGCTGGTGTCTGATATGGTCTCACCACTTCTATGGCTGGTGTCTGATATGGTCTCACCACTTCTATGGCTGGTGTCTGATATGGTCTCACCACTTCTATGGCTGGTGTCTGATATGGTCTCAGCACTTCTATGGCTGGTGTCTGATATGGTCTCAGCACTTCTATGGCTGGTGTTGATATTTCAACAATTCCATGGCTGGTGTCTGATATGGTCTCAGCACTTCTATGGCTGGTGTCTGATATGGTCTCAGCACTTCTATGGCTGGTGTCTGATATGGTCTCAACACTTCTATAGCTGGTGTCTGGTGTGGTCTCAGCACTTCTATAGCTGGTGTCTGATATGGTCTCACCACTTCTATAGCTGGTGTCTGATATGGTCTCAACACTTCCATGGCTGGTGTCTGATATGGTCTCACCACTTCTATAGCTGGGTGTCTGATATAGTCTCAACACTTCCATGGCTGGTGTCTGATATGGTCTCACCACTTCTATAGCTGGTGTCCCGTCATATCTTTGCATTAATTTTTTTTTTTTTTACATATTTCTACCCTGATGATTTCCCTGCCTAATCAATTAGACTTCTACCTATGGGGCAAAAGAACTTCCCAATATCTGCCTTCTGAGAATAACTAATAAAACAATCCAATTTTTTCATCATTAATTGCAGTGTCCCTATCTCTCTAGTTCATGTGTCTGCATTCTCAATAGCTATTAAAACTGTGTCTCAGGTCATCACTAGGTTATATTATCCATATTTACATCACATAAATGCACCTGCTCCTGTGCAAATAAGCATTCTTGACTGGTCAAATTTCTGTAAAGTAATTGTAGCCTTGACTTTGGAACCCTGAAACACAAACTCAATGAGGTGTTCTCAGAATATATATCAAAATGCCTCCAGAAACAGGTCCCTAAAAGAGTGACTGAACTTGCGGCTACTTTTTAATAAACATTATGGCATTTATGAAATATGACAGGCTTCAAACCCTGAAAAACATTATACATTACAATCTTTCACGGAGGTGTAGTCATACATGACTTCACTTAAACCAATATCCCTTAAATGGCACAAAATTGATGGATGATTTCTGGAAATAGTAACAATGACATTGACCTTGAACTTCGAAAAAATGAAGCCATTACATCAAGAGTGATGATATCAAATCTGGATGGAAGGGAATGTCAAACAACAGGCTGCGACAAATTGGCAAAACCATGCCCCTATCTACCATAAAATGGTGGGTGTCTGGGCACATAAAATTGAAATCAGATACAAGAATGTTATAATTATGTTTACAGTCAGTCTACAATTACATGTATTATTAAGTTTAATGTATATGTGTATACCTAGCCTGTATCTACTTATGTACCTCATTGTTAGTACGCATGTTTCTTGTCTAAATACATGTGTACCTATAGCTTACTTGTATGTAAGTGCATGTGCTATTATAACCCAGCTAGTCAACTGAATTTCAATTTATATGTAATGATTTTTTTCATTCAAAAAACATGCAAGCACATATTCATAATACATCACAGCAGCAAACTCCAGCTGGTCTCCTTGCTCAGCAAAGTGCAGAAAGACCTACACTACATAATCGCAACACTGACAGATGTAAATTGTTTATTATTGTCTGAAACACCAACAATGTTGATCAAAATTCTATTTATGTAAGGACTGTTCTGTTTATTTAACATTCAAAGGAGAAGAATTGTATCTAATGAATGTGTCCTAGCCCAAACAAACTTTGGTTTAGCTTGCCTGTTAATGTAAGTGATGAACTGACAGCTGAAGAAGATGGTGTAAAATAATCCCACCCCCTTAATCTCTAAATCCCCAATACAGATGTACCAGGCTTCCACATCTCCTACAACATAATTCCTCTGTCTGACAAGCTACTTCCAAACCAATTTTAACAATTTTCTCAGCATGACTGAAGGACTCTTTCTACTAAAACATACATCAGATGATTTTAACACTGGTAAAACAGGAAGACTTACTTATCTTAAAATATGTGTCTTTTTTTTACAGCTACACCATGGCCATGTTAGACATATTTTTTTTTTCCAATTTTTTGGTGAATTATATAATTTTATTGCTGAAGTTTTCCTGAATTTTGTGAATATCAAGAAAATTAACACAATTCTGTGTATTTAATTAAACATTGAACAATTTGAGTATCAACAGGTTACAATGTTTTATCACCATTGTTTAACATAAACTATGTTAATCCTGAAGGACATAAAGACTGGAAGTCCCTATAACCAGCTGTATCACTCACATTTTATGCACTTTTTACATTTTCATGAGTCAGTGTTCCATGTAAGTGATTTTATTGTGGTTTACAGGAGCACATTCCTATGTCACATTTGGACACATCATAGCTGATGTTAAAACATTATCATATAAAATCCTAGCATGATGACATCAGCCACATTATGTAAATCTTGAATATTTCATTGCAAATATTTGTGTATAATTAATCTGCTCTATGTGGAAGAAATTGTTTTCTAACATAAGAATCAATGTTAAATTACACCTCTATTAACAAGAAACTGTTTTCTTACATAAAAGTCAATGTTAAATTACATCTCTATTAACAAGAAATTGTTTTCAAACGTAGGAATCAATGTTAAATTACACCTCTATTAACAAGAAATTGTTTTCTAACATAAGAATCAATGTTAAATTACACCTCTATTCTAAAATGGAACATGTTTCACAATCCATGCTAGTTAGAAATGGACATAGCGACACCATGAAATGATTGAACTGAGAAAGGAATGAATGATTTATATCATATATAGGAAAGTAATTTGATATTGCACATCATTAATACAATACATTGTATTCCTTCAATTACAATATTGATCAATGCAAGGTCAGATGAACTTCTTAGTGGAATATACAGGTACATATATACCAGTATTTAAATCTTCCACACTGCATTCTTCTTGCATTACATATAAAATGATCGCTGAACAAATGAAAAAGTATTCGAAATATTTGTAAATTAAAATGGACTAGTTTAAATATAGAGCTATATACTATAACATAAATGACTAAAGCCTTGTAGCTGTCATCTTGTTGATGCTCTGCGATGACAGAACAGTGATCTAATATTGAGATATATACACTGTGGTATACATTCTGTTATTCTTAGTGCTGTGATATATTTGCTTTAAAAAATATCAATCATTGACAGCCCACAACATGTTCCTACAATTAGGTAGGTGTATTTTTCAGAATGAACATCGTAAATGCCTGAGGGTCACATTCTTGTGGTACATGTAAGTCTCCATTTCCTGTCTCAAATTTTTTTGACAGCAATATACCTGAAACATCAAGGCAGTTTCTTAAATA